CAGCATCTTTTGCTGCTTGGCCTGCTGTGTTCGTCCAGTCCTGCACCTTGTTGTCTCGGATTCTCCAGCATCTGCAGTTCCTACTATCTCGAGTGATTATTTTAGCCATGTTATATTTTTATTAGTTTATGAATAACAGAAAGATATATTTGGACTTTGGTTGCAGCAATGTCCTCAAAAGTAAATGTAATTTTGTATTTTATCCACAACTAAGAGGCCAAAAATGCAAAGCACACACTAATTTCTTAAGTATCGATCAACGACACATTCTGACTTTCTTATTATTTAGGTTTGCCCATGTGACATTTAACTGTTAGCTTACCCTTGACTTTTTGCTGGGAGTATAAGACTTGGAATTACTAAAAATAAGGCGCACATCTTTACGCAATTCCAACGGCGTCTCATAATTTCCAGCTTCCAGTGTCTCCTGAACTGTTCCAAAATCCATCGGTGTATCTATGATATCTCTATAATCCTGAAAGAAAAGATGCTTATAGAAATAAGACTGCTAACAATGAGAAATGAAGGTAAAGGTTAAGAATGTGAAAATGATCTAATGGACCAACGTGATTATTTTCCCATGCTGAAATGTGTCCAACTAATTTCTTCACCAATTTCCAAATTGATTTGTAGAAACATAAATAAAATTGCACAAGCATTTGATGGAAATAAACTTGCAGCGTTACAGGGATCCAGAAGGGGAATGGGTACTGACTGGAGTGCTTAACAGAGAGCTGACATGGACTCTCTGTGCTGAATGGTCTCCTCCTTTGCTGCAAATTACATTAAATTTCTGCTAAGGCTGCAGCAGCTGATGGTCAGAATCCCTGACGTGTTTCCTGCTGTTGGTCTATGTCTCATGATGGTAATTGTGAATGTGTGTAAAAATGTATAAAGTAAATGGACACAGAAAATGCGAAAAACACTCAGCACGACAAACAGCAACTGTGGAGAGAAAAAGGTGAAGTTCAAGGTTGAGATGACCTTTCAAACAACCTGAAACATTAAAACTATTTCTCTCCACAGATGGTGTCAGATCTACTGAATGCTTCCAGCACTTGCTTTTATTCCAGAATTCCAACTTTGGAAGTATTTTGCTTTTGCAGCATTAACATAAGGTACCCAGTAATTCTCGGTCATACATAAGTGACATTTTTAAAATAAATTAAGAAAAAAGTCCAAACACTGGAAAGCAGAAACAAAAATAGTTGGTATAGTAGGCCACAGATAAATTAATATCTGAAGAGACAGATTAATGTTTCAGGTGGGACAGTAACTTATTTTACCCTTTTCTTTTACTGATAAAATTCAATTGCATGTTCTTTCCAATATGATATCTACTTGTCTGAATTCCTTGGTCAGATCCTGTCGCTTGGTCACAGTGATAAACTTACTCCAGGATAGATTTTTCTCAACTACGTAAAATCTCAGCCAATAAACCACAAGAACTACCACACATAGATAAGGTTACTTTCCACAAGCTTCCATATATGGTTACACAAAATTTTCTCTCACAACTGGTCTACTTATGTCAAATATGGTGATTTTATGCTGCATTTCATCAGCTTGACCTTTAGAGTTGGAAGGTTTGTTAATTCGCAAAATTTTGGGGAGACAGGAGCTGAATGGCCGTGAAGAATGGTTTAAAATACTGATCAATATACAAATAATGATACAATTTCAACAAAGATCAATACTGGTGTTTCATCTGGATTTTATGTTTATGTTGTTTTCAGCAAACAGAGTTTGGTTTAATGTCTGCCATTTATCAGTTCACACAATATTTTGAAATATGCGGCCCTGACTATACCTGTCTGATTATTCACAATCCTGCAAATTTCTGTGTTTCTCAAAAATGACAATTAAAGTTTGCCATGAACCTTTTGATTTCTCTTTTCAATCAATGTGCAGCAATGGGCTATGGATGTTGCTGGCTTGCTCAGCCCTAATTTCCCTTTGGAAGGTGATCCAACCTCTTCAATCACAAATAGGTAGGGAGGTCCAGGATTTTGCCAAGTGACATTGTATGGACGTGATGGGCCGAAGGTCCTTCTCCCATGATTTCTATGACAATGAAGCAAAGGTGATTATATTCTGAAAGCAGACTGGTCTGTGTTTTGGAGGGAAATTTACATGTAGTGCATCTACTTGCCTGCTGCTCTTGTTCTTCTACATGATTGACATTAGGACTTTGGGACATGCTCCTGAAGAACATGTGGGGACTTCTTGCAGTGCATCTTGTAGATGGTACCCACTGCTGCCATTGTGCATTGATTGTTCAAGCAGTGAATGCTTCAGGTGATGGGTGAGGACCCAAATGGATGGAGGAGTGCAGGAGACAAACAACAGGTAACTATAGGGCAGTAAACTGTGCAGCTCCCAGATCTGAATCTTCCTGCAAGTTAGCCAAATTCTGAATTCGAATAGCTCTGCCCCGAACCAAATCTAGCACTTTGCAAACAGCACAGGAAACTTCAAAGATGTGTCAACTTTTAAACCCAGGCCATATAAAGAGTAACATGTGCATGTTATGGAAGGGAGAGCTCCACTTTGGGGAAAGAGATAATAATGTATAAAGATCTGGCATGTGATTTATTTCAACAGTAATTAGATGCAGATCAACAGCAAAGCCTCTAGCAAAACAGGGACAAGATCCGATCCCTACACCCAATTTTAAAGTCTGCACTCCCAGAATTATGTAGCACCTTTCTGTGAGCAGTCTCCAATACTTTCCTTTGTCTAGCTTTTCAAAGCACCCTGTTAAAATACCTTAGTTACTTTAAAAAAATATTCAGTAATGTAAAAAATGTATAAATAAATGTTTTATCAAGTATATACATACGGGATATTGAAATAAATCCACAGGCCGACGGAAAGGCTCCGAATCTTCACACTGAAAGATTAAATGCAGCAGCTCTCTACAGCGCACCTTCCAGGCATTAATATCATGTGACCGGACACGATTACGCTGCGTCCTCCTCGGCTGGTATTCCTGGACTCCCCAAAATACAAGAATTAAAAGCTTATTCCCACAACAAATGCAAGAGATTTTTCAAAGCAAAAAAAAAAATGAAATAAAATATAGGAAATTCTCAGCAGGTCAGGCAGTATCGATGCAGAGTAAAACAGAATTAGCAGGCTGTATTATATGCTGAGCTCAGGCTCCTCGCACTCCAGCCTCTACTCGACTGCTTCGCCCCTCTTTAAACCTTGGGCTGATTGCCAAGAGGCAACAAAAATAATGAATGCAAGAAATTTGGAGATAAACAAAGGTTGTTCACTTCATTTGAGTCAATCGCACTTTAATATGCTTTACTGGCTTGAACATTTCCTGCTTCTATTTCAGATTTCTAGGAGTGATTTGCTTTTGTACATACGATTAACCACATTCAGATGCTTTATCTGTCCCTGTGGAAAGCTATCTAGCTTCCATGAAACATCTACTCCGGACAGCATAACTAAGAACAGATATTAACGTTACTGGCTTGACCTCATGTTTATGCTCTCTATGGGTAACATGTTGCAGCATGAATGTCTGTAATTTCAAAGAGAGCCTACTTTTATCCGTGACCCATATTATACCATGCTGAAAAATAATGAATCAAGAAATTTGGAGATAAACAAAGGATGTTTATTTCATTCAAGTCATTCGCACTTTAATATGCATCACAGCTAAAATAGAGGCTAGTTTCACAATTAGTAGACTGACTACTTCTTTAAAAAGCAATACTTTGACATTTGTTCAGGTATTTTATAGGTAATGCGCATTTTTTTCCATCCCTAAAAGAAAGCAAAGGTAAACAAAAATACATTACACGAGCTGACGCAGGCTTATATATGTACATGCTCCAGCTTCTGTTACACAGGACTCAGATCAGATTACCTTCTTATTCCTGGTAGAGGTTCCTGGAACATCAGAATTCTCTGCTTCATCATCCTTTCAACCAGAACAGAACAATGTAACACAAACATTACAATTAGAAAGAACTTATTAATGACACAATGTGGATAATTATTGAATGTTACTATGTGACAAGTTCTCATTTGCTGATTGACTTCATCCTGGAGTTTTAAAAGAGGAGGCATTGAGGTAGAAGACGTGTTGGTTTTGGTTTTCCAAAATTAATTTGTGGGAGACAATGGCCTAGTGGTATTATCACGAGGCTATTAATCCAGAAACCCAGACAATGTTCTGGGTATCTGGGTTCAAATCTCACCACGGCAGATGGTGGAATTTGAATTCAATGAAAAGAATCTGGGGAATTAGGGGTCTAATGACGAACATGAACCCATTGTCGATTTTTGGAAAAACCCATCCAGTTCACTAATGTCCTTTAAGGAAGGAAACCTCTCATCCTTACCTGGTCTGGCCTACATGTGAATCCAGACTCACGGTAAAGTGGTTGACTCTTAATTGCCCTCTGGGCAATTAGGGATGGCTAATAAATATTGGCCCAGCCAGAGACTGCCTGCATCCCGTGAATGATATTTAAAAAAAATACATTTTGGTAAGGTTCCATTGGACCTCAAAATAGTGAAATATAACTCCTCTATACAGGAGGGATGGAGGCTTGAAGGGCCAAATGGTCTACCTTTGCTCCTAGTTCATGTCTGTACATTTGACAATATCATAGGTTTATTTAAGTTTAAATAATAGTTTTAAGTACTTTGTAAATCTCTTAAGATTACATTTTACGTTCATACTTATTGGTGAGTAAAGAATTAGGGCTTTATTCAAGGAATAAAATTCAAACAAATTCACAGCAGATTGATCAGTCTCATCAATAATCCATATTAAACTCTGCCTAAGTAAAGGCCTTTGCATTTAAGTAACACTGGGCTAGATCATGTTGGAGCAGCAGAGGCCCCACCGCAGGCCAGAAAGTTAAGGGCAGCCCTGCCTCGACCATTTCCAGGAGTCCCAAGCCAATTTTCTGGCAATCAAGTAATTGACTGCCTGTTGTTGGTGCTCCTGTTGATATGAAGATTTTGATCCTACAAGAGCAGCTAGTCCTTCATTTCCAGTAGTGCCACCCTGGGATTAAGCCAATTGAGGTCATGTCACCGGGGCCTGTCAGGCATGTCCCAGTGGATGGTGGGTTAGCACAGAATGTGGGGGAGCTGGGGAATGAATTCCGTGAGGCTCATCCTGGAATGATTACAGAGAGCCTATAGAGAGGGCCCTAGGTGTTACAGGACAGTCCTCCAATGTGGGTGCAGGAAGAAGCCCTTCGTTAACTTGAGTCTAAATCAATTGTTTTGTGGATGGTCATTCTCCACCAACCCCACTGCTAAGAGAATAATACAGTGCTAGCACGCCACACACAACCTCCCTGCTCAATTCTCCAAATGCCTCGACTTCCCAAAGACCCAATTAAAATATGCCCATTGTATGGAATTCTAATAATGCATTCATCTTCTTAGCACGTTAACATCTGTAGCAATTATACAACGGAGATTAGAGGTCATTTCTTCAGTTCCATTAGCACAACCAGTGCTCCAGAATCCAACTGCCCATTCGTTTATGCGGTACTGACATAACAAACTCTGATCTTATCCTGGTATAAAAGGCAAACATTGGCACTTCAATAGTAACCATTAGTATGGACAGTAATCATCAACAGGAATGCTGACAAATTTATTTTCTCCTGTGGCACCAAAGATGCTGAGGTCAATTAATCTTGCCAACTACTGCCCCTGATGAGATCAGTTTAGCATCCTTATCCTCAACGAACATTGTAGTAATCCTATGTAAAATACACCATGCAACTGATGGAACTTATATTTTTAAACGTAGTTAAAGAAACTACTTTGTCAGATTTCAGCCTTTTAACATCACTCTGTTCAATTTCTCAATCTTATTTTACCTCATCTGACATCATTTTCTTCTTCAAGTTATTGTAGAATGGAAGGATGTCAGTAGAATTCTGGTCTCTGCAACAATAAAAAGAAAAATGTAAAAGAGACAATATCGCACTTTTCATGAATTCCAGATATCCCAAAGTAATTTAAAACTAATGAAATACTTTTCGAAGTGTATTCACTGTTGCAATGTACAAAATGTGTGAGCCAAATTACAAATAGCAAGCTCCAAAAACAACGTTAGTGACTAGATAATCTGTTTATTTTTTGAAAAGCTGTTTGAGGGATTAATATTGGCTGGGATGCCAGGGATAAGTCTCCCGCTGTCTCTCCAAATAAGATCATTGACTGAAACAGCAAACGTGTCATCTGAAAGAGGCACCTCTGACAATATGACACTTGGTTTTGGGGTTCAAGAACTGGAGACAAGACTTGAGCTTTATAACTCAAAAGCTGAGAATGCTACCACCTGCTACAAAAATAAATGAATGTGACTGGTTGAATCTCTGGATATGTTTAAAAGGCCTTTCCATCAACCAAAGGACTACCAGCAGTTCATAGTTATCACTGGAAAAGGAATAATAGCAAGGAAATGACAGTTTATAATTGTTTGTAGCACCAGTGATGACATATCATTTCCATTTTAAATCTTAAGATCTCATAAGTACCCTAATAACATTATGGCACTACATCACTTTATCAAAGAGTACAAGTTTAATTAATAGGTTGGATTTATTTTATTATATTTGTATTTAATTATGAGAATTACAACAAAAATATTTAAAATATTTAATATAATTTGTGTATTTTAATATAATGATGTACAAAAGGAAATATAATTTTCTAATAAAGCACCGACACTGGATAATTTTCAGTGAGCTTTTTTGTTGAAGGAATTAACATGCATGAAGTTCGTCTTACTATAGTCAAAGACCAGACCCCCAAGATTTTATTATGATCTGGTTAAGGACCAGTAATATTTTGTAGAAAAATAGTCTTAATACAGAATCCTGGGTACTTACAATTATAATAGCTACAAAAGAAAGTAAACTTTGATATGCAAAGCCAGGCCAGCAAACAATCTACAATATCTATCTTATACCCAAACATGTTGAATTAACACCAAGTAAATATAGCTTCACAGGCAATCCAAACATACTAATCTGTACATTAAATGCCACATGTGACCAAGGCCACAGATTTGTCAGCAACCTATGGTGATGTAAATAATCACAGAGTCAAGAAAGTCTTGTTAACACTCTGTCATTCTCCTGAGGGATTTCACATCTTTATGTCTTATGTCCAAAGCACAGATTCACAGGTACAATTTCAGATCTTTAGCCAGTCTGAGCACAACACCATTGCATGAAAGGGTTGCCTTTACCTCAATGGCGAGCAGCAGAAAGAAGGTGACTTCAACAGCCCACAATGGCAGTCATATCCTGATGCCTGGTGGGGCCATCCCTCAGTGTGGCAGTCTTGTCCAAGTGGGGTGGTCCTGGCCTGGCATGGAGGTCTTCTTTGGCAGCTCCCAGGTATTCCAGCAGCCCAGTGTGAAGGTCTAGTCCCGGCGCAGAGGTCTCGTCTTGGCATGGAAGTCTTATCGTGGCTTTAGAGGCAGCTTCCAGGTCTTCCAGCAGCCAGCGTGGAGCTCTAGTCCTGGTGTGGCAGGGCAGTCTTGGCCCAGACCTGCGTGAGGGTCTCGGCTCAGTTTTCCAGCGTACCCCAAATCCAGGAGACATTAACTGAACGATGATGAACTTCTATTTCTTTTTCCTCCTTATTTATGGCTTCTGTCATCAATTTAGGTGCCGCCGTATGGCAACTTATAAAACCTTTCACTGATTTTTTGGTAAAAATACACGTGACAATAAATTGTTGTTCTATTCTAGTTCAGAGGCACAGCTTCTGCACCTCAGCTGCAGCAAATGGCTTGCTCAGCTTTTCTTCAGTCTCAACCCTGATTCTTGACTTCAACTGAGGGCTCTAAGGGCTTCTCTCTACCCTTACTGCCTGCAGCCAACTAAAAACAGCTGTTCTCTGTCTGTTGCCTCTTCCTCTCCAGGTGGTCTCTCATCTCTATGGCACAGACTCCCTTTTATACTGCTGTATCATGCCATTCTCACTGTACAGGTGCACAGTTTCCTATAAATGGCTGGATCCTTCATCTGTAAAATAAACCTTGGACAGTGCATGCATAGCCTGAAATATGCTACATTCTGTGTAGGGTCCAGAACTTTCCAGCCTGTTTGAAAATGGAGTTCTTGCTGGAGTCTGGAACAAGGTAAGTTCATGTTTCATGAAGCTTTATCACATCTGAATTTGAAACACCATTCAGAGGCAAACCCCAGCAGCTATGCTTGAATTTTGTTTAAAAAAAAATCCTGCAGTACATTTTCTTACTTAGGATGTGAAATTCATACAATCAAGTAGCGAATCACAGTCATATTTCGCATCAAAGTGTTGGATTAAATAAAGGGAAGGAGAACTTAATTCTGTTTGGAGGAAAGAAAAACTTACTTTATGAACTGCAGGAGAACATCGATGACTAATTTGGCGGATCTAACTATAGGGCTTCCAGGTTCATTGAAAGTCCGTGCATTGTGTTCAATATATCGTACCTCCCACATCAAGGATGACAAACGTCTGAAAAATAATACCTTCACTTTACTTAACCATACTAAGCTTGTACAGCAATTACAGAAGGATACCAGCAATGCGTGGGTAGGGGAAGATATGATAGAATATGTTATATACAATCCAGCATGTGGAGACTACTGCACCCAGCATAACATCCATCTAAATGAGAACTAAAATAAGTTTCTATTGACTTTTGATCATGTCATCCTTCACAATACCGATCAGTATGAAAGCTGAGAGTCAGGACTGAAATAAATTAAGGAATAAACAACCAAAAAATAATTAAGTGAAATATCATTCATTGAATAGGTCTATTCATTTAAGGAATGCAACAAAAAGAGGATAAGTGTCTTTCATTCTAAATTTCTGTTGTATTGTATTATATGTAACATAAAGTTGACAGAAGATCATGTTAATGTCTGCATCTAAAATCTCAATGTTAACTACCAGAAATGCAAAGCTCCATGGCAGGTGCACGAATTTGCAAAATTTAACTGTATAAATCATTGTATCCGTCATTCAGACTGCGCTGCAAATTCTCCACAGCAGATGCACCATTACCACTTCAATACATACTGAAAAATAATATGGAATAGACTACAGTATCAGCCCAGACCGTATGCTTAAATCTTATTTAGGATCTTAACAAGCTTCTGGTTGAATGCCAGAATGCCACCGCTCAGCTATAGATGACACCAATGTTCTTTCTGAAGAATGACATTTAGTCAACAATAATTAAAAGTACACACTGCCAATGAATTTGTTCATTTTACCCAAGTTAAAAATTGAGAGACTGTTTTGAACAAATGCAATTCTATTTTTCTTTCTCTAATACTGATCACAGATGACAAAATTTAAGGGTTTTTCAGACAGCAGTTTCCCCCCTTCAATAAACTACTTGGATATGGGCATTTCCCATCCACTGCCAATAGCACTTTTAAGTATTTTTAACTTCATAAATCTGTCAATCATTGCCCTAATTGAGTGGGAAAACAAAGCTGAGTCAGTGCAGAAGAATTCACCCTTTAACTTTTTCTTTCTTCCATCTGTCTAACAGCAGCTTAAAGACAACACAGTGCAACTTCCTGCTACTAAATTGAGATAACGTTTGAGAAACACAGCATGAGCTTTTGATCAGTTATTCCACACTCTGGTGCGTAAACTTTGTTGTCCATTTGGATATGCTGCTGCAAATCCAGAAATGAGTTGTTTATTCCAACTGAGAAAGAATCTTTTGTTACATTATTGTCCTTCCTCTGAAACGAGTAGATCACCAACTCATCAACATTGTAACAGCACATGTGGATTAGCACTGCACCTTTATTCCTGCTCTCGAGTAAATAGTGTGTAAACTCACCTGTAAAACCTATTCTCCACCCTCTCTTTAATTGTGTTCAGGTCTGTAGGATAAGCCACTACCGTACAATATAAAGGATAAGCCTGGAGATCCACGGGTGCCACAAATGGAGCAGCAATATCTGAAATGAGATTGTAAAAGTTCAAATAATTTGTAACTTAAAAATTATGATACTTGTGGAGAGGGGGCAGGGAAGATTTACTACAATTAGATCAGGGATGTGCAACTTCAGTTACATGGAGAGATTGTGGAGGTGGGATGGTTCCCACTGAGTATTGATAATTAAGGAAAGGTTTAATAGATGTGTTCTAAGTTACAACAGAGTTTGATGCTATATAAGAAAGCTTTTCTGCTCCTATGATGCTGCTTGGCCTGCTGTGTTCATCCAGCCCTGCACCTTGTTGTCTCGGATTCTCCAGCATCTGCAGTTCCTACTATCTCTCACAAGATCGGTAACCAGGTCTGGCTGCATATGCATGCATATGAACTTCTGTGTTATCTCAGGAATTGGACACGGAACTAAACACTGCATAATCATCAGAGAACATTTCCACATCTTACTTAAGATAGAGGAAATTAACTTAAGTATCTGAAGGTGACTGGGTCTGGGACACTATCTGAAGAACATTTGTAATTACGTCCTGGGACTAATACAAATGACCTCCATTAATCAATGATCATCCTTTATTCTAGGTCTAACTCAACTACAGAAATGCTTTGTGAGGTTGTTGACTGCTCGCCGAGGCAGCTTGTTTTCATTCAGCTGTTTCGTCACCATGCTAGGTAACATCCTCAGTGAGGCCTCCAATGAAGTGATGTTGTTCCACTCCACTTGTAATTTATACTGTTAGGTCTGTTATTGGTAGTTGTGTCATTTCCGGTTTTGTTCTGTATTGGTTTGTATATGGGGTCCAATTCTATACGTTCATTGATTGCATTATGGGCTGAGAACCATGCCTCTAGGAATTCCCGTGTGTGTCCATGTTTGGCTTGGGCTACTATAGTTATGTTGTCCCAGTTAAATTGATGGCCTCCATTATCTGAGTGTACTGAAATTAAGGAAAGTTCGTTGTGTCATTTTGCTGCCAGCTGATGTTTGTGTATTCTGAAGGCTAGTTTCCTTCCTGTCTGTCGGGTGTAATGCTTGTGGCAATCGTTGCATGGTATTTTATAAACCACGTTTGTTCTGCATGTTGTGGGAATGGGGTCTTTAATACTTGTGAGTGTTTGTCGTAGAGTGGCTGTGGGCTTGTGTGCTATCATGATTCCTAGTGGAATCTTGTTGTCAGTTCGGACAGTTTCTCGATGTAGGGCAGTGTGGCCAGTGTGTTAGGGCGTACTATTTAGTAGGCACCTGCAGATGAAGGTGTGGGGATATGCGTTCATAGCGAAGATTCTGTATGGGTGCTTTTTCTCTTTCCTGAGTAGTTCTGGTGTGTCGCAGTGGGTGATGGCCCATTTAAATAGTGTCCTAATACAGAGGAAGGGTCACTGGACCCGAAACGTTAACTCGGTTTTCTCCTCCATAGATGCTGCCAGACCTGCTGAGCTTTTCCAGCAACTTTGTTTTTGTTCCTAATACAGATTTGTTTGTGGACGTTGGGGTGGTTGCTGTGGAAGTTGAGGATTTGGTCAGTATGGGTTACTTTCCTGTATACTTCGGTTGTGAACTCCCTGTTGGTCATACGCTCAACTCTGACATCCAAAAATGGAAGCTGATCATTGTTTTCTTCTTCTCTCATGAATTTAATCCCAGCGAATACTTTGTTGATGAGGTGGTGGGTCTCTTCTAGTTTGGTGCGTTTAATGATGACAAATGTGTCGTCCACGTACTGGATCCAGTTTAGGTTGAATACAGGGGAGGGTGGTGTGTTCTAGTCTTTGCTTGACTGCCTCTGCAATGAGTCCTGAGATCGGTGACCCCATGGGTGTGCCATTGATCTGTTTGTGTACTACACCATTAAAGACAAAGTGTGTGGTGAGGCATAAGTCTAGTAGTTTGATTATGTTGGCATTGCTGATGGAGCTGCTGGTCTGTGTTCCTGCTTCCCCTAGTAATGTGGCCAGTGTTTCTTTGGCTAGTGGGATGTAAATTGACATCAATAATGCTGTGACATCAAAGGATACCATAATCTCATCGTTGCTGATTTTTATATTCTTGAGGGTATTGAGGCATTCTTGGGTTGAGTGGACGGAATGGGGTGATCTGTCGACTAGGTGTTTCAGTCTCTGTTATAGGTCCTTGGCCAGTTTGTGTGAAGGTGTGCCCGGTAGGGAGACATGCTTCTGTGGGGGATGTCTGGTTTGTGTACTTTAGAAAGTCCACAGAAACGGGGGTTGTTCGTGCCTTCTGGTTTCATTCTCATGTAATCCATCTTGGTTATCTGTCCTGTATCCTTTAGTTTCTCCAGGGTCTGAGTGATCTTATCACCTGGCTGCGGTGTTGCGTCTATTGCCACCTGTTGGTAAGTGTTTGTATCTGCGAGCAGCGCCTGTGCTTTCTCAACATAGTTTGTTCATAACAACAGTGATGCGCCCTTTGTCAGTTGGTAGGATTATAATGTTCTTGTCTTTCTTTAGTTTATCTAGTGCTTTTCTCTCTGCTGTGTTCCGGTTGTCCCATTCATTCCTTCGGTTTAGTGTGGGGATTATAGTTTGTCGGATGGCTTGTTGACAAACAAGGGGACACAGTACGCCCTAACACACGGGCAACACTGCCCTACATCAAGAACATGTCAGAACTGACAACAAGACTCCTACGACCACTAGGAATCATGGTAGTACACAAGCCCACAGCTAATGTACGACAAACACTCACAAGGATTAAAGACCCTATTCCCACAACATGCAGAACCAACGTAGTTTACAAAATACCACATAACGACTGCCACAAACATTACATCAGACAGACAGGAAGGAAACTAGCCATCAGAATACACAAACATCAGCTGGCAGCAAAATGACACAACAAACTCTCCTTAATATCAGTACACTCAGACAATGAAGGCCATCAGTTTAATTGGGACGACGTAACCATAGTAGCCCAAGCCAAACATAGACACGCACGGGAATTCCTAGAGGCGTGGTTCTTCACCCATAACGCAATCAACAAACGTACAGAATTGGACCCCATATACAAACCCATACAGATCAAAACTGGAAATGACACTACTCACCGTAATGAACCGGTCAGTATAAATTCCAAGCGGAGTACAACAACATCACTTCATTGGAGGCCTCACTGATGATGTCACCTAGCATGGTGACAAAATGTCTGAACGAAAACAAGCCAGCTTGGCGAGCAAGTCAACAACCTCACGCACAACCCAAGCTACAGATCTTTGTTAAAACCTTAAACTGAAATGCTTTCTATCTGTTCCTGTTGACATCAATTTTACAAGGGTCCCTAATGTCCTACTCAGTGAAATGCTGTCTTGGTGTCAAGGACAGTAAGCTTCATGTCATCTCTGAACATGATTCTATCGCCCACCTTTGCTCTGATGCTACAGTAAGTGCAGGAGCCTAGTGAAACCTAAACTGAACATCAGTGAGGAGGCTAATCAATACCACTGTCAAATATACCTTCCATTACTTTGATGAGGATTGAGAGTATACTAGTGGAGCACTAAATGATAGAATGGACTTGTCTTGCTTTTTATGGACAGGACATACTTGGAGAATTTTTCACTCTATCCAGTGCTGGGGCACAAGTTTTCAGAATTTTGGCTGGGATGTTGTCAAGAGTCCTTAGCCTTTGTCATATATGGAACTTCAATCTAATTCATTAGTTGAGACATACCTTTGCTCTCTCCACAGAATATTGCAAGTGCTGTTAGCATGCATTTATGGGATCTTCACCAGTATGACAAACTACTTTCAAGAATGCTTGGTTCTGTTCCTTACATATTGTCCTACATTTTTCACTGATCATCTGGCTTGTTGTTAATGGAAAAGCAAGAGATATGGCCAAAAGGTTACAGATTGCCATGGAATATAATTTCACTGCTGTTAATGGTTCATCCCAACTCATGGATGTCCAATTTTGAGCTGCCTGATTTGTTTTGACTTTAACACATTTAGCACAGTGGTAATGTCAAAATGGAGTATATACTCGAGAGTAAAAACTGAACTTCAATTACATAATATTGTGAAGTGGTCAGTTGTATCAATACTGTCGCAAGAAGTAGTTGGTGAGGATGAGGTTTATTCCTCGTGGTAGTTTTCTCACCATCTGCTATAGGCTCGGTTTGACCGATCAATCAGCAAAAGCCAACCACTATACATTCTGTACCCCTGTTCCCTCAATGCTTCTTCCAGCTGGTATTCAGGAAAAGCACTGATTCATCAGCTAAAGGAAGCCAATTAGCAAGAGGTTATTTTCAAAAAATAACAAAAATTCTGAATACTTCAGGTATCGTTCTTCAGAGTTGAGCCAGGAATCACAATATATTTTTGATTTTGATGGTGAATCAAAAGAATCAGAGATTTCAATCACCTCAAGTCAATGTCAAATGGTTACTAATTAGTTACAGAGGCACTATTAGAAGACTGGTAAAGAAAAAGGCATTGAATTTTTTTGTGCAGGATCTAGCTAGTACCATGCAGACATCTGGTACATGGAGAGTGGGGTTATGAAGAAAACGTGAACTTAATTCAAAAGGACACCTAAGAATTTGGTCAAAGCTTCTTGTCCAACTGAACGTTCGACTTTAATTTAGTTAATTCAGGTTTTCTTGGATAAGAACGTACCAAGAGTTATGAGCTGACAGATCCCATTATAAATTCTATCGCATTCATCATCTCTCTTTCTGCAGCCCCATTCTCCTTCCTGAGATTTGTACAGCTGTATCTTATGATCGGCAGCAGTCAAGGGAACACTTGATCCAGGTTCTGTGGGGAAAACAGCTGAAATACAATAAGCACAGTTAATCCAAAGGAAATAATATGATGACATAGTCTCATTAATGAAAGGTTAAAGCTAGCCAAACCCAATTCAGATAAAGTTTATGACAAGCTTCTCTCTCTTCTTAAAAAAAAACAACTAGCTACGAGTAGCTGGACACACAGGAGTGAAATGAAACTCCTTCCAAGTTTTGAATGTTTAATAAGGTCACCCCTCAATTTTCCATATTCTAAATAAAACAGCCCTAACCTACTCAGAGTTTCATGATAACTATACCCCCCTATTTCTTGCATTATCCTTTTAATTTTTTTTGCCAATGCTCCTACATCGTTTTTTTTATAATATGGACACCAGAACTGCACATAGACTATTTTCACCAGAATTTGTCTGTATTTCAGTTCTGTTCCTCTAGAAAAGGTCCTTTTGTTTGCACTTTTTATGGTTTTATTAAACTGTGGATTAGCACAGCAGGAAGGCAAAACAGTAAGGAGACACAATGGGACTAAATGGTTACAGCACTACAGGAGGTAGAGAATGGTGAAAGGAGTCAGGCAGCCAGGTTTTACCCACAACACCAACCCAAAATACAGACAGCAGTTATCAATGCCTTTTCCAAACAAAAAGCATAAAGAAAATGCAGACAGCATTGAGGAAGATATCAGGGATGAAAACATAATAAATTTAAAAAGAAAAGTAATAAAGAAAAAGGGAGAAGTAACAGAAGACAGGGAAAGAAACAGCAACATGAAGACATTGGATAACTGAGAAAGACCATATAGTCCAACTTGTCATGTGCACTGCTACACATAACATTTATTTTGCAATGCAATGGCTATGATTTAAGACTTCATTCTTGGGCTAGGATATATCGATGAAGCCTTACACAGAATAATTATTTGACCTTCTTGTGTAATATTAAATAATTTTGGAGAAGAATCGAATAGAAACTACCAAGGCTTGAGAAACTTACAAATCTTGCTCAGCTCTGTGCAAAAGTTATCAAATCCAAACTCAGAATTTTCAGAAGCTGAAATGTTCAATCAAAAACTATGGCAAGTAACTCACCTCCTGACTCCCCAAAGCCTTTCCATTATCTACAAGGCGCAAGTGAAAAGTGTGATGGAATACTCGCCACTTTTCTGGATGGATGTACCTCCAACAACACTCAAGAAGCACGACACCATCCAGGACAAAGCAGCCCGCTTGATTGGCACCACATCAACAAGCATCCAGTCCCTCCACCACCGATGCTCAGTAGCAGCAGTGTGTCCTATCTACAAGATGCACTGTAGAGAAATGAAAACACCATGCCCTGCAACTTCCCGTCCAAGCCACTCACCACCCTGACTTGGAAATATATTGCTGTTCCTTCACTGTCACTGGGTCAAAATCCTGGAATTCCCTCCCTAAGGGCATTGTCAGTCAATCAATAACAGGTGGACTGCAGCAGTTCAAACAGGCAGCCCACCACCACCTTCTCAAGGGTAATTCAGTATGGACAATAAATGCTGGTCAGCTAGCTACACTCATATGCCATGAATGAATAATCAATATAAAAACCCAATAAACATAACAACCTACACAAAACATTGTACAAAGTATGGAGATAGACAGCGGTTCCATCTAGGCTTCATTTTGTATAAAATACCTGGCCATTGCTTATACATTTTGGAACTCTAAAAACAAAATCGTTGCCCAGATGCAAAAACAGCAACTCATGAAAGAGAAAAAAAGCACAGGAATGCAGATGATCACACACAATTCAATCATGAATGATTCTTCCAGTAGCATCTCAACACCAATTCAATTTATCAGTGTTCTCTATTATGGACGTACCAAAGATTTGACAAACTGTAAGTTGTAGTTAAAGCAAAAATATTCTGGGTGAATGCTGCATTTTCTCTGTACATACCATCAGGTGGTATCACTTCCATATCCCAAGGGCTCATCTTTTCAGTATCTCCGTTATCCCAGCTAGAAGTAGAAAGGCAAAATATAAGCTTCTAAAGACTGTACTAATAGTTACAAATCAAATTCTGAAATAGGTTGAGCTTAAACTGTAAACTTCATTGTAATCTCTAGAAATATAGGACTGTAGGAAAAGGAGTAGGCCAGTTAGCTCCTCGAGCCTGTTCTGCCATTCAGTGACATTATGTTTGATGTGCGACTTAATTCTGTATACTCATGAATGCCCTCCCCAGCAATTTGGGTATTATAAAATTGATTTTTGCATGAGGAATATTGATGTGTCTTGGAGTAAGGCTTGCCAGATTTAATATACAGTAGAAAATAGATACATTAGGCACCTTATTTTCTATCACACTGGACATTAAAACAGCAAATAAACATTCAAATAACATTCTGACAACTAATGGATCACTTAATGTTCAAACCTTATAAATACACATGATAAAAATTTAACTGCCAAATTTAGTTTGCACATGCACAGCTAAAGCAAAGGCACTTCTGGTGGGGGATGGGGCTGATATATGATCTCCTCAGTTAACCAGGTTGCTAAGGAGCAGAAATGAAACAGTCATGGTGGTGATTTACAGCAAAAGCCAACAGCAACCATGTCCATAAAAGCAATTCAGCTTAACTATGATAGTAATCTCCCACAATATGCATCTTCTGTTCTCCTATTTAAATTTTGCCTCAAGATCCACTTGCACATACTCAGACGACATTATGAAATATATTTGAAAATAATTCATACAGATTACTCTATGCACCTACAAAATAAGTAAAATGGATAAAAATCTTCCCTTGTTAACTTGTTGACCATTTTTTTAATGGTCTTAAAGGTGACAGCAAATGTATTCGCCCATGAACTTAATTCTGGCCAGTAAGTTTTCAAACACTGCATTTGCATTATTCACAGAAAAACCTGAAGGCAACAGTGTCTTCAGTATCAATCACTGCACACACTAGCAAAGAAGATTTGTCACAAGTTCATCCCTTGACACACAATTAACATAAGGCATTAAAAAAAGTAACTTCATGACCAGAATGATCAGGGTTTAAGTGGTAAACTGCCCTGTTGTATTCACTGCCAACACATTATGCAATCAGATATTCAGAACATGTCATACACCAATTTCTGTTTCACAAGCTATTTTTACCAATTCACTTTCACTTCCTTAGTCAATCTTCGAATATGACAATAACATTTCAATTTCATAATCAAAGGGTGCTAACAATCATACAAAAATAAACTGGGCAATGGTATCCCAATCTTTTCTCCAAATATATTGCATTATTAGTTACAAAAAAAAAATAAAATCTAAGATATTGTTGCAAGTTACGTATAGCTGTTTCTATAATCATCACTTTAATAAAAGCAACCAGGCATTTTGCATATATGGTTAATATGTGACCTAACTCTGTATACTCATCTTTGCCATCAATACGTTTGCTTAACAAAACTTAACAATTTAGCTTTTTAAACTTTCCCATTTGAGAAGTGAATTCCAAACTTTCAACACCCGTAGTATGTACAAGTGTTTACTAATGTCATCCCGAGACGTCTGGTTCTAACTTTTGGACTGCTCACCCTTGTTCAAGACTCCTCAAACACTGGAAATTAAAGTTCTCACATTCCTGAAATCCTTCTAATATCTTGAAAACTTCAGTCAAATCACCCCTTAAACTTGGAAACTCCAGGGTGACAGTACGGAGAGAGATCTCTTCATAAATTTAACCACTGGAATCCAGAGGCAGTGTTTAGGGTTTTGGTCTGTGGCAGAGTCAAATGGGGGTGGGGTCCAGGCATGTGTAGACAGCTGTCACTCATCAGTGATTTTCTCTAAACATGTTCTCTAACATGTACATGCTGAGGATTGGTTGTTTAGGCAACCCTTCTTATTGCTTGTCCTCATGCAGGGATAGTTACATTACACCCCCAGCACAGTAATATCATGGCACCACCTATATCTGATTCCAAGTACTACATTCTATCTTTATTTTATTTACACGTGGGACGTGGGCATTGCTGGGTGGGCCAGAATTTATTGCCAATCCCAAGTTGCCCTTGAGAAGGTGGTTGTGAGCTGCGTTCTTGAACCACTGTAGTCTATATGCTGTATGTACATCCATAAAGCTGTTAGGGAGGGAGTTCCAGGATTTTGACCAAGTAACAGCAAAGGAGCAGTGATGTACTGCCAAATCAGGACAGTGTGTGGCAATAAAAAGTATTTTTTTTAAATTCTCTGATTTTTCTTTAGCTTAAGAAACCTTTCAGCCTTCATACCACTTAGGAGCCCTGACTGGCCCTCCATACCTTGAAGTTCTGACTTGTCCTTCACAAGTTTCTCTTGGTCTTGTTTCATTTCCTGCTACAACCTGTTCCTGTTCTCTCTCCTTGGGTATTGTCAAATCCTCATTGAACAGTGAATATGGCTTTGGAAAGGATATTCAGTTAGTCTTCAGAAGATGTTTCCAGTTTATTCTGAATGGTTTAACATCTGGTGTTTGTATCATGTATGACCTTGGCGTGTCATGTCTTCTTAGTATAACTGCAGGATGCCATTTTTTGACTTATATGATTCTCACTCTCTCTCTTTCTGACAATGACAGACAAATTTCTGGTCTGTTTTTTGCTAAATATTGCCTGTACTTCATTTCTCTCCTCTTAATCATTTCCTGGATAATTCAGTAGAGTGCAAGCTTCAACAACTTTTCAGAAGTTGGCAGTTTTGTAACAGAGCAGGTGACAGTGCAACAACATTCAAAGGTGTGTTTCAGTACTCAAGCAGGGCCTTCCTGTACTTTTTCAGCAGGTTCTTTATAGTCTGAATGGCTCTGTCAAACTTGACCATTTGACTGTGGAAACCCTGGATTTGATGTTGAATGCTTGAATTTCCCAGCTGCTTGCAAAGTTTCAGAACTCCTGAGCTGGCAAATGTTGTGCTATGTTGTCTTCAACAAGAATCCCATACCTTACAAAGTTGGACTTCATTGCTATAATGACTTGCTTGCTTGTAGTTTCTCTCAGTTTGGAGATTTCAGGATATTATTAAAAAAATCCAGGCACAGAAGATACTCTCCACTGTTGTAATGAAACAGATCAACTCCAACTTTTGGCACAACTCATTCAGGCACCTGATGACAAATGAGAGGATTTTGTGCTTTGTTGTTCTTGGAAGAGTTGCATACTGAACACCTTGATGCAAAATCTTCAATCTGTTTCGCCATCCCTTGCTTGTTCTTTGCACTTGGTTCTTAGGTGAGCCTCATAAATTTTATCAAGCATTTCCTTTTCAGTGGAATGACTAGTTCTTGCAAAAGTAATCCCACTGAATAGGTCAGAACTGCTCTAAATGTCCAACTGGATCTTCTTTGAAACTTTTCTTCTAGATTCCAGCCATCCCTTAAGCACCTCTTCCTTTACTACATGCAACTCTTCATCCTCTTATGTTGTTGTCTTGAACTTTTCCAATTTCTCTTCTGAGACAGGAAGTTGACATGTGATCATATTATTTTCCAACTTGTTCTCATTGTTTTCTCTCAAATGGGCTAAACTCAGTGTATCAGCCACATGCATTTCTTTGCATGGTTTGTATTTAGGCTTTAAGCAGACTCTCAAAGCTAGCTAGCTAGCTAATAGAAAGCCCACCAACTCAGAAGGAGCTGTTGCCTGCCATTTCAGATGTGAGAGAGAGGCCACATCCATTCTGAGGTGCACTCTCAGCACTTTTAAAATGTCTCCATTTTAAATGCCCAGGTCAACATCATCAATGGGAAAACTCCTCCAGAGGGCAGTTTCTGGCCAGCAGAGGTGTGACCAGCTAGAAAGGCCTGCAGAATTGTACCTCAGCTCTACTACTATGACACCTTTCCTGGTGCTATCATCAGTAGGAGATGCAGGCCAGCTGAAACTGAACATTGGCCTTAGTTGATAGTTGATTTGTTAATATCTTAATTATCTCCCATCGTCCATGGATGGAGGTAGAGCCCAATGTCCTTTTACTGCTTCTGGGAAGATAGCTCTGTGGAGCAGGTTACTGGCAAACCAGCGCACTGATCATCAGTGTAATTGCACCTTTGTATTTGTCTATTTCTTTTGCAGTTATCATTCTGATAAACGCAGATGGTGGGAATCTTCAGTTACTTAGTGTTCATCTGAAATGAATAGTTAGTTCAACTTCAAAGTAGATAACTAAGCTTTTCACACCCAAATTGTACTACACATGGAAAATGTTAAATTTTCCTCTTTGTGCTTTAGTCCCAACCTAAATGTATGCTGTGTGCCACCAGCTTGGAAATCAGTGGTAATCAATTCTTGGAATGTAATCTGGGTATGTTGGTGGAGGAAAAAGCTTTGGAATTATTCAGGAGATAGTTAGGTCTGGTAGGGAGGTTAAGCTCTGAGGGAAGGAACAGAAGTAGATGGGTCAAATAACCTCTCTCACATTTATGTAACTTTGTGACTACACTATTTAAGTCAGTTAAGTTACTCTTAATATACATGCTGTCAGAGATTACCTTACCAGACATTGTAGCACTGGAATAGACTATCAGGATATTCTGGTTGTAGGGGCTCCTGGCTCTCAATGGTCCCAAACCACCATGCATCATCAATCACTGACCGAAATCGATCTCCTAAAGTACGGTAGGTCAAAACAACACTGATGTTCATACTGGAATTAAAGTGTCTCCATGTCAACCAAACTAAAATAAATACAATGCAATTTTAAATAGACTACAGTTTAATAAGCTAATGTGCCAAGTAAAGAATATTTCTGTAATCCCCCATCAGAACCTTTATTTATCATACAATAGAATAATTTTACAAGATTTGAGTGCTGTTATTAATTCTATAATGTCCTACATAAACTTGGATAATTTTATATCAAATTGTAGGAGTCCCTCAGCAAACATTTTATTAAAAGTTCAAGGGTGGACATTTCCCTTCATTGGAGGTGGCAAGGAGAGCAAATAATTGGATGAAATGGCCCAGAGAGGTGTTCATTCCTTTTTTGCCATCTCAGCAATTAAACACTGGGTGATAAGTCTATGGTTAACCTTCTTGTATCATCTCCAATCCAGACCCTTAAGTGATCAATTAATGAGCACTTAAGGGCCTCAGTTTGCAACTGATCCAATTACTGACACTCCTGGCTTTGTTTTGTAAAACTGATACATGGTACGTACATTTTAGTTGTAAAGTTTATTTCTTCAAATTACAAAAGTCAATCACAATTCTACAAGATAGCTGCAAGCTTTGTCCATTAACCAGAGATAACATCTAATCTTACTAGCATCGTCACTGCAGTATAATGAGCATTGGAATTTGTAACGAATGTCATTTTGAACTAATGTCAAAAAGGAATAACATTCATTTGATTCGCCTTTACGTACGTACCAATCTTCCACTGTCGAGATTTTGTCTCATCAAACTGCTGTCGTAGCACTAGAAAATCAATAACATCTGGCATATCATGGTACCTACAATCAGGATAAAAACAAATACTTAAAATAACAACTTATATTCTTTACACACTGTACAGTGAACACTAAGTCTGTTTCAAAGATGGCATGCCAACTCAGTGTGAAAACAAAAAATGATTAACAGAATAATATTGTAGAATTTTAAACATTTTGCTCAATAGCTATATATAATGAACCATTTGGAAATTAGAGAGATTTCAGCAGCAGAAATAATCTAACCTTGGCTATTCATAACTGAGTAATGACTGATGACATCTGGGTACAGCGAACTATGTGCAGCACCAAGGCATGCTGAAACACATCGTAAATTTTTACAATCATGTTCAAAGTGTGACAGTGGATTGAAAGCCCCTTTTCACATTTCTCAGTTCTATTTTCATTGACTTCATAAAGTCAATTCTACTCCATTGTGTGGTCCATTTGTAAAAATGTTAAAATAACAATTTAAAATTTGTTCTAAGCTAATTAATAAAAGAAGAGGCCACTTTTTAAAATTTAAATCTTGCCACCTGTCTCCCACCATCAAGACAGGACATGGAATTTCTGGAAAATTTGTCCACTTGACAATAAGTATATTCATACCGTCCGATTTTAACCCTGATTACCTGGCCAGAATGGGACAAGTAGGTTGGACTGCCTTCTTGATGTATTTCTATTCATTGTGATTTAACTTTTGAATATTTGCCAAATCCACAGTACCCTTTGAATACAAGCAAGGGTCTAGTTAACATAAATGTCATGCACCTAAGATACAATTGCGACCCTGGCATGATGTTAATTGCTGTTTGCAGCAGTCATGCACAATTATATCAATTGTATATCAAGTGTATATCAAGTGTACACCAACACTGAGCAGGAACTGGCTCAGAAAGAGTCCAGAAATGTCAGTAAAATATTTACTTTCTGTTTCTTTTCAGACTAGGTATGGTCTTGCTGACACAAAGATATACCTTGGGTCTCCCACCTCAAGTTGCCCTCCAGCTCACCTAATAATGTTCACCTTGCGATCATCATCAAACTGGCCTCTCTACCCTCCCTTCCTCAGTATTTATCTGCTCATAAGGACCATCCCTATGGGTCCCCAGCAGTAGACTCCTGGTAGTGAAATCACACATTCATCCTACAGGCAGGTCAATCCAATTTATCAAGATTTAATTATTACTTTCCGTAAAAGACTGCTCTTACTTCATAGAGAATGAACCTCCTGTCAGTTTGCCTGTGTCTGTATCGATGAAAGCCAGTTTGAGACAGCACAGAGATGGGGGTCCCACTTCGTATTTGATCCCAACGATTTTCACCAGCTCTTGCTCCTGCCAGAAGTACAAAATACGTTTAATGTTGAACTTACAAACTTTTATTAAAATCTTTCCCCAAGTGTTACAGAAAAGTAAACTATTTAGACCTTTGTACAAAATCATTTCAAGAGCAACCCAATGTGACAAAGGCTCTAAATATGTTATTATTTGGAAACTTAGGTTTTAAAGTTGAGCAAAATGGAGTTTAGTTCTCAGTTTTATGATGGTCTGATCTTTTCTTATGTCATTTTGATTAGCAAGCTAAAGACAGCATTTCCAGGAAATTATTTGATTACTGGGTAAATGACAAGCATGGTACTCCACCACCCCAAGATAATTACTAAGGTTGGTTTACCATGCATTTTACAACTCAGAGAGGGATGGGAAGTGGGGTCCAGAAACAAGTTAATTCAGACAAAAACTGGTTCCATCAAAGAGAGAAGATCCTTAACAGCAGAAGCACTGTTATCAGCAGTTCAAGAAGTCAGTGTCCTAAAGTATTTACTGCAGGGAAAGAAGGCCTTTGGCCCATTGAGTCTGGGAAAGTCATCAAACAGCTATCTATTCCAATAATGTTTTCCAGCACTTGGCCAGTAGTCTTGCATGCAATGGCATTTCACGTGCTCACCTAAATAATTTTTTATATGCCTTTTAGGCAATGAGTCAGTACTAGGGAATAAAACCTTTGAGTTACTTAGGAGAAAGCCAGTAACAGAAGGCTGTAGATGAGTTGGAGTGGAAGCTAAATGGATGCCTTCAAGAGCCTTGTAGGGTAAGGAATGCCTGCTAAGCATTAAGTGAGCTCAGTAAGCAGCTTTTTAAGGGTGTCAGGAACACACATTAATTCAAGAGATCTGCACTCAGTGAATGAACAAAAAGGCTGCCAAGAAGGAAACTGATGACAGTTCTGCCAACTGAACAAGGACCCTTCAACTAAGATTTGAGTATCTCTAAGCCTGTTGTTGTGGTAAAAAGTTTAGACCATCAGCCATAGGAGTAGAAGCAGAAGCAAAAATAGGCCATTTGTCCCATCGAGTCTACTCTAACACTCAATGAATTCATGGCTGATCTGACAATCTTCAGCTTCACTTTCCTCCCATTACCTCATACGTCTTAATTCCCTGATTAAAAATCTGCCCATCTCAGCCCTGGATATACTTTATGGCCCAACCCTGACAACGGATTCATCACTCTCTCAAAGAAGAATTTCTCCTCAACTCCATCTTAAGTGGGTTGAATCTTCCTTTCTGATTTTTGTAGTGACACCTTTTCAAATAGTCCTTGAATAGTGTAATATGAATGCTTTTGCTTTGTGCAGTAAACTTTCATGTTCTTTTGTTAAAAGTAAATTGGCAGCCTTTTGTGAGAATGTGATTGACTACCATGGCAAACATAAAGGAAAAATAAACTTATGGTCTAACAAGCCAGGGATCTCATCCTGGGAATGTGATTGGTCCAGTATTATCATCAGTTGGGAACCTCACATCAGTGGCGCATTTCTGTCAATCATTTACTGCATCTTCTAAGAGCTTTCAAGTAAAACGAAAATGCTTAACAGTGCAATTTTCTTTTTTTCTGCCTGGAGTCTGGTTGGACAAAGACCCATTCCCAATTTGAGAAGTCTCCAAATCATATCAAATAAGCAATCCAAAGAGGGAAAGTGTCTGTTTGCTCAACATGGCACACACATTCTCCAATCCCCACACCCTGCTGTGGGAGAGGGCAAGTGTGGAGAGCTCAGAAGTTGGACTCATCAGCAGCACAATATCTGCAGAAATAAGCATAAGTATAATTTGTTAGAAAATACTCAGAACAGGCTGTGCCAGGCCATTCTCTATATTGTTTTCAAATAACATAACTGATGAAGCATTAGTCCAATCCCCCAAAGGCTGATGAAAGAGAGAGAGAGACAGAGAGAGGTTTTGGTACAATGAATTTCCTATTCTGGAAAAAATTCGAGATTCTGCTCAATACTAGCTTTCGGTTACTTCTGTGTCACACGAGCCACCAGTTTGACTTTCTCACAAATATTGATATTGGAAAGTGAACTTTCCTGAACCTTATTCCTTGTTCCAATAGTTTATTCATAAAACAAAAATAGCTGGTAGAAAGGAATGGATTGTAGATACAACAAAATAAGTCACTTTTAAACTGACAGTTTGTGGGAAGGCTACGTATCTCCAATCATTGTGGGGTACATGGGATACCGGAAGAATCAGCCATTCTGCTCGACCTAACAGCAACAGTTAGAGCACAGCCTTGATGGGATCCTGATGCAATCATCACTGAGTATATTCAGCCAACTCCCAATTACCAACAGGAGACATTTTTTCCCCAGTCTTCAAGATTCTCATAAAATGAATGTTACCTGTTGACTAGAATAAAATTATAATGCAACTTTCTTAGACAAACTTCCAATGATACTTTACCCGTAAATCCATCTTATGCCATGCCTGCTTTTTAGGATTTATACGAAAAAGTTTTAACTTCTTAGCCATTTCAACATAGGCTTCATGACCCTGTCGAAAATAGTAAACCTAGAATTCAAACACAAAAAAAAGTAGCTAGCTTGCTATTCCCAAAACAGAACACAAGTATGAATGGATAACATTTTCTTACAAAATAATGATTTAGTGCAGACAGTAATGAAAAATTCCTGGGCTAATGAATAACAAGTCAACCATGGTCAATGAAAATGCCTCAATTTGTCAGGTGAGATATGCGATATTACAAACACAATTATTATGTGAATTTATCTCTATTCTAAAGCCTACATATACAGAAATTAGATATGGGAAAACAACGCTATCTTTAGCACAAATGCATAGAAAGGATGATAAGAGATTGCACATATATTATAAATCAAATTATGGACATTCACTCATGCATAATTCAGACAATTATGAGCATGAAATACATCATTTAAATATTGGAATCAATGTAATAGAAAGGTTAGCACAGTGAGGACCTGCCATTGTATTTTTTTAAGGTGGGAGTGAAGTTATGTGTTCCTCAAGAAGACAGGTACTAGTACTGAGGAATGGAACAGTTTCTCAGATAAGACGTGCAGTAACATATCAAGCAACACCAAATCAAATACAGCACCAAAAAACAAAATCTAACCAAGCAATGTGCATCAACCCCAAAAGAACAACCACAGCAATTCCATTCTCTGCACCATGTATACCTATGCTCAAAACCAGAAATTGCCGGAGAAACTCACCAGGTCTCGTAGCATCTGTGGAGATCGTGCAGATCACAAATGCCCTGAACATGGTACTAACAAACTAACTACTAATATTGATCATAAGGATAAAATAAAACAAAGAACTATACATGCTAGAAATCTGAAATAAAAACAGAAATTGTTGGAGAAATTCAGCAGATCTGGTAGCATCTGGGGAGAGAGAAACAGAGTAATCAGATTTCCAGCATCCACGGTTCTTTGTTTTGTTTTATACTTATGGTCTTTCTGATCAATATTGCCAAGTTAATAGCAAATTCAGGACATTCGTGGTCTGCACTATTAACAGTCAACTTTTGTCAAGCTCCTTCATTTCTTAAAGAAATACAGGAACTAGGAGTAGGAATAGGCCATTCAACCTTCCAAGCCTGCTCTGCTATTCAATATGATCATGGCTGACCTTCTACCCTCAATGCCATATTTTTTTCCTCTTCATACTTCATGATACCTTTGAAATTTAAATTTATCCAACTCTTTCTTATATATATTCAGTGACTTGACCTCCACAGCCTTCTGTGGTAGAGCATTCCACGAGTTCACTACCCTTTTGAGTGAAGAAATACTTCCTCATCTCAGTTCACCCATCACGAAAACCAGCCTTCCTTCCATTGACTTACATCTATACTTCCGCTGCCTTGGGAAAGGAGCCAACATTATCAAAGACTCCTCCAACCTGGTGATACTCTCTCCACCAGGGAGAAGATGCAAAAGTTTAGAAACATGTACCAACAGATTCAAGAACTGCTTCTTCCCCGCTGTTATCAGACTTGTGAACGGACCTCTCATATATTAGACTTGATCTTTCTCTGCAGTTTCTCTGTAGCTATAATACTATATTCTGGACTTTGTTAATACCCTGATGTACTTATGTAAGGTATGATTTGTCTGGTTAGTACCCAAAACAAAATTTTTCATTGTATCTTGGTACATGTGACAATAATAAAGCAAATCAATTCACAAACTGAATTTCTCTAAAACCAGGTACATGGATGGGTTTAAAGCAAACTTAGACAGGATCACGTGAAAAAGACTTTTTGAAGAAAAAACAATCTTGCAACAGAATAATTTGTACAGAATTAAGCCTGGAATAATTACATCCAGTGGTTAATGTAAAATGCATTCTGGGGCACACACCTACTTCCCAATCAATTATAGTTTTTGACCCCATTCATAAATGGCCATATTAACAACTTGAGCTAATGTTAGGTTAAATATATTTTCACTGGCTACTGATCCTTAGCTCTCTTTCAGGCTCACCTTCAGCGATTTCAGCATCATTCCAAGTAAGTTGCAACTTTTTAAAAAATTCTTATTATAGTTCTTTATTCTTTTCTAAATTAAGCTTCATCTGCCATTTTGGTCAAAATTTCCATATCTGGTCCAACTTCAATTTCTAATCTGACTCCTCCAATTTCACCACTTCTCTTAGCTTGATACATCTCCATATTTTAGCATTTTGAATTAATTTTGAGTCCAGGTCATTTACATGTGTGTCACATTCTGACGTATCCATTCAGTCTCTTCTCCATTGTGACATAATTCCTCTAGTACTATTATTTCCTATCCTTCAGAAGTTTCTTTTTTATGTCCAGAGTGCAACCTGAAATCCTAAAAGCCCAATGAACATCTACAATAAAAATGATTATTTCATTATGAAATCTAATTGGACAAGCATTACATTGTATGCTTAAGTGGTTTTGGAATTTGAATAGATTGCATGTTGCACTGAACATTTTACAAGAAACACCAATATTTTGAGATAATGGTATTCCTCAATAAGTAAGTGTATATGTGCACAATTCACTCCCAGAATTGACAGTGAAAAGCCTTGTAATGGTGATGAATTTAAATGTAGCAATTTTCTCAGCATGATTTTCTGCACTGCTAGCCAACAGCAGCACACCTGTCTTAGGGAAGGAAAGGGAACGTAAATTGCTTGTCCCATGTAATCAATAAAGTTCAGGAGAAACTCTGTCACAAGCCATCCCCTGCATGGATTTCCATGCTAGATAAAAGGGAAGGAAACAGAAATTTGTTTGCAGGACTACAACAATACAAAAACAAACTACTGAGGATGTTGGTAAACTGAAATAGAAATGAGAAAATATGCTGAAAAAAACTCAGTATTCAGGCACCATCTTTGAAGAAAAATATTTTAGGTCAGCTCAGTCTGAGGTTGCCTGATCTATTGAGTAATTCCAGCATTTGGTTTTGTGTGCATTAAGAATGTTTATTTCATACTTTCTTTTACACACTCATCCACCATTACCATTGTGAAACACGGTCCCATTTGATGATATTTAAACATGGTGGAGATTTCTTAATTTGACAATGCATTTTTCTAATCAAATCAACATTAACATTTTATTTTGGCATAAAGAAGTTGTATACATTCCATCAGCCATCGTTGGTCTAGAGTAGGTCTGCAGCCCATTCCCAATAGGGGCTTGAGTTTGGGAGATTACAGAAGGAGAATGGTAAAAAAGAGAAAAGAAGGTACAATATTTTCTGATATTACAACGTCAAAACGGCATTTGCATTTTGAGTATGATCAACCACCAAACATTAATTTCTCAGAACTAAGCACAACAAATGAACATTAGAAACTGCAAAGATGAAGAGGATTGATAGAACTGAACAAATCTTCCATCTCTATGGCAGTGAGATAAACCAAACAAACTAGGACAAATATATCCCATGTTGAATAAAGAGTAGGGCGTTATCATGACAGTAGAAATAGAAAATTGTAATACCTCATCACCCATTTGTGGTACAAAAGGACAACGCCTAGGCATAGTGTCAGTAATCCACACTGGTGGAAGCCACTCTTCCAGAGTCTCTCCTTGCTTCGGTATGACTCCAGCTGGTGGTCTCTGGAAAATGACAACATTTTCTATCTATTAAACTGGTTTAGTGCAATCATTTACAAATGACCTCTGTACTGCACCAGTAATCATAAGTAACCTTTGACCTGACATTCTTTCATGAGCTGATTCCTCACCATTTCTACTTTTTTCTACTGAGGGACTAAAAAAAACTTTCCACGTAAACCATCACCTTTATTCTTTTCTCCCTCGGCTTCCTTCTTATCTTTGGAGTTGCAGTACCATCTTTGTCTTCTTTATGTTTCTTCCTTTCCTTCTTTATTTCTTTTTCTTTCCCTTTCTCTTTTTCTCCTTCGTCTTCTGAACTACTAACAGCTTTCTTTGCTTGTTGCCGTGAAGATTTTTTTGGTGGCTGGAGGTTAATACCAGCATCAGCAGTCCAGTCAGAATAGTCACTTGAATAGTCACTAGAAACAGAAAACTACAATAAATGAAAAGGCCATTGATCTGAAACATTAACTCTGGTTCTGTCTTCACACAGAGTAATACAGCATAGAAACAGACCCTTCGGTCCAACCAATTCACGCCAAACATAATCCCAAACTAAGCTAATCCCACCTGCCTGCTCCTGGCCCATATCCCTCCAAACCGTTTCCATTCATGTACTTATTCCAATGTCTTTTAAATGCTATAATTATACCCACATCCACCACTTCGTCAGGAAATTCATTCCACACGCAAATCACTCTCTGCGTAAAAATGTTGCCCCTTGTGTCTTTATTAAATCTCTCTCTTCTCTCCCTAAAAAAAACCCCTTGTCTTGAAATTCCCCATCCGAGGGAAAAGACAACTACCATTAACTCTATCTGTACCTCTCCTTATTTTATAAACTTCTTTCAGGTTGCTCTCAATCTCCTATGCTCCAGTAAAAAAATCCCAGACTATCCAGCCTTTCTTTATAACTCAAACCTTCCATACCAAGCAACATCCTGGTAAATCTTTTCTGAAACCTCTCCAGCTTAATAACATCCTTCCTATAACTGGGCAACCAGAACAGGACACAGTATACCAGAAGAGGCCTCACCAATGTCCTGTACAATCTCAACATGATTTCTCAACTCTTATACTCAAAGGTCTGAGCAATGAAGGCAAGTGTGCCAAATGCCTTTTTAACCACCCTGTCTATATGGGACGCAAGCTTCACAGAATTATGCACCTGCACCCCTGGATCTCTCTGTTCTGCAACACTGTCCATGTTGAATGATGAGCTACATTCTTCCAGCATTTTCTGTTTTTCATTTCGCACGTTACTCAATAGACATCTCCTCCAGACTACTTTGTTAATAATTTATACAGCTTCCTCCAGAAAAGCAAATGCAGCAGCCCAAATTTTCTGTTATCACAGTAATTTAGATTAGGGTATTTACCAACAAAGTTTCTGGCAAAATGTAATCTTGTCATCATTCACATTTCAAAGATAGCTAATTTGGAAAGTTGGACAGGTGCAGGTGCACTATGGGCTGTACAACTTTTAGCTATAACATTAAACAGCCAATGCAGTACATCCTCATTTTAAGTATTTCATTTTAGATTGTTTTGATTTAACCTTGTGTTTTTAATAGGTCTAGTATTTGCATTTAGCTTTATAGATTCACAGACTGAGTGTTGTTTCATGTCATGTCTTGATAAATCCCAATTGGTACCATTTTGGAGCAGCCTCTTCCATTTCCTAACCCTCTCAGTCACTGCTGAATCTTCTGATCAGCATCTCCCACCTCTTCCAGCTCGACACTGCTCCAAAATGGTACCAATTGGGATTATCAATACAGGATGTGAAACAACATTAAGACTGCAAATCCATGAGACTAAATGCAAATACTGGGCCCATTAAAAATACAAGGTTAAATCAAAATTAAAATGAAGTAACTTAAAGTGAGGACATACCATATTGACTGTTTAACGTTATAGTCCACTCTGAAACTCAATAATGTTGTCAGTATGTAGGTCGCTTCCTGCCTCTTGCCATTCATCTTCCAGACCATCGCTTGCGCAACAGTTTGGAAAAGGGATGTGGCCAACAGGAGAGTAGGTGGAGGTTTGGGGAATGGGACAGTCAGGAAGCACTGTCAGTAGAAAGTCAGATGACCAAAGTAAAATATTCCTGGACAACCTTATGTCATATAAAGGCACTAAATAAATTCCTTACCTTTCCAATAACATGGATAACCAGTTTCATGTAAACATTGTTTATAACTTGAAATATGAATACTCCTAATGTCATTATCCTAATCTTCCAGGAACTACATCATTATATGCATATTGCTTACAAAGTGTTTGCATTTAAGAAAACAAAGATATTTTTGTTCCACAGCTTATACGACAACATCCATACCTGAAATTCACACCTAATGGCCGAGCAAAATCCCTTAGAAGCAACATTTATAGCCTTATAGCCATTAATTGAGCTGGTCACAAACTACAATACTGTAACCAATTAATTAGAGTCCTGCAATCTGGAAGCAATGATGAGAGTCTCTTATCTAGTACTGGTAACATACTGTAGCCCACAAAGGGCCATAAGCATCTCTTTCCACTAGAAAAAGCTAACTGGTTATATACTGTATAACATAATTTGAGAGACACCACTCCACATCAAGAGCAGGTGAGGCAATTAAACAGACAGTACCAAGGTTGAACCTCTGCTGTTGCCATCATTCTCCAGGCATCTAGCCAAACAAGCTCACCCACCTCCCATTTATTCTGTGGCCAACAATAATGTGGAAAACTACAAGTTATAGCCAACCAAGGTAACATCAAGGGGAGAGAAGCAATATGAAAAACAATGAAATGAACAAAGTGAAAAGCACAAGGGCAGAAGTCTTTACGTTCTCAGTGATTACTGCGTATTATCTGTGCTGTATTCCCTGGCAGCTGAAGTTGAGTATCTATTAAGCTTTGTTTCAGGATGGCTCTCTAGCATAACACCTGTTTTGTAACAGTGACGAAGACACAGGTTGAAACTGTTCTGTGTGTTTCAGAGCAAACTAGTCCCCACTCACCCACCTCTTCCCACCCTTCTGGTAAGCTTGCTTACTTTTCATATTTGAACATAAATTTGTTAAACACACAAATTCTTCACAATTTGGTATAGGTTTTGATTCTGGAACTCTGCATCACAACAAGCGGAAAACAGCAGTAAACATATTTTTAATCATTGAATAATGTTAAGAACTTAAAAAAGAAAATCATTTAAAACATGACTTGCCTAGAGCTGCTGCTTTCATTGTGCCAGGCATCCCCATCCTCTTCTGACGTCACACCATTGACAGCACAGACTTCAGCCTCCTGAAGTAAAAATCAAATTTGCTAAAGACATGCATTTCTATAATTAAAGGCATTTCACACAATATGTATTCCTGGTGCTGCCAGTAACGACATGCATTTTAGAAATACAAAGATGTGTCAGATGCAATTTATTAATGATGAAATTTAAAAAGTGTTGGCATCTGAAGTCATAGATGGTCACACCAATTAGAAGTTCAGAAATTGCTGTGTGATGGGACTCTTGTGAGTGCCCATACACAAATAAAGTCAAAACATAAATGTTTCTTTCAAAATGTCCTAGTTATAACAGCAAGAGGAGGCACTTACCTCTCCTCTCTGTGTCTTCTCTCCCCTCTCACATGCAGTAGAACACATCGCAGTTCTAGGATGCGGGAGGGAGCCAAAATAATATACTCAAAAACAGAGGTTGGTAACCCCCAGTACAAGCTTTAAAACCATTTTTTTCAAAAGTTCAAAATTACACAAAAGCCACAAGTCTTTATCTAATAAATTATCAATACAATTCAATTTTTACTTTGCAAAGATGTTCCTCCTGTTCCTTCCCATTGGATTTTTCAGAAGGCGTGTGCTGTTATGTCCCTAGGAACTTATCTCAACTTTACCAATTGTGAGAGGTGCCAGTGCCTGACATGCCTCTAAAGACAGTTTACCAATTTGAACAGAAAGTGAAAGTGAGGGGCATAATTCAAAATGATCCCAATAAATGTTAGCAAAGGCCCGAACATACAAAGATTTGGTCATACTTCATAATGCAAAGTATTTCAAAGTTATACAGGCCAAATGCTGGCGAAAGGGACTAGATTAATTTAGTATACCTGGTCCCATGGATGAGTTAGACCAAAGGGTTTGTTTCCATGCTGTACAACTCTATGATTCTATGACTTATGTCCAAATAACAGGGGTAAAACCTAACAACTTTTTACTCCAATAGTTCCAAAGAACTTTTCTTTTGCAAATGAATTCAGCTCAATCGAAAAAACATCACTAAGATGCCTCGCTGAAAACAAATATAGTGTAGCAACAGATATAACAGATAAGGCTCCCAACACAAAAATTTAGCTTCTGACAACATAAAATCAAACTTTATATTTACAAAGTACTGATTATGGTTACATCTCAAAAGCTGGCACAAGTCAGTTCAATAATCACAACAGGGAGGAATATATCTGAGTGTACAGCAAATGTAATACGAGGAAGTTATCGAGAAGATTCAAAGAGAACAGAATAAAAGCAAAGTACTACAAAAGATGGAAATCTGAAACAAACATAGAAAATGCTGGAGAAACTCAGCAGGTCTGGCAGTATCTGTGGAAAGAGAGAGAGACAGAATTAACGCTTAATAACTCTTCTTCAGAGCTGAAAGGGATTTGTAAATGGTGGTTTTTATGCATTTAACAGAGGAAAAGGTGAAGCAAGGGGGAATGGATGGTGTGCAGCAGAGACCCAGTGCAAAGCACAAAGGGGTTGCTAATTCGGGTGAAAGAGAGATGTAAAATAAATGTCTGCAAGGGTGAAAATGGTCTTCTTGGTCAAGAGCAAAATGAAGAAGACATATGCAACACAAGCCCGTTTTTTTTGGGGGGTACAGCGTTGGGTGGACATTGAATGCAAGTGGAATGGAGGACGAACTTCATGAGGTTGGGTTCTGAAGTTGTGGTCACATTTTGGAAACTGTAAAATGCCTAAGCAGAAAATGGGGTCTTTGGTCCTCAAGCTTGTGTCATTCTTAATTGCAACATTGCAGCAGGCCCAGGAATGAAATTTTAACATGAGAACAAGGTGGCTTATTGAGATGGCAAGCAACTGGAAGGGAGGGGTAGTTCTTACAGACAAGTGTGGAGGTGTTCCGCAAAACAGTTACCCAGTGTGAGTTTCATCTCACCAATGTGAAGGACACCGCATTGTGAGCAATGAGTACAGTAGGCTAGATTGAACAAAGTACAAAGCTCCTCATCTGAGGAAGAACATTATATCTACGGAGAGAATGCAACAAAGATTTACCAGACTGATTCCCTGGATGGTAAGACTGATGTATGAAGACAGGCTGGATTGGTTAGGACAATAATCACTGGAGTTTAGCACAATGTTGTGGGGGAATCTCATAGATTCTGACAAGACTAGTCAGGGTAAACACAGGAGAGATAATCCCGATGACCGGGTGAGCCTAGAACCAAGGGCCACAGTCTAAGGATACAGGGTAGGCCATTTAGGACAGAGATAAGGAGAAATTTCTTCACAAAGAGAGTGGTAAGCCTATGGAATTCTCTATCACGGAAAGTGATTGAGGCCAAAACATTTAATGTTTTCAACGAGTTAGATGATATTTTTAGGACTAAAGGGATCAAAGGTAACAGAGACAAAGTAGGAACAGGGCACTGAATTGGATGATTAGCCATGACCGTACTGGATGGAGGAGCAGGGTTGAAGGTCTGAATGGCTTACACCTGCTCTGATTTGCTAAGTTTCTATGTTATACCTTCTGACATTGCATGGGAAAGTGTCACAGGGAAATGATGAAGCATTAGGAATGATGGAGCAGTAGACCAGGGTGTCATGGAAGATACTGTCCCTGCAGAATGTTGACAGTGGAGGGGAGGGGAAGGCGTGTTTGATAGTGGCATCCTGCAACAGGTGGCAGGAATGGAGGAGGATAATCCTTTGAATAAACTAGTGGGATGGAAAGTGAGGACAAGGGAAACTCTATCATTGTCCTGGAAAGGAGGGAAAAGGGTGAGAGCAGAAGGGCAGGAAATATGTCAGTCAGGATGTTCACCACAGCAGAAGGCATGAAGGGGATGCTCGCTTAAGGAAAAGGAGGTCATGTTGGAGGCAGCTATGATAGAGTCAGAGAAACTGGGAGAACGGAAGCAGGATGGGAGGGGGTGTGGTCGAAGTAACTGTGAGAGTTGATGGATTCGCAATGGATATTGGTGGGTGTCCTATCCCTAGAAATGGAAACAGAGAAGCAAAGGAAGGGGAGGGAAGACTCAGAGATGAAGGTGAGAGAAGGAAATTAGAAGCAAAACTGATGAATTTTCCGGTGCTAGATGTGAGTAGGAAGCAGCAGCAATGACATCATCAATGAATCGAAGAAAGATTTGGGAGTTGTGGCCCCAAGAAGGACTGGAAAAGGAATATTCCATATACCCCACAAAGAGACAGGCGTAACAGGGATCCACACAAATACCCATAGGCATACCTTTGATTTAGAGAAAGCGAGAGGACTTAAGGGAAAAGTTGTTCAAAGTGAGGACAAACTCATCCAGGCAAAGGAGGGTAGTTGAGGATGGAGACTATTCAGAGCTCTTTTCAAGAAGCAGAGAGCCTTCAGACTATTTAGATGTGAAATGGATGTGTAGAGGATTGCAATTCCATGGCGAAGAGGAAGCTGCTACAGCCAGAAAATTGGAATTTGTGGAAGCATCAGAAGAATCATGAATGCTTGTGGGAAGAGACTGAACAAGGGGTGAAAAACAGAGCCAGGATAGTAAGAAATAAGTTTAGAGGAGCACAAACAGGCTGAAATAATGGGTTTGCCAGGACTGTCCATTTGTGGGTATTGGGAAGGAGGTAGAAGCAGGCTGTGCATGGCTGCGGCACTATGGGGTGGGAAACTGTGGAAGGGAGGTCTCCAGAGGAGATGAGATCAATGACATTCCTTGAAATAACAGCTTGATGCTAAGCGGTGGGATTATGACCAAGGGGGAGATAGGAGGATGTGTGTCACGTTTAATGCTCAGCGCCTGCAAGGTAAGGATCAGCATACCAGATGACAGTAACATCACCCTTACCAGCAGGACTGATAACCAAGTCAGAGTTGGATATGAGAGAACACAGTGCATCAAGTTCCTAGGTTGACAGAATAGAGTTGGTGAGGAAAGCAGAGAAAGTAAGGCATCCGATATCACATTGGCAGTTTTCAATGAAAAGATCAAGTGTGGGCAAAAGCCCAGAGGAGGAGGCCAGAGAGAGGGGGAGTAGTGGAGATGGATGAAAGAGTCTGTGCAACTGGGACAGAGACAAAGAGAACTGAATGAAGTATTCAGCATCAAGTGCCCAAAATTCATCGTGGAGGGTGCACAAAGAAAATACCTAAGCAATCAATGCACTTCATTATGCAAAGTGCTTTGAGATGCAAATGATATTTGTATACATATCTATGTCTGCACATACACGTTTACATTTTTAGATAACAAACATCTGTAAATAACATTTCACTTGCAGTAAACCATATTACCAAGAGATGGAGATTGATTAAATTATCCAGTCCAAACCCAATCATAAAGGGAGATACTTTTTGTTCCTTGACAAGCTCACCTCTGAAGAGCTGTTGTAATCAACGTTCTGTGGTAAACTTCTACTGCCATCATCCATTGCTGATCGTGTGCAATAATTGTGTATATTCTGACGGCTCTGTTTCTTCCCTTCTCCACTTTCTTGCAAACGCTCATAGGAATGCACCTAGGAAGCAAAACATGGCCAGAATATAATATTAGAACAGAATCAATCCTAAGACACTTCTAAAAAACAAAACATGTAAAAAAAAATTGATTTTTCCTACTAGTTATTCAATTACTATTGAAAAATGAAGTTTTTTAAGTTTAGATTATTATACAGTAAAAGCAGTGTGATATCAGCCGTGGTTGAGGACCCTGGGTCTGCACTCGATGGAGTTCAGAAGGATGGGATGTATATCACTGAAGTTATAGAATATGGAGAGGAAATGAAACAAGAAACTGCAGATGCTGGAAATCAGAAACAAAAGCAGAAATTGCTGGAAAAAACTCAGCAAGTCTGGCAGTATCTGTGGAGAGAAAGCAGAATGTATCTGTCAGGTCCAGTGACCCTTCTTCAGAACTGATTTTGGCTAGGAAAAGGTTGGATATGTATAATATACACATGCTGAATATGGAGTGCGAAGAGGGGGGAGGATTAAACAATTGGTGGAGAAGGAGAGAGAGAAAAACAGTTGTACAGACAAACGAATGGTCAAATGTCAGCCTGGGAGAATGAATAGCTGCTAATAGGGATTGTTAGTGATTGACAATGGGTTGGTGTGGTGACAGCCCATGTGATGACAAGGCATGGTGTGTGGGGGTTGGGTTAAGGACATGGGAGAAGGTGCTCAAGTCCTAAAATTGCTGAATTTGATATTGAGTCCAGAAGGCTGTACAGTTCCCAGGTGGAGAATGAGGTGCTGTTCTTCCAGCTTGCACTGAGCTTTAGGGGAGCACCACAGCAAGCCGGAGACAGAGGTGTTGGCTGAGGAAAACGAAGGTGTATTGAAGGTGCAGGCAACAGGAAGCTCAGTGTCATTTTTGCAGACAGAATGCAGGTGTTCTGCAAAGCATTAACTTAGTCTGCATTCTGACTCCCCAATGTACAGCGTACTACATTGTGAGCAGCAGATACAGTAGACTAGATTGAACGAAGTGCAAGATAAATCACTGCTTCACCTGGAAGGTGTTTGGGGCCTTGGATAGTGAGAAGAGTGGAAAAGATGGAAATTCGCTCTCTCTCTCCACCTATATTTACTCCTTCCCTCTTCCCCACCTTCAGTATATATACCAATCTTTTCCCAGCTAAAACTAGCTCTGATGAACGGCCACTGGACCCAAAACATTAACTCTGATTTCTCTCCACAGATGCTGCCAGTCCTGCCGAGTTCTTCAAGCAATTTATGTCTTTGTTTCAGAACACCAAGAGGCCTGAATAGAATGGATGGCGAGAAGACGTTTCCACCAGTAGGAAAGACGAGAATCCAAGGGCACAGTCTCAGAGTGAAGGGGCAACTCTTTAAAAGGGGATGAGCAGAAATTTCTTCAGCCAGAGGGTGGTTAATCTGTGAAAATCATTGCCATAGAAGGCTGTGGAGGCCGAGTCGTTGAGTGTATTTATGATAGACAGAATGGTTAGTAAGGGGATCAAGAGTTACGGGGAGAAGGCGGTAGAATGAGGTTAAGAATCACGTCAGCCATAATCGAATGGTGGAATAGACTCAATGGGCAGAATGGCCTAATTCCTTCATCTTATGGTGATGCATTGCTGCAGTTTAACTTAATACTATCATTTCTCCTTCCAACTAGACAAGATTGTTTCAAGTTGAAATATATTTAGTTTCTAATATGGTTGATAATTTCGAGGAGAATACTGAGATACAGTCTATTAGACTAGACGGGATTGAGGTTCATAAGGAGGAGGTGTTAGCAATTCTGGAAGGTGTGAAAATAGATAAGTCCCCTGGGCCGGATGGGATTTATCCTAGGATTCTCTGGGAAGCTAGAGAGGAGATTGCAGAGCCTTTGGCTTTGATCTTTATGTCGTCATTGCCTTCAGGAATAGTGCCAGAAGACTGGAGACTAGCAAATGTTGTCCCCTTGTTCAAGAAGGGGAGTAGAGACAACCCTGGTAATTATAGACCAGTGAGCCTTACTTCAGTTGTGGGTAAAGTGTTGGAAAGGATTATAAGAGATAGGATTTATAATCATCTAGAAAGGAATAATTTGATTAGGGATAGTCAACACGGTTTTGTGAAGGGTAGGTCGTGCCTCACAAACCTTATTGAGTTCTTCGAGAAGGTGACCAAACAGGTGGATGAGGGTAAAGCGGTTGATGTGGTGTATTTGGATTTCAGTAAAGCGTTTGATAAGGTTCCCCATGGTAGGCTATTGCAGAAAATACGGAGGCATGGGATTGAGGGTGATTTAGCGGTTTGGATCAGAAATTGGCTAGCTGGAAGAAGACAGAGGGTGGTGGTTGATGGGAAATGTTCATCCTGGAGTTCAGTTACTAGTGGTGTACCTCAAGGATCTGTTTTGGGGCCACTGCTGTTTGTCATTTTTATAAATGACCTGGATGAGGGCGTAGAAGGATGGGTTAGTAAATTTGCGGATGACACCAAAGTCGGTGGAGTTGTGGATAGTGCGGAAGGATGTTGCAGGTTACAGAGGGACATAGATAAGCTGCAGAGCTGGGCTGAGAGGTGGCAAATGGAGTTTAATGCGGAAAAGTGTGAGGTGATTCACTTCGGAAGGAGTAACAGGAATACAGAGTACTGGGCTAATGGTAAGATTCTTGGTAGTGTGGATGAGCAGAAAGATCTCGGTGTCCATGTGCATAGATCACTGAAAGTTGCCACCCAGGTTGATAGCGTTGTTAAGAAGGCGTACAGTATGTTAAGTTTTATTGGTAGAGGGATTGAGTTTCGGAGCCAATGAGGTCATGTTGCAGCTGTACAAAACTCTGGTGTGGCCGCACTTGGAGTATTGCGTACAGTTCTGGTCACCGCATTATAGGAAGGATGTGGAAGCATTGGAAAGGGTGCAGAGGAGATTTACCAGGATGTTGCCTGGTATGGAGGGAAGGTCTTATGAGGAAAGGCTGAGGGTTTTGAGGCTGTTTTCGTTAGAGAGAAGAAGGTTAAGAGGTGACTTGATAGAGACATACAAGATCATCAGAGGATTAGATACGGTGGACAGTGGGAGCCTTTTTCCTCGGATGGTGATGGCTAGCACGAGGGGACATAGCTTTAAATTGAGGGGTGATAGATATAGGACAGATGTCAGAGGTAGGTTCTTTACTCAGAGAGTAGTAAGGGCGTGGAATGCCCTGCCTGCAAAAATAGTAGACTCGCCCACTTTAAGGGCATTTAAATGGTCATTGGATAAACATATGGATGATAATGGAATAGTTTAGGTTAGATGGGCTTCAGATTGGTTTCACAGGTCGGCGCAACATCGAGGGCCGAAGGGCCTGTACTGCGCTGTAATGTTCTATGTTCTATGTACATAAAAATACATTTTCCAAAAAGAGGAAGTAACATGCCTGAAACATGTACTACTCAGGAGTAAAGATAAGGGTAAGTGGCTTTCAGAACAGGTCAGACGGAGGGTCAGCTGTTGCTCCTGCAACCCACCCACACCAATTTTGCCTTTTCCAAAAAAAAGCACTGGTAGAAATTTTAAAAATGAGGTTTACAGAACCTCATACCATAGATACACAGTCAACACAGCCATCTGCTTAACACCTCTGTTCCCTGGCCAAATGGTTTCATGCAAAATATATCTAGCCATGTATTGCCAGTATTCTGCTTGTGGCTCCAAGTGGCTCTGTGTAAAAATTGGACCCATACTTTTAAAAGAAGTCACAGGCTTTAATTTAAGTATAATAAGAGAATATGTTGGAATGTGGGACAGACCAAGGCAATTCAGGAATGGCTAATGATTTTACATGTGTTCAATCACTCACCTACAAGATGCTTGCTTATGACATTGGTAATCAAAATCAGAAATCTAATGCAGAGCTGGTGATGTTACTGTTTGCAAAGTTACAGTTTGAAAAGATCTCAAACTACTATTTCAAAAATTGATCAGGCTCACTTAATTTAGTTATTTAGCTGTTTTATTTATTTATCTAGTTAGTACCTGTGTAGAATCACCAAAGGATAGTACATGGAGTTCTCCAGGACTCAGGATTAGGAGCCCTGTTCTCGCTGATATCAATTAAAGATCCTAGACTCTAGTGTACAACATACAAATTCAAAATTTGCAGCCAAAACAAAACTTGGAAGTATTGTGAACTGTGAGGAAGACAGTGTAGAGCTTCAAAAGGACAAAGAGATGTTGGTGAAATGGACAATCAAGTGGCAGATGAAACAATGCAGAAAAATGTGGTGGAACTCATTTTCTTAAAAGAATGAGGTGATGCATTCTAAAGTAAAGCATAAAACTTTAAAGGCAATGCCAGAGCAGAGGGACCAGGTTATATATGTGCATGTATCATTGAGGGGTACAGGATTAGTTGAGAAAGCAGTTAATAAAGCTTACAGTATCCTGCACATTATACACTGCGACACAGAGTACAAAAAAAAAGTTACCTTGAACTTGTATAAAACACTGGTTCAGCCTCAAATGGAATATTGCATCCAATTCTAGGAACCACACTTTATGAAGGATGTGAAGGCATTAGAGAGGATGCAGAAAAAAAAGCACAAGCATGGTTTCAGAGGAACTTCAGTTACATAGATAGATCAGTGAAGATGGACTGTTTGCCTTGGAAGTGAAAAGGCAGAGAAGAGATTTGATAGTGATATTCAAAATCATGATGGGCTTGGAAATGGTACATAGAGAGAAACTGTGGTGGTAAGGTCGAGAACCAGAGGCCTCAGAACTAAGATAATTGGCAAAAGTAATGATGACATGAGAAAAACCTTTATCACTGGCTATGAATGGGTTCCGTAATGCACTGCCTGAGAAGTGGTGTAGGAAGTTCAATCAGGGGACTCAAGAAGAAATCAGATTATTTTCTGAAAAGGAAGAATGTACAAGGCCAAGGGAGGCAGAGGGGGATGCAGGTAGAGGAAATTACCCAGGATGCACGAGCTCAACAGGTTGAACAGCCTCTTTCTGTGCCTTTGCAATTCTATGGTACAGAGATTTCATTTTCAAGCATTTAATACTAACTATCCCCAGGAATATCCTTAAAGTCCCTACATGAAACTTGTCTAAAAGTTTGATTAACTCACACCAATACCACCATGCACATTTCTAATCCCCTTATTAGGTAAGGGTAATAGAAGCACTTCTAAAAGTGCAACAGAAATTTCCAAGTATGATGCCAGAATTAGGATGTACAATAAGACAATAAAGACTAAACAGATTGTGGCTCACACTATCTCACTAAAATGCACTCGAAAATCTTCTTGTAGTTGTTGAGAACAATAAATATGCAAGATGTTGCTGATGCAATGTTAAAAGTCACACAAACTAAATTTATAATTTTTGACATGTATTGCAAATATTGCATGATTCAGCCTGTCTGGATAATTACGATGGTTTGTGGAAAAATAGATTCATTTTAAATTCTGTGAATTCTTGGCTTTTTATTTAAAAAAACGGTGACTTTGGACTTTGGAACATTTTTTTTAAACAAGGCTTTTCTTGGAAATGAGATTTCAGCTAATTGCTGGTCTTGCTTTCCAGAGATCACCTGCTTGCGTTTTATGACTGCCAAAGAATTAGGTTCAGTTTGAACAGTATTTTGCATGCAATTAAACTGTTTGATATTCAGTTGGGGGAAAATATTCCTAGCAAGGAAAAGATTGTTCAGCTCACCTCCCTGCCTTTCTGAAACAACACAGTCAGAGTCCAGTGCAATACCAGATTGTTTTCTTAAGGGTATCTACAAGACTTCTTGATACTATATTTTGAAATAGCATTTACCAAGAACCAGACACAACGGCCTGCGTCTAGTGACTTGTCTGTGTGTGCCAGGTCACCAACCATCTGAACATTCCATATCTTATATATCTTTTCTTAAAGAACTAAGCATTATTAGCCAAAGGTATCCTTTCCACAAAATGAAGTTCTGCAGAGCGAATTTCATTTGGTTTCTTTTAACTGTTGTGTGTTTTGTTTTTGGTTGTTTAGAGACGTAAACATTTATACTTTTGTATTGTGTATGAGCTAGTTTTGCATCTTTGCTGAATAAAGTTAGCTTTACAATCAACAAGTTTGCATTTATTAAATATAGCTCGATAATAGATGTTATTGCTCTATGTCTAACATAAAGAAAACATGCAATTAACCATATCAGGAACCAGGTAAAACATTTATGCTGTGAGCTGTGAAGTTGGCGGGAGGGACAAGAGGGAGCACACTCCTTCCATCTTGGTCATAGCATAAAATTAGAAACTTGCAACAGGATATCGATGCTGACAATGTCCAATCGAAGTGAGGCGATAATCATGGAAAAGGACAAAAAGAAAAGACTTCAGGTTTCTACAGCATTTTAAAAAGAAAACAGCCTTGATGATAGGAAAGACTTTTCTGGATATGCAAGATTTAGTTCCAAACGATATATGAAAAATAAATCATTCTAGTTTATTAAAATTGGTGGATAAATTGAAGTTAGGATTAAAAGCAGAGGCTAGGAAACAGACATAATTGGGATAATAGCACACCATTCAAAACTGGAAGAGTTTAAAAGATAGATTTATCAAGGGAACGAGAAAAGATAAAAAAAGTGAGGCAAGAGAGAGAAAGGGAGTAAAAAAGGACGACAAGCTTAGAAAGCTGGAACAGAAAAAGGACAATGCCTCAGACTCCAATGAACCTTCCAATGAGGAAGAGTCCAAGTTTAACCCAAGGCCCAAAAGAGAGATGTTTAAACTCACTGAAGTCCTTCTGTGAAGTTTGGCAAAAGGGACGGAAAGGCATCTTGATTTCTTTGGGAAAAAAGGGAAAGAGACAAGAATCAGAATTAGGTCTATTGTCACATGTACTCACGTGAGTGTAGTGAAAAGTTTACAAAGTCACCACTTAGGGTGCCTTCTTGGGTACAAAGGTAGCTAGGTACAGGATTTTAGGAATAAATTAGTAAAATAAAGAAATAAAAAATTCAGTATTACAGTCCTTCAGCAGGCCGGGCCTCACCATCAGAACAAAGGACACAGCCCTGCTCCAGGCACGACGATCCACTGCTGCCGATGGCCTACCGAAGCCAGGAGTCCTTGATCTGGACACCACCATCACTGCCAATGCCCCTCTCAAACCGCTCCAGCGTCCCCATGATGTCGGATGAAAGAAAAGAAAGAGAAAGAAAAAGACGGAAAAGGAGAGAGAGAGAGAGAGAGCGAGCAAGAGAGAAGGATGTGGCCAGTCTGGAGCATATGCGCTCAAGTGCCTAAAACTCCCTACTATGCCAGCACCACCATCTTGGAAAGGCGTCCAAGAGAAAACTGGACACTGCTCAGGAAAGCAAATTGATGAACAGAGCTAACGAGATTTAGGTCTTGCCTTCTGAGGGTGCTTCTACAGATTATAAGGTGGCAAAAAGTGCATTCAAGTTAGACCCAGACGATGAGAAACAGAAATTTCAGAACATCCAGAAGCAGCCTGTGCAGATTTATGTCGAGGTTGAGCAGATAAAACAAAATAACTTTGACTGTTGAACATTGGTATTAAAGATGACGACAATGTGTGATGCACTGAGGGAAGTGATTCTCTTGGAATAATTGAAAAATTCACTCTGTCAATTAGTAAGAACTCATCTAGTGACCTAGAAGGTTTCAACAGATAGATAAGCAAATAAGATAGCTGCTAATTACAAATGTGTTCACAGGTCCAAACATATTTTCTACAATCCCCTGAAACCCGAAAATGATAACAGATGAGAGGATGACAGGAAGGCCAGTAGCCGAGGATGAGAAGGGAGAGCTATGAGTGCTTCAGGTTCTCTTTTCTCAAGCTAGAAAGGAAGGTGCTGAGGGTGGAAGTGATGAACAAAGGCCTATGTATCTCCACTATCACAAGGTGGGACACCTTTGTGTAGACTGCTGGAAGTTCCAGAGTAAACCTAAGGGACTTTTTGGCGTCCACCAAGTTATTGTAAAGTAAGAAGCCTTGACTGACAGTACACTAGACCAAACTGTAACCATAAATGATGTTAATTATAAACACTGCTGCAAACATAGAGGTAAACAAGATACTAGAGAGTTACAGAGAATATCTGTCAAAAGGAAATTTAACTCCTACATCCTCAAGCAAAGCGAAGTAAAATTGTACTTATGCTAAGTGATGCAGGATCAAATTGCTTGGGAAAAACATGACAATTCCACCAGAAATCAAAATGAATGCCAAGCATTTGCAAGTTATTTTTTGTTTAAAAATGCTCAATGAAAACTTCTACTCTGGACAAGCCTTCTGCTCAAGCAAATGGCAGATGCTGAATGTTAACTGGAACCTCATAGGGATGTAACCAGTAATAAAAAGAGGTCAGAGTTTGAACTAGTTTTTGGACTGTGTTTAAGTCAAAAGAAAAGCTAGAGAAAGGAAGTTTGATTGCTCCCTGTTTGTGCTCTCATTACAAACTCTTTGAATTTTCCAAGAATAAAATCTCAGTTATAAGAATTAAATGAATATTCCTCAGAGCCTACTGGAAAATATTTGCATACATTGGTGTAGTCAGAAGCCAAGCAAGATATAATCCTATTTTCCTGTGTGACAATAATGTTACAATTGTGGAGTCTGCTTAAGTGAACCAGCCAGATACATCTCATTTACTTTTTCCTTTTTATTGATCCCCTAACTGTGACTGTCTGTCTGTCTTTGAGAGAATGGGGCTAGAATCAAGGAAGATGAGGTTTAAATCACAGACGTTAATTAGATTACCTTATGGTTTAACTCTGCTCTGCTAAAACTACCAGATTAATAACTTTTTTTATGCCATAAACCTGGGATCTGGTATTGATTATTCACAAAGTCTGGTTGTTCACAAGTCTGGTTAGGAATGAATGAGGTCAATTTTTAGGGTCTTTGAAGGTTTTAATTTTGCTTTGTTGCAAGTACAGAGGTTGGAAGGTTGATGTGGTTTGGCTGCCTGTTCCCCTGTCATAACATTGTTGCTCACAGCTTGCCCCTATATAGATCGACTCTTGATGAACGATTTGGCCAGAACAAAAGTAACAGCTTCTCTAGTAGTCACACAGAAGTCATGTGAGGTCAAGGTGGCAAAGCAGTTACAGGAAAAGTTTCCAAGAATGTTTACTTCATATTTAGTGACCTGAGCATTGCCTGAACAAAGTCCATCATCAAAGGTTAAATTAGCACTTGGCATAGATAATTGGTTATCTGCAAATTTCTTTGGGGATTCAAATAATCTGTAGGAAATGCTCAATTAGTCTTCTCCAACTGAGGTTTAGCAAGTCAATCCAGAGTAAAGAAATGTATCACAATTGACTCAAACTAAAGCTGAAGCGAAATTAGTTCCAAAGTGTAGAAGCAAATAACTACAGATGCTGGAATCTGTACTGAAATCAAAAAATGCTGGAAAGCACATCTAGTCAAACAGTATCCATGGAGAGACAGCTATGGAGAGACTCTATGAAGAGTCTTCTAGACTTGAAACATTAGCTTGCTCTCTCTCCACAGATGCTGCCTGACCAGCTATAGTTCCAAAAGGTTATTGTATTAAAAATGGGATTCTGATGAGGAAGTGGAGGCCTCCACACAAATCTGTGATGAAGACTGGACAGTGGTTCACCAGATGGTGGTGCTGCCCAAATATCACTTGTAAATACTGAGGATAGCTCATGAAATTCCTATGGCGAAACTGGTACAATTCAGAAGACCTAAGCATTCATAAATCATTAGATTTACTGGCCAGGTCTTCACAGGAACATGGTGTAACTCATGCATTCATTGATAGATTGTTGGAAAGCCACAACCTGCAATCAATCTTTAATTCCCACTTTTTGAGGAACCATTTAGTAAAGTTTTAATAGACTGTGTGAGACCTTTACCCAAAATCAAAAGCAGGACATCAGTATGTCCTTACCATCATGGATATGATTCCTCAGCTCCCAGAGGTCATTCCTTTGAGAACAATTTCTGCAAAGGTAGTGGTCAAGAAGTTAACCCAGCTCTTCACTCAATACAGATTATCAGTGTAAACAAAATGGATCAAAGTTTAAATCTTATGTCTAAAGGTTGTTCAGGAAGTCTGGGTGTAACAGAGTTAAAGTCCTCAGCGTACCAACCAAAGACGCAAGGTACATTAGAACTGTAATATCAAACTCTTAAAGCAATGGTCAGGGCATACTATCAGAACATTTTCATGATTAAGACAAAGGATTGGAATTTCTTCAATTTGTCACCCAAGATTCACCTCATGAATCTTTAAGCTTTAGTCTTTTTGAATTAGTTTAAAACAGGCCTTCTGAAATAAATTAAAGAAAAAAAAATTACAAGGATATTAAATCTGCATTCTGGAAGCAGCTCCCAGGAGCCTCTAAAGTGTTTAAGGAACATCACAGAGCTTCACAAACATTATGAAAATGAGTTCTGAATAAAGGTCATTGGACTTGAAACATGAACTCTGCTTTCTTTCCATGGATGCTACCAGACCTGCCGAGATTATCGAGCAATTTCTGTTTTAGTTTCAAGAAGAAATGGGCAGACAGGCACACTAAGACTCCAACATTTCAACCATGGGATGATGTGCCAGTATTATTGCCTTTACACTGTGAACCACTGAAAGCAAGAATAATCAAAAAGCTTGGTAAAGTATTTGACTGACATCCAGATTGCTGAAAAAAAATTGGTTATCGCATATCATTATTTTGATGCAATGTGACCACTGAGAGGAGAATAAGCAAGTACAAATGTGCTAGGTAGTAAAGACAGTGGAGGATGAAATAGATAATGAGAATGAGGGAAAGGGATGACTAGATAATTCCCAACTTGAACCTCCTATCATCCAATTAGTTAACCCTGTAGTATTATGGATGTTAGAAACCTTGCTTTAATATTTACAGGCAGAACAGTGAAGAGACCTAACAAAATTTCAAGGAGTCTGTAGGGTCAAACCAGGGTGTACAAATTTAGTTATTCGTGATGTGGATGTAGGAGAAATCTTTCCTATAAAATGGCACCTTGATGGTTTAGGTTCAGGGAAAAGCCCCAGGTGAAAACAGAAATGGAGCACATATTAGAAAACCAATTCAATGAATGGAGTCAAAATAGCTGGAGATCCCCAGTCATGTTAGTGTTGAAGCCTCATGCTTCAACCAGATTCTGCTCACACTGCAGCAAGTTCAATACAGTAACAAAGGTAGACTCCTATATAATTCCTGATTTATTGACAGATTTGACAGTGTCGTACTTCCTACTAAAATTGACTTATTAAAAGGATATTAGAAAGTACCTTTAAAAGCTAAAGCAAAAGAGATAATTATCCTTTGTCACACCAGTCTTCTCTAATACAGACTGATGCCATTCAAGTCAAAAATATTCAAACTCTACTTTCCAGAACTTAACGAATTAAGCACGAAACAGTGTTCTAAACTGTATTAAATACTTTGATGGTGTGCTGGTAAGCAGTGACACACGGAAGGGCCAGTTAAAACAATTAGGAGGTTTATTAAAAAAAATTATAATCAGCTGGTTTAGTAATAAAACTTGCCGAAAGTATGTTTGCAAAAGCATGGGTAACCTCCCTGTCATATAATAAGGCAAAGACACATACTGCCAAGAACAGCAACTACAAACTTACACACAAATGTAGCACAAGAATAGGTACAGTCAGTCCCTTGAGTCTGTTCTGTCACTCAATAATATCATGGCTGATCTGATTTAACCTCAAGCCCATATTTCCTGCTTACTCCCAATAACTTTGCATCCCTTAAAAAAAATCAAAGATTCTGCCTCCAGCTCTTTTTGAAGAAAGGAATTCCTAATATTCACAGCCTTCGGAGACAAAAATTTGCCTCATTTAGTTTTAAATGACTTGGTAAACATTGACTCCTAATTCTAGATTCTCCTAATAGAGCACACAGCTTTCCCACATCAAATCTGTCAAGACTTTCAGGATTTCGTTTGTTTCAGTCAAGTCACCTCTTACTTTAGTAAGCACCAATGGACAGAAGCTGAACTGTCCAGCATTCATGAAATGTGTGACTGTCCCTGCTGGCAAAGCAACCAGGCAGAGGCATTCACGTCATAGGTGCTCAGCAGCTCCAAAGTCAAGCATTAAAGTGGTGTCTGAAGTTGGTCTGAGAGCAGGCATGATGATGTGGTGAGACTTGTAACCTTCTGGTGTAGAACTGTGTGCATGAAGGGCCAAAGAGGATGATGACCATGAACCACGCAGGAACACTATACAAAAAAAGCTGTAAGATAACAGCCAGGGCATGCATTCATCAAGCTGCAAACAACAGGTACCCGCACTGTTATACCTGTCTGGAATCTGTACTAGTTTCTCAGTAGAGGAGAGGAGAACTTATGTAGGATATAAATAGGGCAAACTGGCATTTTAGTGAAATGCAAGTGAATGGAAATAGATAGTCACTACTCATAGGCAAGACTCTGAAATCGCCATTTTAGGCTCAAAGGGAAAACCAGGAATATTTTTCACAATGCCAGAAATCTGATGTTGTCATTCTCAACCTAATTTGTCACCATGCTCGCCATTACTTTCACCACAGCATGGACAGAAAATGTCCCCCATGATTTCTGTTCATCCCATAGCTTTAAATCTGCATTAGGTACACAATAATGTGTGTGTACAAATTTTCAGAAATTCTGATAACAGTCACTTCCTTCTGTGACAGGATTAACTTATCTAGCCATATTGTTGGAAATCATTCAGTCTTCTTTTGACAACATGTTACTTGCTGGTTATGGTTAATCTTATAAATACGAATAAGTGATCGAACAACTTCACAGGCAAAATGACAAAGAAAGCTTCAGCAAAATTTGCAGCCAGAATTTCAAGTGCGTTAAGTAAAAACAGGCAGCGATAAGTAAAGTGTTTTGCCATGTAAGAAAGAAGAACAGATGATGATTTATTCAGAGATAGTAAGAACTGCCGTTGCTGGAGTCAGAGATAACACAGTGTGGAGCTGGAAGAACACAGCGGGCCAGGCAGCATCAGAGGAGCAGGAAAGTTGATGTTTCGGGTTGGGCCCCTTCTTCAGAAGGCCCTTCATTTCTGTAGAAGGGTCCTGACCCAAAACGTCAGCTTTCCTGCTCCTCCAATGCTGCCTGGCCTGCTGTGTTCCTCCAGCTCTATATGATGATTTATTCAGGCCACCTTTTTCCACCTCATAGTGGTCAACTCAAGTGTGAAATTATCAAGATGCTAGAAAAGTGTCTGACCTCTTAATTTCTGCTGCGCTACAACAAGCCTCAGTTAAGTAAGTACTTTATTGTTAGCCCTTTTGATTCAAAATTTGCTTTTCAGTTTCACATTCTCACAAAGTCTTTTTCATTACCTATATGTGGAAAGAGTCTCTGCAAAGCTCTAATAACAAATAATGCAAATGTTATTTAATTATACTGGACCATCAAATCCTTATTTGCAGTGTGCCTGTGCAAACAATCTAATTTTAAATCACTGGATTTTTATATATCAGGTTCATAAATTATGCCGTTATTCCAAAAAGATTGATTTATTTTCCTTTTATATATCAGAAGTCATCTACAAATAGAGTGTTACCTTAGAAAGCAACTCATCAAGCAATATAAAACTTTTTGAAAATGGTTGTTAAATATTCTGTAACTATAGGAAAAGGGGCACAATTAATATCATGGCTCATTGCCAAACAGAAATATTCAGAAACAGTATTAGTATTTGAGAATGTATAACTTGAGAAATACACAGGAATATGCAAGATTCAGAACATATAATACTTCCAGAAAAGAAATCTAGAAAACTAACTTTCCTATAATCAGTGATACTACTGCAGTACTGGAGACTGTCTGTAGTGAAAAGAACAGTTAGAGGTAAGCAATATCCTTACAACTGTCAAAAGGTTAGCTGACTTTTAAAGGCAAGCATCTCACTTCTTTCAAGCTATTCATCAATTGCTGAAGGCATCTGATTAAGTTGTTACCTTGTTTTCTCGCTGAACCTGAATTGCTGACTTCTTTTTCTTCTCACATTTAAAAACGTTTACTTCCTCTTCTCCTTTGGCTGTTCTACAGTCCTCCTGTTTACTGCAATATTGGAGAAAGAGAGAACTTAGAAGCATTCTCATACATCCACCATGTGACTAATGCATGAAAATAAATTAATTTGTCCAATTACATCACAAAGTAGTAGGTTAATCAAGCACAAAACAAAACAAAACAAAACAAAACAAAACAAAAACCTGATGCCTTATATTAATCAGGTGCCTGCCTCTTTGCAGCACCAAATATCCTGTGTGTAAATGCACGGCTCCGTTGAATTCAGCAACACTTTGAGGACTGACCAAAAAATTTCCACTTCGTTTTCAAGAGGGAAAAAAAAACAAAATTCTTTCTCAACTCGTGATACTGAGGCTGGTATGCTGGTGGCAGCCTACATTATGACGTGACTGCTTTCTTCAAAATTTAAATGACAACTTAGCCTTGGAATAAAAATGAGAGTATCTGACAACTCAACGATCATTAAATAAAAACTGTCTTGTAAGTTTAACAGGTAGCGATCTTCAGGACAAACCTTCCTTAAATTTGTCATTAAAAATCTTTGGTTATGCAAATCTTGCTCCAAGATACAACAAGTTCACAGGATACTGAAAACTGCGAATTGTGATTTTGGAGTAGAAGAACTCTGCAAGGGAACATGGAATGAAGTCAGATTTAAATCTGTCCTGTGAGAGTCTGATTTGCAAAAAATTGCCAACACTGTTTACCACCCTATATTTTCACTTCAAAGTTTAAAATTTTAAACTGCAAAACAAAGTTTAAAAACAAATAATATTTAAGATACTCAGTACATATACCCAAACTTTACAACAAACACTGGAATTTGTCAGAATGGATGTTGAGAAAATGTTCCCTTTACTGGAAATAATAGAAACAGGCAAAGCAGATTAAATACAAAGTGAATTGCCATTTAAGAGAGATTTCTTTTTTCCCCCCTGGTTGGAGGTAGGGTCAATGAAAATTTTTGAGGCTGAATTATGATATATTCTTGATTAACAATAGAGACAAGGAAAACAGAGGGTGGACAGGAAAATGGAATTAGAATCATAGAATCCCTACAGTGCAGAAAGAGGCCATTTGGACCACCAACCCTCCAAAGAACATTCCACCCAGACCCACCCACCTACCCTATCCTCTTAATCCCACATTTACCATGGCTAATCAATCTAACCCGCACATCCCTGGACACTACAAGACAATTTAGCTTGGCCAATTCACCTAACATGCAATTCTTTGGACTGTGGGAGGAAACTGGGGTATCCGGAGGAAATCCATGCAACACTCGGAGAACATGCAAGCTCCATGCAGACAGACATCCAAGGCTGGAATCGAACCCAGGTCTCTGGCACTGTGAGGCAGTAATGCTCACCACTGTGCCCCACCATGTGGCAATTGAAGCCAGAATCAGATCAGCCACAATGTTTTGAAATGACACAGCAGGCTCAAAGGGCTGATTGGCCAGTACTGTTCCTAATTCATATGTACATATGTAACTGCTCATGGTCAGTATGTGCTTCACAAACCATACTGTGGGTAGGCTACAATATTCCAAAAGGCTACACAGTGAAAACTTTAAGATTATTACTCATATTCAAAAGAGTGAACTATTTAAATAAGGGCATACAAGGCTACAGTTCTCTTCTAAGCAGTACGTGTTCCCACCTGGCTACACCTTGAGATAGTTCTGGGACTACCACCCTTCGACTCCAGGCCACAAGGTCCCGTTCAGTGGCAATTTCACTCCTTGGTGCATTACTGTGCATCTGCCGCACACCTTCAATTTGTCCACTGCGTCTCAGTCCAACGTTTGGAGGTGAATGTATCTCAGAGGTAGAACTCTGAGAGCCTGGTATGAACAAATTCAGAAATTTTCTAATGTATATCACTACACCAAAAACTTAAAGTGGAACTAAGTTAGCAGAAACATGATTCAAACAATTTTATTTTTGGAAGCATTAGTGAACAGGCCACTGTCGAGAAATAGGGAAGTTGTAATCACCATTAGATGACACAAAACTTGGAAAAATAGTAAACTATGAGTAGGTCAATTTAAAAGAACATTTGCAAGTTGGAAAAGTGGGCAGATGAAGTTCAATACAAGTGTGTGATGTGCGATGTGTGATGTGTGATGTGATGCTCTTTGGTACAAGGAGTATGGAAAAACATATAAAATGAAAGGTGCTATTAAAAGATATGTAGGAGCAGAGAGACCTGGGTATATAGATACATAAATAATTAAAGGTGGCAGGACAAGAAGAAGGATCTGTTAATAAAGCACACAGTATTCTAGGCTTGATTAATACGGGCATACACTACAACAGCAGGGAGGATGAACTTATATAGGACTTGGGTTAATAGGTTAGACTCCAGCAGGAGTACTGTGTACAGTTTTGAGTGCCACACCATTGAAGGTTGTGAATGTGCGAGAGAAAGTGCAGAAAAGATTTATGAAAATGATTCCAAATATAAGACATTTAAGTTATGAGCACAGATTATAAAAGTTCGGACTGTTTTCCTTAGAGAGGAGAAAGCTAAGATGATATTTGATACAAGTTATCAAAATCATAAACAGTCTTGACACAGTGGATAGGGAGAAGCTGTTGCTCTCATAAAAGGATCACAAAATAGTGGGTACAGCTTTACAATGTTTTGCAAAAGAAGTGAATGCTAAGTAAGATAAACGTTTTCACCGAGTGAGTAGTTAGGATATGGAATGCACTGCCTGGAAGTATGGTGGAGGCAGGTTCAATTGAGGCATTTAAGAGGGTATTGGATGATTACTTAAATAGAAATATCATACAGGTTTATGGGAAAAAGGCAAGAGATTAGCACTAAAATGCTCACAGTGACGATGCAGACGTGATGGGCCAAACAGCCTCCTTCTGCACCATACCAATTCTGTGAAGAATGCAGGAACAGAGAGAACTAAATTGCTGTTGAAGTTTGCCAAGTCTTCATAGGAGTATTGAGACAATCATTTCTTACAAAAATCCAAGAGTTCATGCCTATTTCAAAAAAGAACCTTGGTATCTAATGACATAAGTGATACCCGAGAGCCAATAAAATCCTGCAGGTGTCTTCTGAAGTGACACCTTCTTTCCTCAAGGGCAGATGGATGAATGGCCTAAACCAGAACTGTCCTTCTCTTAGTTTCATGCTTTCTAATTTGCAAAAGAAAAAGCTACAACAATATATTTATTGATCAGTTGTTAAATTACTGTACCTATTCTTCCTCTGTTCAGGGTGTTGTTGGTACCTGTGGTCAGTCTCTGGTCCTGTTCCTGTTGTAATCGTTGGATTATGTTGTCTAAAGGACTAATTTCATGGCTTGCTTGCTGACTCAGAACCTGGTTCAACCCTGAAGAGATAGTGGCAAAGAGAAAACATGAAGTGTAAGCACAAATACATAATTTTATTGTTAATATAAAGAATTAATAAGTATTCACTGTCACATGTGATGGTTGCAAGGTCATATTTTCCAATAACAGTAACTTAGCAGAGTCTCTACTGGGCCCATTACTTTATTAAAGATCAACTCTTAAACAAGGGATAACAAAATTCAGTGTAATACAGATGTTGTATAATTGACAAAAATAACATTTAAAACTTGACACCATTTGCTACACTTAACATATACTATACATACCTCTTTCTACACATTTCTGTGCTCTGGTCAATGATGTCCATATACCTAAAATACGCAGCATGGACTATGAAATGTCCTAATCATGTATTTGTATTTTTTAAATATATGATAATACACTTCATTCAGCACAACTTAAATGTAATGTGAGGTTTTGTCAAGACATTGATGTTTAACACTTGGTGAAAAACCATTACTTTGCAATTGACTCATGGGTCATGGGTGTGGTTGGCTCAGCCAGCATTTAATGCCCTTGAGAAGGTGATTGTGAGCTGCCTTCTTGATATCTTCCACATGTAGTATTCAGAAGAAATATCAACATCACTGATCAACAAAAACTCCATCTATTCTACAGAAAAGTAGCGAACTAAAGTAGCAAATATTAATAGGTAATCTGCCTGCATTTTAGTCTTTTGATGAATGCACAAATAATTTTAGGTGAATATTATCCAAGTTCAGGAGAACAATCATCTGTTTCAGATTGTATCATGGCGGACCCTAATCCTGGATCAGTCTTTAATGATCTCAAAACCTTGGACTGACATTTCATTTTACCTGTGGCAGACACGCCCATCTGTGGGATGAGTTGGTCATCATTACAGTTCTCCCGGCCAGGTACTAGTCGTTGGTATTTTGGTGGATGGGGATTGCCATCCACATCCACAAGGAATGGAGGTGGCATAAGATGCGGTGCCTGTTGTGTCTGCTCATCCAAGACATAGTTGTTAGCGTCACGAATTAAAGGTCGATAATCCGTGTGGAAGAACATCTGATCAGAAATCTGCATTGGGGGATTTCAAAAGAAACTGGATTTTATTTTTGAAAGCTTTGCTAAAATTGTTAATTTATTAAGATACTTGACTGAAATAGATAAAGGAGGAATTTCGCATTTGAGGTTACAATCATATCAGCCATGGTCTTATTGAATGGCAGAGCAGGCTTAAGAGACTGAATAGTCTACTTCTGCTCCGAGGTCTTATGTTTATGCTGTATTTATCTGGAGTTTCTTCCACTAGAAACTATATAAAATAACCAACAGGAAGAAACCATTTACTTCTGAGAAGAGGCGCACGTTGCTGAAGCTTTTGTGTTGCACTCATCGGAACAACTGTACAATGTCAAATTTCAAACAATCACAACAATTCATTCTGGTGGAGAAAAGCATGCTGACTGGTTGGGAAAACAATGCTGACTGGCAGCTGCCAATGCCACGGAGAAGACAATGGGAAACTACAGGCACAAAGATGTAAAGGTTAAACATATCAAAGAATTGACTCTCGTGTATAAACACATGCTTTAATGAAATCACTGTTGCTGGATGCTAGAGATTCACAACAGCTAATACAGGGAAAGAAGAAATAAAACAGGGGAGCCGTTGCTGAATCTCTGTGGGCAGCCTCCTCTGATATTTCAAAGATGTAGTCTGTTCTTGAAAAGCAATAGTTCATCACCAATCCATGTCTTCTGTGTTTCATAGTAAATTATTTTTTATATCAAACTGCATGTTATGTAATAGTTTCCATTAATCTGTTGTGCACTGGAAGTTTAAACTAATGAAAGCCAATAAGGGCTCTCCTTCGAGTCTGGAAAGTCTTAAGGGTGGTGTTTATTTGTGATTATACTAACAAAACACTGAAAAGAAAGACTTTTTTTTAAATAGCCAACTGAGTTGTCATATCTAAAATTTGCAGGCCTAGTTTGTTTAACCAGGAAGGAATCGAACATAAGTAAACTACGATTTACCAAGACAATTCTAAATTAATTAAAAGATTTTTACAAATATGATAACACATGAAACTGCAAGAAAAGGCAGAATGGGGAAATGCTATCAACTCCAAAGTACCAGATATAGCCAGGCCTCCAGGTAGCACTATGCAAAATTCCCAAGAAGTGTGCTTTATACCAGAATAATTACAAAACAAACGTCCTCCTTCCATGCCAGGTAACAAACAACATACCAGAAATGTTCCATACTATTTGATCAATTAGGCCAAGATCTATGTTTGCCATCTTCAACCCAATGGCCTGTCAGATAAGCACTGGATTATATTATCTGTATCAGTGAATTAAAATCAACTCTGGTAGAAGTTAGTTCCACATATAAGCATGAGAAAATACATTTGTCAGGATCTCCAGCCGAGGATGAGGTGCCAATGTATTGAATCTATGTCCTCTACACATCATCTGAAGCCAAAAAGTCTTATAACATCTCTATGGGCCATTAATTCTTCATTTAAAAGTGCTGAATTAAGAATCCTTCCACTCTTCTTGTAGCTTAAAACCCATTTCTTTCAGATGCTGACTATGGTACATGATCACCATGACAAGTTGTAAAAACTAATTCATTAAATCCTGCAATTTGTGGGCAGGCACCAAAAAATGAGCGTGAAATCTGCTAGATTTCTGTAAAAGTACAACTAATGTCCTTTGAGGAAGGATTCCTGCTTTCTTGACTTTTGTCTCCAATTTTCGATTATATGGTTGACTCTTAATGATCTCAAAGAAACAATAAAAGGCTAAAATTTTAATTATAATCAATCAACTGAAAGAAAAAGTAGAAAGTGCTTCATTCCTCATTTGCATTTAAAATCAATTAATTCAATAAGATAATAATTTAGTAGTACAGAGCAGTACTTGGGTTTTACTGAAATAAAGATATTTTGTCAAAGCTTTGTATCTTGCACTAATTAATTCACAAGACAATTCAGAATAATACTAAAACAGTCACAGTGTGTGAGAGAACAATGCTGACTGGTTCCTCTTGGATTCTGATAGGAATGCTGCATTGGTAAATACACCAGTTAATGATGCTTTATAGCTAATTGCTGGGCTTTGTCTGAATTTTATACCAGGGAAGTTGACCCTGATTTGTTTGTAAATAAGTATTAATGTATGTAGCTTCCAGAATCCTCCTGTGCACCATGTCATAAGCCCAAGTAAGATCCTGAATTGTGGTCAGCATAATTCTTCACACATTTAGGATTATCCAGGGAACGAAGACCAATTGCAGTATCACATCCCACATTATTCCAAGTTTTGCAATCATGGTCTAGTTTGGTATAGTCAGTACCTTCCTTGTTATGAATAGCTGAATGGATATGCTGTCTGATATGATCTGCCAGTGTTTGGAATGTATGCCCTGCATTTCTGGCATCACATTGCACTGAAATTAATATATCATGTTAGTCATTTATCTTGACAGCAGCAGAATCTTGCCAGTGGCAATCGTCACTGTTGTTGCTACTGCACAGTAACTTCACCTTTTGCTTAAACATTTGAAATACCTTAACTTCTACAGAAAACTGCAGTAGACTAAGCACTTTTCAGGACCAAGAATGACAGCTTTAGGGCCATCATTACATAGCAAGGTAGCCAGTGTGATCAGGATAGCCACTATCCCAAAAGATAGCTTTGATGTGTCCTATTTCAGCCAAGCAGGGCAAGAAAATGACTCTGGCCCTAATTATGAGGTTGCTAGTAAGGCCAATCCTTACGGCACGGGAAGAAATCAGAATTAATGGTTCGAGTCTGATGACTCTTCATCAGAAAGGTTAGTATCTAGGAAAACGTGGTATGTATTTTGAAGCAGAAGACTTTTTTTTGAGAGGGGGAGATGAGTGGACAAGTGGAGACAGAGCCTGGAGAGAAAAAGAGTGAGAGATAGGTGGAGACATGAAAGGATGAGGTAGAGAAGGAGATTATGTATAGCAGGCCTGAGACAAGAAAAGCTAAATAAATGATAATAACAGCTAAGAGTGAGAAAATGAGTTAGCTGTGCTGAATACAACGCATATAATGTGATAATGGGCCTTGGAGTACATGAGACTGTGTTAAAAGCAACTCATGTCATAACAAAACCAGGTGTGGGGTCAGTAAAAAGCATGGAATGACAGCGTCTCATTTTCCACTCGGGGACTCTGCAGCCTCTAGGACTCAACATCAAGTTCAATAACTTTAGAGCCTGATTCCATCCTTATGTTCACCACTAACAGGATGCTGCTGTTATACCAAAACATATTCTATCACACAGACAGTAGCTACAATTCCACAACTGGATATTTGCTAGACAATCCAGACTGTGCACAAAATTATGCTGAGAACCAATTCAGGATTGTTAATCAGGGCTGCCAGGTGGGTTACTAGAAGTTATATATTTCAATATACAGTGTCTTGCCATTTTCCAGCAGAAAGAATGTACCCACACATTACGCAAATTTAAAACAAGAAAATAGGTCACTCGCCAGTTCATTTCTCAGGGCAATGTTTGATCAATGAGCACCAAAATATCTGATTTGAAATTATATGAAGCCTGCCAAGTATTTGTCATACATCATTAACTGTTGCATTTCCCATTGCAGTATCTCTACCCAATCAAAGCCCATTTGCCAACCAATTAGCAATCTCCTCTCATACAGTATAAATGTTGGGTTTCGCTTAAATTGGTATTCTTATGAAATGTTCCATTAAGTACAAGAAAGAAGTCTAAAATAAAATCATCTTTTATCAAAAATTAATCATACCATAATAAATTGCTGTTGGCTCACAATGATAGGTTAACGTAACATGTCTTAAATTTATTTCTGCAACAGAGTGGAAAACATCCTACATCAACAATACTGATTTACTCATTTCCTTTTCCCCCATTTTTTTGATGTCATTTCACTCATCATGGAAAAATGAAAAAAAAAGACAAACTGAAAAACACATCATGGACAAATAGCCTGTAAAGGAAGTACAAGTCTGGATAACTTTGTACCATACTCTTCTAATCTCCAGTCTCATGCCTTCATTGCAAACTAGGAGCAAAGAGGAATTAAACATTTCACTGAAGTCAAATATTCGCATAATCTGAATGAAACAAAAGCAATGCAAAAACAAAGAATTATAAAGTTGTTGACTTGCTCGCTGAGCTAGCTTGTTTTTGTTCAGATGTTTCATCACCATGCTAGGTGACATCATCAGTGGAGCCTCCGATGAAGCAATGTTATTCTACTCCGCTTGGAATTTACACTGTCCGGTCTGTTATGGGAAGTAGTGTCATTTCCGGTTTTTGCAGCGGCGACAAGATTATGGTATCCTTTGATGTAACAGCTTTATTCACATCAATCAACATCCCACTAGCCAAAGAAACAGTGGCCACATTACTAAAGGAAACAGCAATGCAGACCAGCAGCTCCATCAGCAAGGACAACATACTTAAATTACTAGACCTCTGCCTCACCACACACTTCGTCTTTAATGGTCAAATATACAAACAGATCAACAGTACACCAATGGGGTCACCCATCTCCGGACTCATCGTAGAAGCAGTCATGCAAAGTCTACAACACACCACTCCCTCTCACATTTAACTTAAACTGTGATCCGGTACGTAGACGACACAGTTGTCATTATTAAACAAACAAATTAGAAGAGACCCACAACCTCATCAACAGCATATTCGCAGGGATTAAATTCACAAGGGAAGAAAAAACCAGCAATCATCTTCTGATTCTGGATGTTAAAGTAGAATGAGGGAGTTCCAAACCTCAGTGTACAAAAAAGCAACCAAAATGGATCAAATCCTCAACTTCCACAGCAACCACTCCAACGTCCACAAACAAAGCTGCATTAGGACACTATTTAAATGGGCCAGGACACACAGCAACACTCCAGAACTACGCTGGGAAAAGGCAGAACACTTATACAAGATCCTCGCTTTAAAATGGATATCCCCGCAACTTCATCCACAGATGCCTACATAACAGACAACAACTGGAGGACACAGTATGACCTAACACACAGACCACACTGCCCTACATCAAGAACATACAGGAACTGACGAGTCTCCTAAGACCACAAGGTATCATGGTTGCCCACAAGCCCACAGCCACTCTACGACAAACAAGGATGAAAGACCCCATTCCCACAACATGCAGAACCAATGTAGTTTACAAAATACCATGTAATGACTGCCAGAAGCATTACATCAGGGAGACAGGAAGGAAACTAGCCATTAGAATACACAAACATCAGCTAGCAGCAAACGGCACAACAAACTCTCCTTAATATCGGTACACTCAGACAGTGGAGGCCATCAGTTTAACTGGGACAAAGTAACCAAAGTAACCATAGTAGCCCAAGCCAAACTGAGACATGCATGGGAATTCCTAGAGGCATGGTTCTCCACCCATACTTCAATCAACACAATTATAGAATTGGACCCCATATATAAACCCATACAGGTCAAAACCAGAAATGACCCTACTCACCATAACTGACCGGACAGTATAAATTTCATGCGAAGTAGAATAACATCGCTTCATTGGAGGCACCACTGATAATGTCACCTAGCATGGTGATGAAACGTCTGAACAAAACAAGTCAGCTCGGCAAGGAAGTCAACAAACTCACCCACAACCTGAGCTACAGATCTTTGCCAAAACTTTAAACAAAGAATTCTAAATTTTTCACAATAAGAGCAAACATAAAAATATGATTCTTTTTTCTAATTCATACCTTATCATATTTACTGCTTGAACCAAAGCCAAAGATAAGAAGGTGCCCATGGGAGTCAGTACATGCAAAATGTTGCCCGTCAGGGGAGCACTTACAGTCAAACACTGCTCCATGTCCCTGACCTTCAATCTGAAAGATAAATACACAGACAGTATGTAAAAATAGCAAGGAATATGCACAGGTAAATCAGTTGCATACATTATGTAACAAAAAATAGGTTTTCTAACAAATTGTTTGGTCTAAATAGAATGATTGTCAAAGGACAGTACATTTAATTTTACTATTGGTACCACATTCATGCAGAATTGCATTTCTAGCACTGAGGGATCTTCAAAATTAGAATTAAACATACACTATATTCTACAGGGAGGAAAATCATTCTGTGACCACACACATCACAGAAATTAAACTACAATTAAGAAATTAGAAACCGAAGACAAAAAAAAATCAGTAGTAACAGAAGAGAGACTATTCTCGGTTCTTGACACTTAAAAGAAGTCTAAAGCTTTTTTATTGTGTGGACTGAAGAATAAAACAATTACTGAACTCATGCCCAAGGCTACCCATTGAGAACAACCAGAACACAACATAGAGTATTTCAGTAACATGAATTACACTCATCATCCCCACATGACTTGAGTGCTTTAAATAGAAATAAAGTTCTCACTATTCCCAAGTAAATGTGCTGACAACAGTGTGTACATTTGCATTTTTTAGTGATTATTTTAAAGGAGGAAGGAGATGGCAGTTTCGAGTGCTACATAGACTCTGGAAGCAGCAGTCATATGCAGTGCCAAGTACACAGAGACTGGACCAATCAGGAGATTACAGGCTAATAAAATTAAACTGAGCCACAATTTTTATTCATAATTAGCTTTGTAAAAACCTATTTGCATGCAGTGTTACCTTTCTCCTCCCAATATCAATTGAAATTAATCGTGAGGGAGATCACAGGAAGGAACTATCAAAATCAGGTTTCAACTTACTCAATTTCAAAATTAGAACTTTAATTCCAATTGTCAAGGATCCTTGCACTAATCATCTGGTCTTGTTTACTGTTATCTGAAAACTCCAACAGGTTGTTCAGTTTTAACAGGAAAGATAGGAAGTTATCAAAAACAAAGCGCAGACATGTTCCAGGATAGAACTCGTTTTTAAGTCAGCACCCTGCTGCCGGACTATCAATTTCATCTATCACTGGCACCTTCTGACATAATGCATACAGCCTGAGGATTCACTGCCATAAATCACCACACCACCTTGTTCCCTTGCCACATCTACCAGCAAAAATGACAAGTTCAGCAGCATTTTGGGAATGCATTGACTTCCAACTTCTCTTGAGTATATAGAACAGTTCCTTCATGACTGCTGGGTACCTGGCCTTGAATTCCCTGCCTAACATCATTGTGGAAACAGCATCACCACAACCACTGAGGTAATTCATTCAACGAGAAGGCAAACTACAGAATAAAATGTAACTTTTCTACTGTTGTCCACCTCCAGGGAACAAATAACGTAAACAGAGGAGAAAAAAACAATGGCCACATGCACCAACAACTTGACTGAATAGATAAACACATTCTAAAATACTGCATAGACACTAGGAGGCGTAACCAATTTTTTGTTTGAAGTTTGTTTTTGAGGATATGTTTCAAGAAGAAGCATTTCGTCCAAGGGGTTTCAAGAGGGAGCTACAGAATATAGGATTCACACAGGTATAGAAACAGTCACCAGAAGTAGATTTAGGGGAGGCAGTACTGAGGCAAAGAAATACACAAAATGGTTGGTGAATAAGGGAAATGTAAATTTTGAGGGGGTGGGGGAAATCACTGAACTATAGGTCATGACAAAAATCAATAGGAATTGGTCTGGAAGGATTCTCAATTTGTGACTTTGTTTGCTGCTATGGGTCAGTGAGGATATGAACAATGGATAAGCAGGATTAAGTGTGGTACAGGATAAGGGGCAGCAGATATTTATACTAACTGCAATTTAAAAATGAAGGGGACTGAGTGACTGGACAATAAAGAATTATGGAGATGAGTCTGGAGATGACAAACAGTTTTTGTTGGTTGAGTTTTGAGAGTAAGCTTTAGCTATGATTTTACAGCCTCATCTAGTGAATATATTTTTAGTAGTGACACCAGGATCTGAATCTCGGACCTATAACAGTGACCTTGAGGTTCACTGTTGCATCTAATTAAACCAAGACTGAGGCTCTTTAAAAGTTATAAGGTCCCCAATGTATTAAAAATAATGAAAACTGTACAATAACACTGAGGTTCGACATCCAGTGTTAGGGTTGTACGAATACATGATACATGTGAAGAAATGAAAAAGGAACAACAGTAGGCCACTCAGCTCTTCGAGTCTGCTCTTCCATTAAATAAGATCGTGGCTGATCTGACTTTGACCTCAGGCCCAGCCTTACCTCATAAGGCAATCTGCTCATTCCCGTTATTAGTCTAGTAAGCTGTCCCTGAACTGGTTACCAAGGAATGTTAATACGTTGTAAGTATTGCACAATACTGCGCACACTGCTTCTGATGTGGTCTCACCAATGCCCTGGAAAACTAAAGCATAATCTCCCTACTCACTCATTCAATTTCCCTTGCATTACTTGTTGCACCTGCATACTAACCTTCTGCAATTCATGCACTAGGTCACCCAAATCTCTCCACATCAGAGAACTCTGCAACCTTTCACCATTGAGATAATATGCTTCTTTTTTGGCTGTGTTTCCTGACACTGATGCAAGCTCACTATGCCACTTTGAATCGCACGTAAACAGATTTTGAGAAGGAGATCGAGATGATGGGGAGGAAGAAGAATCATGACTTGTTGGGTGGGATGCAGTTTGGGATCTGTGAGAGAACTGGGGTGGGAAGGGGTGTTGGGGCAGATCAAGAGGACCTGGAAGTGGGTGGAGGGGTGGAGAGAAAGAGGAGATCAGGATTGGTGTCAGGGGACAAGATCAGGATTGCTGGGGGCTCAGAAATTTGGAGGAGCAACTCGGGAGGACTCAGGAAGAAAAGGGTATGAGATCGGGATCTAGGTGGGGGGGTTGGTGACAAGACAGGCCTAGAAGATGGGTAAATGCAGAAAGGAGACAAGGCAAAGAGGGCCTCCAGGCCTCTGGGCTCTCTTTGTCAAACCCAATCCCTGGTTCCTGGGCTCTCCTTCAATTCCCTTCACAGTCCAGGGATTTCCCACCACCCATGTCTGCATCTGGCATCCCCTACCCACCTCTGAAGCCCACTTCAAAATCATGCTGCTGCCCTGTGTGTGCACAGTAATGCATTTGTGCATAACATCATAGCTTGGAACTGTGCACTCCCGGTGAATGCACACACACAGTCACCTACTGTTGTCGGTGGCAGAAATCAGTGCCATCTTTTTATTCTTTTTGTCAAAATTGACAATTTCACACTTTCACACATAATAATCCATTTGCCAGATCTTTGCCCACTCATTTAACCTATCCATATCCTGCTGTAGGCTTCTTATGACCTCTTCACAACTCAATTTCCTACTTATCTTTGTGTCATCTGCAAATTTAGGCACCGTACCATACCTGTGGTCCCTTTATTCAAATCATTTTTATAAATCAACCATGTTTTTTCCACATTTAAATAAATAATCATCATATTCAACAAACAAGTTTCAAGTGCTTTCAAATTATTTCAACCCAATTGCAGCACAGCTACATCATCGCCTTAGCCATAAACTGGCATGTTATGACTCAATCACAATAATGACTAGGGAAACAATTTAAATTGTGTTCTCCCACCATCTGAATGGAATACAAAAGGTAACTCTAACAATTTTCATCGCAATCAAATGTCTCCATTTTCTTAAATACTTGCATCACAAAAGTGATTTTCTTCTTACTGTTACTTCAGTAAAGTAAGTCAGTAGAGGTGCTTAAGACTTTATGCATTTGTAACCTTACAACATAGCTGAAAATATCACAGTTGATTAAAGAAAATCAATTTCAGTTTTCCTCTAAAGATACCCTTTCAAAATCTTATGGCAAGAACTCGTTAAATTTAAATAATAAACAACCACAATTTTTCTGAGATAACAAGGTGTAGAGCTGGATGAACACAGCAGGCCAAGCAGCATCATAAGGAGCAGGAAGGCTGACGTTTCGGGCCTAGACCCTTCATCAGAAATTTTTCTGATCCGTGGGCTGTGGGGGACATAACATTGGTCAGAGATTTGGATTGTTCTCTGCAAGAAAAGTATTCAATTGGCATTGTTCACAAATCAAATGACTAACTGAAAGCACAGTTATACCTATTGTGAGAGAAACAGGTCCATGGTTATGTCTTTGTACAACAAAACTGCCTGCAGCCCTCACTCTTTAGGCACTTAAAAGCCATAACCTCCAAACAAAACATGGGAATAATTATTTTTAAATTCTTGCTTATTTAGAGCTGTGTAAATAATATGCAGTCACTTGTAAAGTGAATGCTTGCAGGTAGTGACAGCAAAAAAATCACTGTTACATCCTTTTCTGTAATGCCTCTCTACAGCTGAAGTTTAATAGACGTTTTTGTATGCTGACATATTTAACAATCTTCACCGTGTGCAAAAAGACATACCTAAACAAAATACATGTAATAATGCTTGGAAAAATGACAAAGCACCAAATCACTGGAACATTCAAAAGGAACGGAGATCTCTATCACCTGAAAATAAATAATTGTAACAAATAATAATACTAATTATCATGGGAAATATGCTAAATTCATTCCCAAATTCCAACTGGTCCCTTAAGAAAACACAAATATGCGTACCATGTTGAAATACGATCGGATTTTCACGCCCCTCCCTATGTCCCAAACGATTACGTTGCCATCATGCCCTGCAGAAAAGAGGACCCTGGGATCAAAGGGATGTGGCTCAAGTACAAACACTTCGTCTTCATGTCCCTGCAACGACAATGGTGAATGATTAATCATCAGTAATCAGTAATATAAATCATGATGGTCATTACGCAGGCTTTTAAAAAGAAATGTCACAAATAAAAGTATGGCGTCACACTTATTTATTTATTTATATATATTTATATGCTAAAGCTACTGAACTTCTCCCAAACAAGCTCACTTTTCAGACTTAATGATTCTACCTGTTCCTTGAGACTGCCAATAAACATCAAGTCATGGATAAATAAAAATTGCAGAAAATTACAAAAATTACATTAAAAAAAGATAAATTAGGAAGGTCAGCCTTGTAGAAAACTTTTCAGTTTAAACAAAAGTGAATTCTTTCTTAAATGCATGGTATGCTACTGAATTAGAGGCCAAATTTGATCATTGGTCTTAATAGCATCAGCGAATATAAATTTGTAGCAACAAGGGAGGAGATTGGTGGTCAGTGATGCAGATGCAGGAAGAGTGAAGAAGAGCTAATGTCCCTATTGCTATACAGTGTTTTTGCTGAAAGATGTAGCCTTGGACAGAATCATGATGTCAGAAGTCACACAACACCAGTTTATAGTCCAGCAGGTTTATTTGAAATCACAAGCTTTCCGAGTGATGCTCTTTCATCAGGTGACTTCACGACACTAGAGACAGAAGGTAGGAAGAGTCAGCAACTTTAGGAGAGAAAAGTAGAAAAATGGAGAAAACTTAGTGTTTCAAAAAAAAAGTTTGTTTTACACAATAAATAGCTTCAATCCATGTCATAGAGAGATGGCAGCCCAGTGGTGTTATCACTAGACTACTAATCCAGGTAATGTTCTAGGGACCTGGTTTCAAATCCTGCTATGGCAGATGTAGGAATTTGAACTCAATACAAATTTCGAAATTAAGGATTTAATGATGACCATTAAACTGTTGTTGTTGTCAGGAAAAGCCCATCTGGTTCTTTAATGTCCTTTAGGGAAGGAAATCTGTCATCCTTACCTGGAATGGCCGATATGTGACTCCAGACCCACAGCAAAGTGGCACATACATATCATGAATAAATAAAAAATGGCATTCTTCATTTTCTAGTACAGATTGAAAAATGTTTGTGATGTCCTAAAACAGATTACTCAGAATCAGGAATACAGCTTCTTACCATTAGGACATGTATGAGCTGACCAGTGCAAGAATTCCAAACCTTCAATGTAAGGTTATTGACTGCTGTAATAACAGTGTTGTCATGACGATCCCATGCCACCATGGTTACTTTCAATTTGTTCACTTTATCTTCTAATCCTTGTGGATTATATCTTTAAGCACAAGAATGACGTATGTCAATAAAATTCTTTCTAAAAAAGTCAACCTCCTCAAAACTTAAAAAATGTTTGCATTGATAAAGTACTTCACCATATCCCTTACATATATCTCCAAAATGCCTTGCATTTGATAACATTTTCTGAGCTTCACTGAGTGTTAGCAAAAAGTTATAACTAGCAGTGATAAGCAACTAATTTGATACAAATACTTGATGGTGTCAGTATATCAGATCAATAAGAAATTTTCTTTTTCTTCAAGTTATGCAAATGTTCACAAATCACAAGACCAAAGGATAGCACCTCTTAACAATGCTAGGTTCCTTCAAAATTCCATTGGAATATCAGATTTGTTCATGACATCAAACGTTAAACATGGAACATAAATCTACAACCTACTAATCAATGGCAAGAGCACTACCAACAGAGATATACTGATATTCTTGTAAGTTGTTAAATATGTCGCATCTTTCAAATATATTCTTAACGTACATTCAACATCTCGCTAAATTTTATCTTTCCCAGTAAAGTTCAGATTAGCATCTAATTGTATATATTTCCATGCAGGAGAGGGAAAAATTGTTGTCTACAGTCACGACAATTAATTTAATCTAGGCTTTAATACTTGACACTTCCATAAGAATAATTTAGTTATCTTCCTCTAATTTCTAAGTTAACATACATAACAGATGCACATTTCTGAACTACATCCTAGCTACAGCAAGCGTACTAAATCTATCGTCAGAAGCCAATTAAAGTTATATAAAGTTATTCAGAACAGTAGTGAGAAGTACTTGATATTCATTTAGAACATATGTTAACCTATGTTTTTAATACCCACAATTTGTCATACTAACAGTATATCACCATTTGTATAAAAGACACAACTGAATTTAATTATTGGAATTAATAATTTAATTTATTTGTGATTCCCATAGACTGCAGTTTTGGTAAGGCTCCTTCCTCCGCTGTAGTCAAATGCTGCCTTGATGTCCAGGGTAGTTACCCTCAGTTGCTCTCTGGAGTCCAGCTCTTTTGTCTATGTTTGGACCAAGACTGTAATGAGGTCAGGAGCTGAGAGGGCCTCATGGAATTCAAACTGAGCATCAGTGTTATTCCTTTGTAAATGCCATTTGATACCACTGTTGATGACCATCCATTATTTGGCTGATGACTGAAAGTCGACTGATTGCTTAGGAATTGGCCAGATTGGGTTTGTCCTGATTTTTCTGAACAGAACATACCTGGACAATTTTCCACATTTTCAGGTACAGTCCAGCATTGTAGCTGTACAGGAACAGTTCGGCTGGGATTTTGGCTAGCTCCAAAGCACAAGTCTTCAGTGACATTGCCAGAATTATTCCCAGTGTATGGCAATATTAAAGATGGCCACTGTTTGCACATAAGGCTATGCATGGCAGGAATCTCAGTTGCCAGCATCCCCCCCAAACTCAGATAATGTCACAAATAATCAAGAATCAGCTAAGATTTTAAGTTAATGTTCAAAATGAAATTGGAAACTCACAGGACTGAATGTCAAATAAATCAGCCTCAAATATAAATTCAGACTTCTTGGTCACAAAATAACCACCACCACCTGCCCCTGCCCCTGCCCCCATATGTCCACTTCACAGCAAGAGGCAAATGAAGACTCTTACTTATAGGCAAAGGGATATGGTTGGACAAGAAAGAACCAAGTTTCATTGAGTCATCTTGCTATTATCCTGGGGGTGGAAAAATCTAATAATGGGGATGTTGACAAATCCAAGCAATCAGATTCTGAAGCACAACTTTCTGAAATCGTTACTATAGGCAGCTACTGCTCCATCGTGTCTGTAAATCTGAGCAAGTGCACAAGGTGCTCCACATACTGGAGGCACTGGCCTTAAATGCAGCCTTCTTGATACCACGTGAAGTTAGTTGAATTGGCTAAAGCTTAGAATCTGTGATGCTGTGGACCTCAGGAGCTAGCTGAGATGGATCACACCCTCACCACTTCTGGCTGAAGGTACTTGCAGTGTTTCAGCCTCATCTTTAGCACTGACATGTTGGCTTCCCCATTATTGAGAATGAGGACATTAGGGGAGCAACTTCCTCCTGTTAGTTGTTCAATTGTCCACCACCATTCATGATTGGAGGCCTGAAGAAGCCTGAATCTATATTTGAGGCTAATTTATTTGACAATCAGACACCCAGGTTTCCAGCTTCATACTGAACATTAATATCAAATCTCAGCTCATTCTTGATCTTACGTGACATCATTTGTGCATGTGCAAGGGGATGCTGGTGACAGCATTTCCTGACATAGGAAACCAGCATCATGGATGTAGCAAGACTGTAGACTTAGATCTGATCTGTTGGCTGTGGAACCATTTAGCTTGGTTTATTGCCTGCTGTGTATGCTACTTGGAAATATTCCACTGTTGTGGCTGCACCAGGTTGACACCTCGCTTTTATGTATGCTTGATGTTGCTCCTGGCAAGTCCTCCTGCACTCTTCATTGAACTTTTTAGTCATACAACCCTTTGACAAAGCAAAACATTCCTAGGTACTTCACAGAAGTGTTGTCAAAATTTGATACTAGCTCACAGTAAGAGATATCATTCCAAAAGAAGTAATTGTTAAGGAGCATTGTGAAGAATGAGAGAGAACGGTAGAGGGTGGAGTGGTTTAAGGGAGGGATCTCCAGAGCTGGGATCAGGGTTAAAAGCATTGTTACCAATGGTTGGCAATTAAAATCAGGAAGTGCAGGAGACTAGAAATGGAACAGGACAGACACTACAAAGGCTTGGAAGGTTGGAGGTGGTTAGAGAGATGGGGAAAGAAAAGGATTCAGAGGATTTTGAAGACAAGAATGAGAATTTGTAAGATTGAGGTACTACTGTACTAGGAGTGAAGGCAGATTAACAAATAGATGGGTAATGTGTAGAAGGGATCTGGTGTCAGTTAAGATATAATAATGTAGTTTTTAATGAACACAAGTTTATTTACAATCCAAGCTGGGAGCTGATATTTGTGATTTTGAAAATTGGGTTATTTGACTATTGTCATAGCAATCCTGGCCTACTTGGAGGAAATCAAACATGGAATTGTCAGAAAGATGGGCACCAATTTGGAGGCTGAAAAACATTCAAGCACTTTAGAGAGAAAAAGGATGTCAGGATTGAGGTGATACTTCTCAAGGTCAAAGGGGTCATTTCATGAGGGTAGCGGCAACGACAGCAAATTTGAAGGGAGGGGAACAGAACCTGAGAAGAGATAAGCATTAAATTTATCAGCTAACTTGGAAGACAAAGAGAGAAGTTGGGATATCACAGTTTGGAGACAAAGGATGAATTAGTAGTAGATGGATAAGGATCTCATGGACAAGTTGCATTCAGAGCAAGTTCAAAAGCAATTGGAATAGAATCTAAAGAATCAGGGAGATCAGAGACGGGACTGTGGAAATACAGACAAAATTTGTATTAGTGGGCTAGGAAAAGAGAGGAAATTGCAGAGGTAGCTGAACAAATTGTCTTACTGATTGTGACAAAAAATGTCCATGAGCTCCTTTGTACATTGCTGGAAATGATGGTGAAGGAGGTATGAATAGTGGTTTAAGTGGGTGGTTAATGTTGGAGAGAAGCCAGGAGCCTCTGAGATTTGATTCAATGGAGAAGCAAGTAGAAGGGGCTGAATGGTCTAATTCAGTTTCTGATGAGCCCATTATAATGGCTGAAGATAATAACAAAGACAAGGAGGCATTGCAGATTCAGATTTAGTTAGGGGAATAGATCAGTGTATAACAGATTGGTTTCAACATGGATAAGAGCAGTTTCATGCAACTACCTTACAGATTCTTTCTAACATTCAAAATCACAAGGAGTCAAGATTCAGATGACACTGATTATGTTGACTGGTAAAGAAAAACAAAAGTATCACGAGGAAAAACTTTTCATGTAGGAAGGGTCCAGCTAAGTCAGTGATGGAGGAAATTTCTACTGTGGCTTACAGAAGGAAATTCTTATCAAAAAAGAAAAAACTGCAGGATAATGGAACTACCCACGTGCTCTTTCAGAGAGCCAACACAGAGGCAACACGTAAATGGGTTTGTAGCTCAGACTGAAAGTGGTAGGAACGATGCTGTTGGTATCACAGTCGTTTCTGCAGTGGGGAATAGGGCTGGGAGCCAAATATCCAAGGATACAATTTCTATCGATTGGGCAGACAAATGGGCAGGGGGAGCAGGGTTACCTTGTCAACAAGAAACAAAATTAAATCAATAGCAAGAAAAGGATATACAGTCACCAGGTGTAGGATCTGTGTAGGTAGAATTGACAAACCATGAAGGAAAAAATGTCACTGATGGGAGTTAAGCGCAGGCCTCCTAGCAATAGTTAGGATGTGGCAAAGAAAACAAATCAGGAGACAGAAAAGGTAAGTAAGAAATAACTATTACTGTAGTTATGGTGGACTTCAATGCGCAGGTGGACTGGTTTTTTTCAGAGCAGCCTGTGGCAGAGCCCACTAGGGAACAGGTAATTCCAGATTTGGTGATGTGTGATGAGGGCAGACTTGATTAGGGAGCTTAAGGCGAAGGAACCTCTAGGCGTGGTGACAATAATCTGATAGAATTCACCCCGCAGTTTTGTTGGGAGAAGCTGAAATCAGGTGCAACAATATTGCAATTGAGTAAAAGTAACCACAAAGACACAAGGGAGGTGCTAGTCGGAGCTGTTTGGAAGGGGGAGCCTAACAGGGAAGATGGTGAAGCAGCAAAGGCAGGAGTTTCGTGGAGTAATTTGGGAGGTACAGGAGAAATTTAACCCATGGAAGAAGCAGCATATTGAGGGGAGGATGAGGCAATTGTGGCTGAAAAGGTAAGTCAGGGACAGCACACAAGCAAAACAGAAAGCATACAATGTGGTGAAGATTAGTTGGAAATCAGAAGATTGAGCTCAGATTAAAACCAGCAGAGGATATCTATAAAAACCATAATGGGAGACAAGATGAAATATGATAGTGACCCACGTAGTAATATAAAAGAAAATTGCAAGAGTTTTTTTTAAGATATCGAAAAGCTAAGACAGAGGCAAGAGTGGACACTGGACCACTGGAAAATGAGACTGGAGAAGTAGTAATAGGGAACAAATAAATAGCTGAGGAACTGAATAGGTACTTTGCATTAGTCTTTACAGTGGAAGACACCAGCAGCATACCACAACTTCAAGACAGCCAGGGGGCAGATGTGAGTATTGTGGCCATCATTAAGGAGAAGGTGCTGGGGAAGCGGAAAGGACTGAAGATAAATAAATTGGATAGACTACACCCCAGAGCTCTGAATGCGATAGCTGAGGAGATTACAGAGGCATTGGTCATAATCTTTTAGGAATCACTGGAGTAAGGGAGGGTCCCAGAGAACTGAAAAATGGCCAATGTAACATGCCTGCCTAAGAAGAGAGGGAGGCAGAAGACAAAACACAGGCTAGTTAACCTAGTTATTGATAAGATTTTAGAGTCCATTGTAAAGGATGAGATTGCAGAGTACTTGGAAGCGCTTGGTAAAATAGTCCTGAGTCAGCACATCTTCGTCAGGCTGGGGGCAGGGGTGATGGTGTCATGCCTGACAAATCTGTTAAAATTCCTTACGGAGGTAACAAGCAAGTTAGACAAAAGAGAGCCAGTTGACATCATCAATTTGAATTTCCAGAAGGTCTCTGACAAAGAACCGCACAGGACATTGCTAAATAAGATAGTGTCGGGGGAAGGTACTGACATGGATGGTGGCTCCGCAGGGGCCATGCTGGGATCACAACTATACACGTTGTATATTCACAATATGGATAAAGGAGTTGAGGACATGGTTGCTAAGTTGCAGATGACACAAAGATAGCTGGAGGGACAGGTGGTGTTGAGGAAGCAGGTAGTCTGCAGAAGAACTTGGCCAGGCTGGGAGAGTGGGCAAAGAAGTGCCAGATGAAACAAAGTGGGAAAGTGTGAGATTATGCACTCTGGGAGGAAGAACAGAACACAGACTACTTTCTAAATGGGGAAAAGCTTCAGAAATCTGAAGCACAAAAGAAACTTGAAACCTCGTTCAGAATTCTCTTAAGGTTAACTTTCAAGTTCAGTTGGCAATTAGGAAGGCAAATGCAATGTTAGCATTCATTTCAAGAGGACTAGAATATGAGAGCAGAAATATACAGACTGCATTCGGAATACTGTAAGCAGATTTGGGCCCCATATCTAAGGAATGTTTTGCTGGCGTTGGAGGGGGTCCAGAAGAGATTCAAAAGGATGGCTTGTCATACCGGGAGCAGTTGAGGACTGTGGGTCTATACTCAACGGACTTTAGAAGGATGAGGGAGGATCTGATTGAAACTTATAGTAGACTGAGAGGCCTGATAAAGTGGGTGTGGAGAAGATATTTCCATCAGCAGGAGAGACTAGAATCAGAGAGCACAGACTTAAAGTGAAGAGGCAAACCTTTAAACTGAGACAAGGAGGAATTTTTTTCAGCTAGAAGGTGTTAATCTGTGGAACGTATTGCTACAGGGGTCTCTGGTGGGCAAGTTATTGAGTGTATTTAAGACAGAGATAGATAGGTTCTTGATTGTCAAAGAGATCAAGGTTACGGGAAGAAAGTAGGAGATTGGGGTTGAGAAGCATGTCAGCCAAGATCAAATGGAGCAGAATTGATGGGTCAAAAAGCCTAATTCTCCTCCTGTACCTTATGGTCTTATGGTCTATTATGGATAGCCTATTTGGCCTCCTCATTGTAATGGTTTATTATTCAATGAGAGGATACCCTGTTAAATCAGATCAAGGGAAAGATTTTGTGGTAACAGTTGACAGTATAATTTAAAGATGGGCCTGCAGTATGAGATGGTTACACTGAGGACAAGAGGGTTTTTGGGTGTACTAAAACACTATACTTACACAATACACAAACTTAGCCTAACTATATCTGGATAATGTCACTGTTCCATCAGACTTTGAGAAAGATGCTAAGGTGTGTACCAGACTGACATCGGCTTTAGAACAATCAGATACTAGAATAAATGGTTCACCTTAGCAATGAACAAAACTTGAATAAATATAGTAAGGTTGCATTGTCCCAGAGGACCATAGTGCAGTTCTCTCATTAGAGAAACCCTGTTAAAGAAACCTTGACAATGGAACCATTTTTACAGTTTTCCTGCATAATTTGCAAAAGGGCATATTTCCGGATTAACATCCACATTGTCACGGCAATAATTCTTTACAGTACAGGGCGAAGTCAGTGTATAGATAGAGCTAGTCACTCACCCAGCAGGTTTGACAGCCATATCCAGTAAAATGCTCTTCCATTCTTGCCGTCGAAACTGCCAGATCCTTGCAGTACCATCTCGACTTCCACTAACAAACCTACCAATAGAGTCAAGACTTTAAATGTAATTTACATAAACCACGACAGGTTTTCTCTCCAATGAGAAAGCAGTCCGATGTAGGACTGGTAGGACTATGATGACTTCACATTTTTTTTCCTTTTACATACTACAAGCGGTTAGGGAGGTGACAGCAGAGGTGCCATACTAAAACAATAGAAAATGGAATAGTGCTAAAGAACTGGGAGACAGCTGATGTCACGCATATATTTAAAACAGAAAATAGCATAAACCTAAGGAATCATAGAGTAGTTAGCATAATATCAGTGGCAAGAAAGAGAATGTAATCTTAGTTCAAAGATGGAATAGAAACACTTCAAGAAACCATAAACAAGGGTAGGGTTTCAACCTATCCATGATATTACAATATTGTAATAAAGGAGGTCAAAAATATTTACACAGAGGATGATCAGTATGTGCTTTTTAAGCAAAACAAAAATTGTGGGAATTGGGTATCTTCAGCAAGGACACCTTTTACTGCCTATTCCGAACTGCCCTTGAATTGAGTGGCTTTCTAGACCACTTCTTGGGCAATTAAGAGTCAACCATATTACCACTGATCTGGAGTCACATATAAGATAGACTGGAAGGAATGGCAAATTCCCTTCCCTGAATCAGATGGAATTTTATGATAATCAATTATAGTTTCATGTTCAACATCACTAAGACCAATTTTCAATTTCAGAATTATTAACTGAGTTTAAACTACCGTGCAGGATTTGAATCTATGTCCTCAGAGCATTAACCTGGACTTCTAGATTACTATGCCAGTGACATTATGGTTACATTAAGATCTCCTCATTATTCAATGCTTCAAATTCTGCATGAACTCTTCCAGGTGGAAATTAAATACAGCTACTTTTAAAAAAAACAATGATAAAGGCTACTGAGGGTGCAGAGGAGCAAATGCTCAAAAAGTGTTGAGGTAGTGGCATTAGATTAGTGTTACTCTAGCAAAGACCTGGCACAGTCATGATACGCCAAACTGTTCTCTTTTGTGCTGAATAAATGTATGATTATACATGGAAAAAGACAATTCTTTGCTTGATGGCTAACTGTTCAGTTTCTGCTCTGCAGCAACATTTTATGATTGTAACAATTTACATTTTCAGAAGTTCTAAAGTATGAGAGCATCAAGTTCAGTACATCAGGAAGCATAGGATGTAGCAAGTACAACTCTTACCTGTCACTCATGTTGGAGAACTGAATACTGTCAACTTTGTCCTAACAAAAATGTAAACAGGAGCTAAAATTAGATGGCAATAATCATATTGGTCCCTTTCTTTATTAAAAACCCATATTATAATCAGTATGCATCTCAGATGCTCCATTTTCTAGACAGGTAAACCTTATGCAAGGATCTTCCAATATTCAAAGGTTATCTTCTTTCATCATTCCTGGTCAGGCTTATGTTGAGGCCCTCATTAGGACTGCCTTTTGTAAAGCTAACAGTATTGAGCTGTCCTGGTCCAAGTCATGCAAACTGATTCAAGCTCTGTTAAATAGGTGAGCTCAAAGCCTCCACATGCCTACAATACTATCCTGCACCACAGGCATTTCCCACATGCAGAACACAACCATTATTTGACTCTGGAGTCTAGTCCCAGAATGGAGATAGTTCAGTCTGAGTCTTTCTTGCATTCCTCCCTCATGTATTTTTATTCCCAAGTTATGAATTCCATGTTTATTTTTGAAATTCTCTCTAATAACATGCATTAGACCCCTGCATATCACTCCTCCTGCTTCTCAAACTGGGACCAAACCCCACTGGCCAGGCTCAACATCTGGGTGCAATGTGCTAGCTGTCTACCTCAATATTTTTAATTACTTAATCTTTACCTTTGTTTTTAATACGAATAACTGTGTTAAATCAGGTTATTGACACAGACTGTGTAAATGGTTTGTGATGACAATGATAGGGGAAGAGAAAGAAAAACAGGAAAGAAAAGAGGGGGGGCTTTGGGTATGGTGACGAGAAGGAATAGAAGGGTAAGAAATGGGGAGGGAATAAGCGAAGAGAGAAAGGACTCAATGAGAACTCGAACACATGGAAGAGGAATTAAGTGTGCAAGAAGGGAAAGGAATGAAAGAGTGAAGAAGAAAGTTCTGCTTCGCTTGCATCCCAGTTCAGACTTCACCAAACTTCAATTTGAGACAGTTTTGATGCTGTCACAATCATGGTGGAGTTGCATTTCTTTTTGCAGGAATGACAGAAGCAATCAACCCTTCAATCAAAACCGAAGAGGTAATAAATCATTCAGTGCATGGGATCAAGCCATAGCAGAAAATTAGACTGCCATTACATCAGAGAACGGGTGAGGGGTAAAGACAAACAATAGGAGGTATAGTTGACCTGCAGCTGCTAAAAATGATGAGGGGGAAACCAGATGGGGCAGAATCAACGGCCAGCATGGTCTACTCCTGTTCCTATGTTCTTGAAAGATTAAAAAGGGAAAATTTTCAAGGGTGTAATCCACCAACAGGCTCAGCAAAATGGTGACAGCAGGGAATTGGAAGAAGACATGAATTTCTTCAGGGCTGTGGCTGAATGGTAGTCCTGTATTAACACATCAATAACATTTCGTATGTCGAGCCCTGTGGAACACTATGGTACCCTAGCTAAAAGATCAACAATTAAAGGAATTTCCTTTCAATCATCAGTTATATGGAGGTATAATTTGGAATTAAATGTTTCAAGTATTATATTGTCACACATTAAACTTGGCTTGATTAGACAGTTATTTCTGGCCCCAGGTCTGAAATGAGAACAAGTAGGTTAATCATCTTCTAACCACGCTTCCTTTAACAGCCCAATGCACCACAGGTGGAACTTGTGCTGCACTTACTGACCGCTTTCTTACTGTTTTTCACATTAACAGAATCTGATATAGGAGCTTAGAATTAATTCGAAACTGAATAGTACAACACACACTAAGTCTAATATGTAATAGACTATTGATTACTGTTTTATCAGTGAAATATAAATGAATTGGACTTGGGTATAGGGAGCACAATATCAAAATATGTGAGAGAAAACTTGAAAGCATTGTAAATAGTTGCTAGGACAGTGTCAGGTTTCAGGAGATCAAAATCAGGCAGATGAAATAAGCAGTCACATGAGGTAAATACAATTTAAAGTCAATAATGTGAAGTGATGTACTTTGGAAGAAACAATGTGGAGACACAGTCTATTCCTAAGGGTGCTGACACGAGGATATTGCGAAGAAATCTGTGGGTGCATATTCACAAATCTTAGGTCACAAGGCAAATTGATAAAGTACTTAAGAAAGCTCATGAGATATTTAGTTGGATTTGTAAGTAGCAGCTCCAAATAAATAAAAACAAGAAGTCATGCTAGCTCTTTACAAATCACAGATTTGGCCTCAACTCAAGTATTGTGTGCAATTCCTTATTTTAGGAAGTGTACACAGAAAATTAGAGAAGGTTTCCTGGGGACGAATGACTTAAATTATGTGCAGTGATTGGACAAACTGGAATTCTTTTCCTTAAGGACTTAACATAGGTATTCAAATTTGTTAGGGGATTTGATACTTTCTTACTAATTGTACGGCTTCCTCTGAGATGCAAGGAGGTAACCAGTTATCATAGATTCAAAATAATGGCCAAAAGTGAGCAAATTAGGAGTAACTTTTTCACAAAATTGTTTTTTTAAAATTTGGTAAATACCACCTGAAGCAGTGGTGGAAACAGATTCCATATGCAATTTCACAAAACATTCACACATGTTTGATGATGACAAATTAGGTCGGTTATGAAAAATGAAGGCTTAGTAAGAGACTAAATTGGGCATTTTTTCCAAAGAGCAAACATAAGCCAAAAGGTCTCCTTCTCAGTTGTAAGATTCTTTGATCATATTTAATAATGGTGATTTTAACACTTATCATTTTTTACAATTAGTATATTTCATTACATTATTTCACGCTCATGCCATTCATTTCCTTTCCAACATGAGAATTCATCTAACATTCCTATAAAATAAAGACTCTTACAGTATGAAATTCCAACTCTGAAATCTTCTCAGGTTGCCCTGACCCAAAGTAGTAAACTCTTATAATATGATCTGTGCTCCCCGTTGCCAAAAACATTCCACCTGAAATAAAAGAGACAGACTCATGTAGGCATACATTATACACATACGACTAATATTTTGAAGATGTTTTGTTTAGTTGTCATCTTTCTCACAAAGACATACAGATAAGTGCACATGCAGAAATAAGCTCTCAGTATGACTTTTACACTCAGAATGAGCAAAGCATCCTAATCAGATTTACAAGCCTTTTTTAAATATCCTTTTTATCTCCCTTTTCCTTCACACAATGTAACGTTAAATGATGACACGATTTATGCAGAAGAGGTCACTTTCCATTCTGAATTTCATGGCGATAATGAGGATGAGACCAATAGTATCACTGCTATATTGGAGAAACTCTGACAACCTCTAGCATCTGTAGCTGAGCAGTCAAGTGTGAAAATCAGGATTTTTTTTGTCAGAAATATCCACTCCTCCATATGTCCTGTAATTGTGCTTCATGTTGCAATCATTACCATGGCATGAAGTTGGTGCAGTTGCATACCAAGACCCCACTAAATGTGTCACAAAAAGTTAGAGCTGGTATAATCAACAGCAAGTGAATTTTTAACAACCATAACAACATGCCAGATACTGAGGTGCTCACCCAAGCTAGTATGCCAAGCATCAACATCATATTGAGATAATCACAACTGAGCTGGCTGGTTATGCAGCCAGAATTCAGAACATTTGCTTACTAACTATGCACTTCTATGGGCGGTTTGAATCTGCTTTCATGGCAGTCATAGGAAAGTATTACAAGCAGTTGTTCAGAGGTTCCGCACACACTGATCAAAATGTGGGCGTATTCACTTCTCTGCTGCCTTTGTGCACAGACCTCAAAGGTCTGTGCAGCAGCAGGAAAAATTAGAGACAAAATAAGTTACAAGTACAATGTGAAGGCATTGTTCATGAATTGTGATGTCAAGCCAGATTCTGGAGATATCTGCCCAAATTCACAGCAACTGGTACAACCAATAAAGGGTGAGGCCTGAAGCAAATGCATATCAGAGGCAGATAGAAAACAAGAAGAGAAGCTCAAAAACAAAGTTGTTGGAAAAGCTCAGCAGGTCTGGCGGTATCTGTGAAGGAAAAAACAGTGTTAACGTCTCAGGTCTGGTGACCCTTCCTCAGAACAGTTCTGGCTGCTGGGCTTTTCCAGCAACTTTGTTTTTGTTCCTGATTTACAGCATCCGCAGTTCTTTTGGCTTTTATTTAAGGAGAGAAGCTCAATCATCTGTGAGATCCCATCCTGTCTGCAGCACAATGTTCCAGTCCCAGTTCAGCTTTAAGAGTCACTTGCACATCTTGCAGAACCCTACCAAACGTCCTAAAGGATGGACATGATTATCTTTATCTCAAAAGACAACCAAGTGATAATCACTGCTCCCCAGCCTTGGAACTCTAATTTTAAAAGTTCGAATTCAATTCATTCAGAGGTTAATTAGCATTGGAGAATTTTTCAATTAGTGCTGAATCAAAATTGCTATTTTCTGAGTTCAAACTTGAACTAAGGATTTACATCAACCTGAAAGGAAGGGTAGGAGTAAGGATGTAGGCAATGAACAAAGGAAGAAAAAGAAGAGGAAAGAAAATGAAAAAAATCAGCTGAGAAATGTGGGAAAGAGAAACAAAGGCAGCAGAGAAATGTTGCAAACTGCAGAATAGGGTGGGTGAGGATATAATAAGAAAGGGAATAGGTGAGTCTGGTAGCACAAGTCTATGACAAAGCCTGAGTAGAATGAGGCACAAATGCTATTTCTGAATTTGGTACAGATGAGAATCGATCTGGCAAGCTAGTTTAGAAGCCTAGTTAACAAAACTCCCTGGCAATGGTAGGTATCTGTCACTGAGCTAAAAGTGAATAGATGTTAACCACTACAGCAGGAACCTGAGTTAGCAGTTGCAAGTTGGATGAGAATCATCTATAAAAGTAGATTTTGCTTGTACACAGTGTGACAAGGCCTCAATGCTAATTTGGGAATTCAGTGCAGGTGGAAATTAAGTGCAGAAGGGGAAGGGGATGCTGCTTTTTATAACATTTATTTCCGTCTTCAGAAGCTGAAGAGTGTTCAAAGCTTTAATTAGATGCGCAGATTGCTAAATTTTTATGATTGCGTCCCTCTGAACACAGCATGGACAAAATCTTAAACTGGTATGGAGTAAAATATAAGCATTGCATTCAATTTATAGTTTAGCTTGTTGAACTACTTTGCATTAGCCACAGAAAACAATTGAGTGATATTTCTAAACAGGAAGCCTAATTTGTTAAATTAAACACATTAAAGCTGGTAAGGGGAGGTGAGGAAGGCCTTCTTGTGGCACAGTGGTAATGTCCCTATCCCGATCTGGGAGACCTGGGTTCAAGTCCAATCTGCTCTGGCTTTTTCCTGACAGTGGTATTATCACTAGACTACTAATCCAGGTAATGTTCTAGCGACCTGGTTTCAAATCCTGCTATGGCAGATGTAGGAATTTGAACTCAATACAAATCCTGAAATTAAGGATTTAATGATGACCATGAAACTGTTGTTGTTTGTCAGGAAAGAGAAGGAACAATATAGCAGGGTTGTGATGAGGGTAATATCAACCAAATACATTAGAACTGGGCAGGAAGTACAAATAAAGTCATAGTAGGGAAAAAAGATATGGAGAAAAGAAGGACATAAAAGTTGACTGCACATGCAGGAGCTTGCGTTATTGGATGCTGTACATTTGCATGGGTAGAGGTTCGGCTATTAACATGAAATAGAGAGCCTGTGGGCAGCACGGTGGCTCAGTGGTTAGCACTGCTACTCCACACAGCCAAGAACCCAGGTTTGAATCCAGCCTCGGGCAACTGTCTGTATGCAGTCTGCACTTTCTTCCAGTGTCTGCATGAGCTTCCTCTGGGTGCTTCTGTTTCCTCCCATAGTCCAAAGATATGTAGGTTAGATGGACTGGCTATGCTATATTGTCCATGGTGTCCAGGGATGTGTGAGTTAACCATGGGAATTGCAGGGTTACAGGGATAGGGAAGCAGGGTGGGTCTGGGTGGGATGGTCTTTGGAGGGGAGGTGTGAACTCGACAGGCCTGCTTGCACACTATAGGGATTCCATGAAATGGGTCATCTTCAGGTTGGTAAACTGTAACTGTTTTTGCTATGTGACAGCGATGACTCATTAAATAATATTCAAGGCTCCACTGACAACATAGCAAACTCCTGGTCCTATTCTAAGGGGAGGCGATGACCTAGTGCTTTTATCACTAGAATATTAATCTAGTGACCTGGGTAGTGTTCTGAGGACCTGGGTTCAAAACCCGCAATGACAGTTGGTGGAACCTGAAATCCATAACAAATCTGTAGTTAGGACTCTAGTGAAACTGTTGCCATTTGCTGGAAAACCCATCTTGTCCACCAATGTCCTTTAGGGAAGGAAATCGGCCATCCTTACCCAGTCTGGCCTACACGTGACTCCAGACTCTCAGCAATGTGGTCGACTCTTTACTGACCTCTGGGCAATTAGGGATGGGCAAGTGCTAACTTACCTAGTGTCGCCTCCATCCTGTGAATTTTAAAAAAATTCTTATGATCTTTAGTACAGGATGTAGAAGATACTTATTTGAAAGAAAAGTTGGAGAGTGTAGGGGAAATAAGGAAATAAGAGGACTGATAAAGATTTGGCACAGTTGAGTCAGAAGACAGAGGCCAGAGCTGGATTTTCCGGTCTCAATACAAAAGCAAATTGCAGAACATGGTTTTTAAAAATCGCAGGGAGCATTTGATTCCAGAATTTCTGGCCTCTATTTCAATCATGGCAATTTTCATTGGTTTGATATAAGTGGGTGGTCTGTAACCACACATCAAGGTGTCTCAACATTGCCAGCTGTGTTCTGGAGGTGAGTCTTTCAGGACTTCAAGCATACATTCAAAAGGACATGTCAACTTCGCATCAAAATAAAATGCTGCATCATAAGTTATATATATTTTAAGTAGAGTTTGACAGTAGGGTTTTGTTTGGACAAGGTATTTTAACTATTATCTTGTACCACATTATGAAAATGGAAAGGCCTTTAGATATATTAGAGTTTATTATTCCCAGGGAAAAAATCTATTTTGCATTGCATAATGGTTAAGTTTAGATTTGATTTGGTGAACTGTCCCTTTGCTTTCGAATTTTCCTTCAAGTTCAGCTCAACCATTGTTCAATTGTTTCAAAGTTTTGACAGATGTCTGAGTTTTTGGCTGACATCAGGGTTTTACTGAATTCAGCTTTGGAGGTTTTGCTAATGATTGTCCAACAAAATCTCATTCCGAGTTCCTTATTAAAACTCACTTTGGAAAACCTGGCCAAGTCTGAAACCAAATAATAGATTCTGCTTGACACATCTTTCAAGTCGATTGAGAGCTCAGTTGTACCCACAGATTTATGACTTGCCAAGAGAATTATTGTTTTTGTTTTAAACATGCACATTGAAGTAATCTGTTTAGATTTGACAGTTTTATGAGCTTCTCAAAGACTTCTCAATATTATTATGGGGCATTATTACTATAGAGAAATAAGAGTAGAAGTAGGGTTGTGAGGGGTTAGGATGGTGAAACCAAATGAAAGGAGGATTAGGGGACCTCACACCCATCTCCAGAACTGAGACCATAACTCAGTGACAGAGGCAGGCCTTTTCACATCCTGTGCCTCATCATCAGCCTGCCTTTGTTTCCACCTTGGCCTACTGCTGAAGTCAGAAATTTTGACTCCAGTCCACCCTCAATTCTTCACTATCAAAATAGCATAGGAAGGCACTGTCAGGCCAGGAAGAGGAAACATGCCTTGAGAAAATTCCCAAACTCCTGATTTCTGCCTCTAACATGAAAATCATGCCAAGGTATACAATAGACAATGAGACCAAAGTGTGACCCATTTGACTGGCTTAATGTGACTTGTTATCCATCATCTTTGCCAAATCCCTCCCTCCTTCCACTAACACTTCAAAATCCATCTAAAATTTTGCTTGAATCTTCCCCAAACATTCTCTGTTTATTGATGGAACATACTGAAAAATTAAAGGAAAAATAAACAGAAAAGTTAAGCAAAGCTAATGAGAAACAGAGAAAATAAGAACAATCATGCAAAGGCAGCAAGCAATTGGAAAGATACATGGTATTTTGTCCTTCATTGCAATGGGATTTAAAGTGAGGAAGTCTTGGTGCAATTGTATTGATGCTTGGTGAGACTGTGCCTGGAGTATTGTGTGCAGCTTTAGACTTCTCATCTAAGGAAGAATATACTTGCAACAGGCAGGATACAATGGAGGTTTACCAGATTAATCCCTATGATAGCAGGATTATTTTATGAAGAGACAGAATAAACTAGGCCCAAATTTGAGGTTTTGAGGAACGAGAGGTGATTTCATTGAAACTTACTTAATTCTGATTAGGATGTGAAAGGGTAGATGTGGACAAGAAATTTCACTGGCTAGTGAGTAGAATCGGAAACATGGTCTCGGAATAAACCGCAGGCCATTTAAGACCGATATGAGCCCAGGTTTCTTCACTTAGAGGATGGTGAAACTTTGGGATTCTCTACCTGAGAATGCGTAGTTTAGTGCTTGAGAAAAAGGCAGAAGAGATTTTAAAAATTGGCTGTTTTGTTGCCTAGTAACAAGGTGTCTTATGACATGAAAAGATAGTGACAGAGATAGCTTCTTTTCAGAAAGAAAGAACCACCCAGAAGGTTAGTAGTGTGCATGCTTCTGTTAGAGAAGACAGGTCTATGGTAGCAAAGGAGCTATTAGCTGAGCAGTGTCCAAAGCAGTGAGAGCTGTAAAGCCACCATGACGAATTTACTGTTAGTAAGATAAAGCTTCAGTAGCTGAAGGCTGTGGAAGTAGAGTTTAGGCAGTCTATGTTAAAAAAATAATTGAGCTATACTGTCAGTTCGTTTGAAGGACTTGTGAAGAGACATTAACTAAAACATCAGGTAAATGTACAAATTTATTAAAAGGAACCAAGGGCAGCCACGAAGAAAGAATTTGAAAGTAAAAACAGGGATAACTCTTCACTAAGGTTTGAGTATATGTGAGATTGTTGTTGAAGGTAAAAGGGTTGAATGTTTATTTCTGATATTTGTAATGACAACATTTCCATTAGTTCATGTATAGCATAAAATTGTTTGAGACTTTTTTTCTCCTTATGTAATTTTTGATGTCTTTTATTAAAAGTACATTGCCAGCCTCTTGTGAATATAGCAACCAAATTGCAAAAAGTAAAACTTATAGTCTATCAAGACAGATTTTATTTTGGGATCTGACTTGTTCAGTTTTAGCATTCAGCTGGGATCAGACTTGTCCAGTTTTATCATCAGCTGGGATCATAACACAACAGCAAACTTCCCTCCATTGGATACAAGTTCTTTGTAATCATATTAACAATAAGAACACCAGAAATGGTCTCAGCAAAACCAAAGCAGAAGTCACTCACTGGTCCTGATGAATATTTATTCTTCAAAAAAAAACAAAAACTATCTGTGAATAACAGATAATGCTCTGCAGAGCTGATAGTTTCCACCTTCTATACAGAAGAAATTAACAACCTCAGAAAATTAATTCAATGACTGTCATCTCACTAATTGTATTCAATGTGCAGATGACCCAAGTAGAAATTGGTCCACAGATGGAGCAGCGCACTTTTCTGGCGGTGAGCCCAGCGCATCAGTGCAAAAGATAAGGCTGAAGATTTTGCAGCAATCTTCAGCCAGAAGTGCCGAGTGGATGATCCATCTTGGCCTCCTCCAGTGATCCCCAGCATTACAGATACCAGTCTTCAGCCAATTCGATTCAATCCACATGAAATCAAGAAACGGTTGAGACACTGGATACTGCAAAGGCTACGGGCCCTGACAATTTTCGGCAATAGTACTAAAGACTTGTGCTCCAGAACTTGCCGTTCCCCTAGCCAAGCTGTTCCAGTAGTTACAACACTGGCATCTACCCGACAATGTGGAAAATCACCCAGGTATGTCCTGTATATAAAAAGCAGAACAAATCCAACCCCTCCAATTACTGCCCCATCAGTCTATTCTCGATCATCAGTAAAGGTGATGGAAGGTGTCATCAACAGTGCTATCAAGTAGCACCTGCTCAGCAACACCCAGTTTGGGTTCCACCAGGGCCACTCAGCTCCTGACCTCATTACAGCCTTGATTCAAACATGGACAAAAGAGCTGAATTTCAGAGGTAGCAGGAACTGCAGATGCTGGAGAATCTGAGATAACCAGGCGCAGAAGGGTCTAGGCCTGAAACGTCAGCCTTCCTGCTCCTCTGATGCTGCTTGGCCTGCTGTGTTCATCCAGCTCTGCGCCTGGTTATCTCTGAATTTCAGAGGTGACGTGAGAGTGACAGCCCTTGCCGTCATGGCTGCATTCGACTGAATGTAGCATCAAGGAACTCTAGCAAAACTGGAATCAATTGGTATCGGGGGAAAACTCTCTGCTAGTTGGAGTCATACCAGACACACAGGAATATGGTTATGGTTGTTGATGGTCAGTCATCACAGCTATAGGACATCTCTGCAGGAGTTCCTCAGGGCAGTGTCCTACCCATCTTCAACTGCTTCATCAATGACCTTCCCTCCATCATAAAGTCAGAAGTGGGGATGTTCATCAATGAGTGCACAATGTTCAGCACAATTCGTGACTCCTCAGATACCGAATTAGTCCATGTTCAAATGCAACAAAATCTGGGCAGTATCCAGGCTTGGGCTGACAAGTGACAAATAACATTTGTGCCACACAAATGCCAGGCTATGACCATCATCAATAAGGGACAATCTAACCACTGCCCTTTGACAATCAATGGTGTTACCATCAGTGAATCCCCCACTATCAACATCCTGGGGGTTATCATTGACCAGAAACTCAACTGGACTCACCATATAAAAACAGTGGCTACAAGGGCAGGTCAGAGGTTAGGAATACTGTGGTGAGCAACTCACCTCCTGACTCCCCAAAGTCTGTTACCATCTATAAGGCACAACTCAAGAGTGTGATGGAATACTCCCCACTTGCTTGGATGAACACAGCTCCAGTGACACTCAAGAAGCTTGACACCATCCAGTACCCTTGATTGGCACTAGATCCACAAGCATGCACTTCCTCTACCACTGATGCTCAGTAGCAGCAGTGTGTACTATCTACAAGACGCACTGCAGAACTTCACTACAGATTGTCAGACAGCACCTCCCAAACTCATGACCACTTCCATCTAGAAGGGCAAGGGCGGCACCACCACCACCCTCAAGTTTCTCTCCGAGCCAGTTATCATCCTGATTTGGAAATATATCGCCGTTCCTTCACAGTCACTGGGTCAAAATCCCGGAATTCCCTCCCTAACGGTTTTGTTGGACTGCAGCAATTCAAAAAGGCAGCTCACCACCACCTTCCCAAGGGCAACTAGGGATGGCAATAAATGCTGGCCCAGCCTGCCACATACACATTCCACAAATGAATAAATAAAAGGAAAAGGGGATGAAATAACAAACACTTTACCAACTCATATTTATGTAGCAACTTCAACAGAATGAAACATCTCAAGGTTCATAGGAACGTAGGAACAGGAGTAGTTAATTCAGCACCTCGAGCATGTTTCACCGTTTGATGAGATCATGGCTCATCTGTGGCCTAACTCCACATACCTACCTTTGGCCGATTTCCCTTAACTTTTTGTCAAGCAAAAGCATTACCTATCTCAGATTTAAAATGAACATCTCTTCATCTCTTTCAATATTCCATTAAGTGAATTTGCATTAGCCTCAGCAACAAAAGTAAAAATTAAATGATAGAAGTATTCACTCGAAACCAAGCACCGGTCTACAGTTTCTAGAAAAAAAATTACCGCAACAGCCTAAATTTTCTAGAGTTAGAACATTGTTAAAAAGTGTGTTTTTAAAATTAAGGTTTTTTTAAATGAAGTTACAGGATGTTGGCATGGCTGATTGGACAGCATTTATTGTGGATCTCTAACTGCCATGAAGAAGGTGTTCACTGGTTATCTTCTTAAATGCTGCAGCCCATGCAGTGTTAGAACAACCATAATGTTGTTAGGAAGGGAGTTTCCAGATTTTAACCAAGCAATACTTAAGAAATCGTTAGAATCATGCATGATTGACAGGCGAACTTGCATGTGATGGTACTCCCATGTATCTGCAGCAATTGCCCTTCTATGCAACAGAGGTTGCATTTGGAAGGTATTGTCTTAGGAGCCTTTGTGAATGTTTCAGTGCATCTTGTGGATGGTACATACTGCTGCCACTGTGCATCATGGTGGAAGAATGCCAATCAAGCAGGTTGCTTTGTCCTGGATAGTTTCAAGCTTCTTGAATATTATGAAGCAGCACTCATGCAGACAAGCAGTCAGAATCATCTCAGCTCTGAAGTTCTGTTCCTTTGTCTGTGTGTGCACCAATGTTGTAATGAGGTCAAGAGCCAAGTGGCCCTGGTAGAACCCAATTAATGATCAATGAACAGTTTTTTTCCTGAACAAGTGCCATTTGACAATACTATTCACAACCTCTTCCAGCATTTTGCCAATAACTCGTCCAAGTTTGATATGTCCTGCTTTAGTGGACACATACTAACACTAAGATATAAAAGAATTACTGTCAGCCTTTAACCTTTAAAATCTGCAATGGCACTTACCAGCACTGAAAGAAGAACAGATCATTTGAACCCCTGGCCTTGGTCGCTCAGTAAATTTAATTGGCCGATGGCTGTATTGAAAAAAGAGTGATGAAAAAAATTTAGAATAATTGTGGTCTTACCAACTTACCTCATTTTAAAACTAATATGTAAAACATTTTCCATTTACTTTGAAAAGTACTATCCTCTTCCTTAATCTGACATTTAATATTATTCAAAGCAAAATTTGGCAATGGGAACAATAATTAATATTGACTGACAAGAGAATTCTTTTGAAAACCAATGCCACATTTATATCAAACTAATCACTAAGGCTGTATTAATTAATAGGCTAATAAAATAGCATTTTGAAGCTAATACGAGAATAGTCTCTTAGTACAACATATCGGGACGGCACAGTGGCTCAGTGGTTAGCACTGTTGCCTCACAGCACCAGGGATCCAGGTTCGATTCCAGCCTGGGGCAACTGTCTGTGTGGAGGTTGCACATTCTCCCCGTGTCTGCGTGAGTTTCCTCCGGGTGCTCCGGTTTCCTCCCACAGTCCAAATATGTGCAGGTTAGGTGGATTGGCCACGCTAAATTGCCCGTAGTGTTCAGGGATGTGTAGATTAGGTGGGTTTTAGGGATATGGGTCTGGATGGGATGCTCCAAGGGTCGGTGTGGACTTGTTGGGCCGAAGGGCCTGTTTCCACACTGTAGGGATTCTATGATATGAAAGAAAACAAAAGTTTGATATATAGTCCTTAAAAAATGTCTTGATAAAATATAGTCATGAAATTAAATGCTTGCAAATAAAATAAATAAAGAAACTGCCCTTTTAGAAACAAGTGAATTTTATGTATTGCTCATACAGCAATTGTAGAAGAAGAACAAACAAAACATCTATCTATCACACACTGTAACAATATAGGACAGTAAGTCTTGTTAGGTTTGAACAATCAACAAATATTGTCTGATGTACTCCCAAAACAAGTATTTCATGTAAATAGATTAATCTACTGAACAGATACATTTTTAGTATCTTCAGCTCAAAGGAATTATAATTAAAATGTTAGATCAATGTTCTAACTTCCATCAATAGGATTACTGTTCCAGCAGAATCTAGTCCTTGAGATCCTTTTTCAACAGGAAAACAACACTAAATGGCAAGTTATTAATGATGGATATTATCTTATGCATCATTATATGCTCGAAGCACTCCCTGTCAAGTGTGTATTGAAAAACTGCTTCTCCACACATGAAGGTCCTTTTAGTTTTTGACTAGATGATATTGCAGCCATTAGACAATGTTCTGCTGTTTGTTAATATTGTAATAAGTAATTTTGAGAACTGGGTTATATTATGTTATAACATTAGGGGTTGGTTGTTTCAGTTGGATGTCTGGTTTGTAATGCAAAATGACACCAACAGTGTAGGTTCAATTTCCACACCAGTTGAGGTTACCGTGAAGGACCCTCCTTCTCAACCTCTCCCCTCACCTAAGGCATGGTGACTCTCAGCTTATATCACCACCCACCATACCTCCCTAATGAGAGAGCAGCTCATGTTCCAGTAGGACAGTGGTGACTTTAATGTTATGTTATATTATACAACAAACCTTGCTCCTTTTCTAGTGAGTGACCCTGATTCGCACATAAATAGTAAATCAAAAATCAAAACCACAACCTTAAATGTCAGACAGTACACACACACACAGATGGACACAGACACACGTGCATAAACACAGATGAACACACAAAGTCTAATTGGAAATCATACTCCAAATTGGTTTACAACAGAAGCAGAGACAAATGGCAGCATGGTCCCTGTGCTAGATTCAATACCAATTCAACAACTACACAAGTAATAAAGAGCTGGTTCCATGAATCACTCTCTTAGCATCATTACATTAATTTGCTTCACATCACAGCTAAGACGCACTGAGTTAACTAAGCACATTTAATAATTTAGAGGAGGAGGCAGTTCACTCAGTGCCAAGTTGAACAAACCAAGGAAAAATAGCAAGTATTTAGAGTTGCACAAGTTAATCAAATTTATGCAACCTGTATACATTGTACCAGCGGTTTCACAAAACGTTGAGAATTTTTGGAAACTTTGGCTCACATTATGAAACTCTGAAAAAGACAGTAACACTGGAATTGAGATAGTCAGCTCCATGTGCAAGCAAACATTCAGAGGCAAATGGATGGGTGCCATCATTCTCAAAGCAAAGATGATAAACATGGTCAACAGCAGCTTGAACAGGTAATTAAAAAAAGACCAAATTTCTTTAGGCATCTCATCCATTCATTAGCAGATATAGCTTTAAAAGTCTGGATTTTGTAACAGATAAATTTAAAGATTATGGATCAAATGATCTGTGTCAGTTGAACATGTGAAAATTGATCATCCATAATTTCTAACATACTTGTCTATCAAAACTTGACTGTCACATATGATGGGGCAGAGACAATCAACCAAACTTTCTTAATTGGACTGTAAAGCTCAAACAAAAAGGGGGGTTTTCAGTGACATTTAGAAAACTTTAGGTTGTTCATTAAACCTCTTTCAGTTGCCAAGATAGATAAAGGCATTCAGCCACAAACAGCAAATCAGGCCAGAGAACACACTAAATAAATCAGCAATCAATCAATCAATCAAATCAAATATTCAAAAGGAGTGCTGGGAAACTGTAGTCAAAGAAGTCTCAAAACAGTTAGCAGAATCAATTCAGGCCAGAAAGAGAAAATGCTGAGTTTTTCAGAGTTGAATCGCAAGTTATGGAAATTTCAATATTCAAGCAATACTTATTCACTGGTAAACTTCAACAGAAGAAGTATAAATTCACAAGGATGATTATTAGGATTGTGGCATATCATCACAGTTTGAGAAAGCAACTGAGGTATTTTGAACCTGAGATCAGTTGCATAGCCAGAAGGAATGCAGCAGGTAATACAGGTATATCCAAATCATTAAATCACGCACAACACTGAACCATAAACTAATTAAAATCTATAATAACTTGGCTATTGATGAGATATTGCAAAATGTTAAATTACACCTGTGCCTTAAATATTTTTACTATATTGATAAATGTTAGTGTTTATTAACTAACACTGCTGTAGAAACTAATGTTGAATTAAGTGCCTACTATAATTTCAATACACTAATGCTTGTTGTACAAACTTGGATGTTGATTAATTGGCATTGTGACGAACTCTTCAAATAGGTTTATCCGTGTTCACTGTCGAACATATTAGTAGGTATTAAAAATTTCAACCCAGCCAAATTCTCATTTTGAAACTTGGAAAATTTCAACCTGGTCTGCATTCGTGAGTATTCAGGAATTAGGAGTCGTGGTGCTGAGCCCTCTTGAACAATTGCAGTCCATGGGACTTAGGTACACACACAGTGCTGTTGGACGGAAGTCCAGGATTTTGACCTAGTGACAGCAAAGGAATGGTGATATTGTTACAAATTAGGATGCTGAGTGGCTTGGAGGTGAACTTGCAGGTGATGGCAATTCCTGCCTTTGTCCATCTAAGTGGTGAAGGTCATGGTCAGGAAGGAGCTGTTGAGTGCACCTTAGTGTGCTGCTACAGTGCATCCTGCAGAAGGTACACACTGTTGCCACTGTCCATTAGTGGTAGAGGGTGTGAACATTGAAGGTGTTGGATGGGGTACCATTCAAGCAGGCTGCATCATTCTGGATAGTGACGACTGTTGCTGAAACTACACTCAACCAGCTAAGTGGAGGAGTATTTCAGCACACTCCTCACTTGTGCTTTATAGATGGTGGACAGACTCTGGGGACGCAGTGGTGAATTAATCACCACACCATTTCAAGTCTCCAGCCTGTTCTTTAGCCACAGTGTTTGTGTGGCTCATCTAGTTCAGTCTCTATTCAAAGGTAAATTCCAGAATTTTGATAGCAGAGATTCAGCAATGGTAATGCCATTTAAATATAATATTAATTTAAGTTATTGATTTTATTCCATTTAAGATGGAGATGGAGCAGCTCAAATATAGTGGACTAACCAACATCCTTCTGAGATGTAAACCTTTATGAAACTACTCAAGGATAATTTAATTCAAATAAAAATACCCTACAGACTTGGAAATTGACTTGGTTGAGAATGGAAATGCTTTCTTTAAAAAAAAATCCTTCATTCCAAGTGCAAATGCTCATCATTTTGGTCTTCATGAAATGTGCAGACCCAAGTTACCTTCTTGACTGGTTTCCAAACATTCTAACCCAAACTTAGTCAGAAGTCCATGAACGTACTTGAAATTTATCCCTATACCACCCACCATTTTAACATGTACATGTTAATTTCTCATACCCTTAATTTCCATCTGTAAAGTATTATCAGGGTCATTGTGAGAATATAATGGGACAAGAATATCAGCAAATAACAGAATAACAGTGATGGCACACCATTCATGAGAATAAAAGTTGTATGACAAATTATCTTCATGTTCTGACATAACAGTAAACAGTTTGTAAGAACTGGATATGAAATAGCTAAGTTATCATCTGTTCAAAAGGGAAAGGATGTTTAACTCAAAAACAATTATAAACCTCATGTTATGTGACTAATAATGTTCTATACCAAAGTTAGAGTTGGAATCTCAGCCAAATCACACTCAGTTGCCTTTGAATTTATACTATGGGATGAAATCATGTTGGAAGGTAGCCATTTCTCATTCAGTTTCTTTTTGGAAGCATCACTCAGACTGAATACATTTACTATTTCCATTTAGATGATTCAAATGTATATCCATTTTTTGGGAGAAATAGTGCATTCATGCAGCTTGAAAATAATTACAAGAACATGATGAAGAGCGCTAATTTGTACCCTCATATGAATGCACAGTATTTTATGAAACGGTAAACAAATAAACAAACACGTGCATAATTATCACCCTCAGAATGGAAATCAAATTGTGTTTTTCCTTCTTTGAGGATGACGGCAGGATGTACTTTTGTTCAAAATATTCCCTGTTTAATAGAATAAAATAATATTCATCCAACAGTCCTTTGACTTTGATTTTGAATTGTGTTGCACATTTCCCAATATATGTGATTTCCTAGGATCAGCCATCTCCAAAGTAGACTATAAATCCATTTAAAGGGACATTAACTGCTGCCCACCAGTCCCTCTGGTCTTTTTTTAAAGGAGGTATGGTAGCATAATAGTTCTGATATTGGACAACACTCCAAAAAGCCTTGACTAATGATCCAAAGATTAAAATTTCAAATTGAAACCTGTCAGCTGAGGAACTAAATCGGGAATAAAATTCTAATATCAGCAATAATGATCATAAAACTATCTGATTGATGTAAAAATCTGTCTGGTTCACTAATGGCCTTTAAGGGAAGGAGATCTGCCATTCTTGACTGCAGTCCCACATCAATGTGGTCAGCTCTTTACTGACCTCTGAAATGATCTGTTTTCAAGAGGTCGGCTCATCAGTATCCTTCTCAAGGTGCATTTAAGCACTGCCAATAAAAGGCTGAACTTACCAACGACACCCACATTCCTTGAACAAACAAAAAAAAACTGAATTTCTCAAATGAAAAGGCCTCCTGTACTTTTTTACTGAAACTGTTCAATTCATATTGGGATAATTCAATAATTATGTCAGCAAAAACAGCTTTAAAATAATGCATGAAATCAAAATCATTAAGTTTTGCAGAACTCAGACACTAAATAAAATTCCAAAATATTTAACAACTATGAAGCACATAACATAATTTGCCTTAAAAGTAAAGCTCATGAACTTACCTAAATTTGTACATGCCAGCATCCCACTGCCAGAAGCAAACTGTACCATCTGCCCCTGTGGAAGACAGGAACCTCAAAGAGCCAGTGCACATTGGTGAAAACTGAAAAGCAACAACATTATAAGTTAGTACTGGGTAACATGTTAAAGCACATTTTACTGTCAAAATGTGCTATGAACATCAATGGAAACATTTGATAGCTACAGGTGATTACGTGGGCCAGCTATAAAGGCAAATCAGTTTCTGACTAGCTACCCAACAATGATCCAGCTGCCATCATTTTCGGGCACTTTCAGCTTACAACATCCTGACTGATAATACAACCAATGATTCAGGGGGCAGGGAAGAAGTGTTGTGACCAGCGATGGTGTGAACAAATAAATCATTTTGCGCTACACTGAATTGAAAGTTAAGGACAGTCCAAATTACCTGTGAAGCTGTGAAGATTACAGTGGAACACCAGAATTGGTCCAGTATCAAGGTTGGAAGGATTTTAAAAGAAAACTCAGCCAAATCCAACCTAGCCAATTCCTACCCTATCAATCTGCTCTTGATCATCGGCAAAGTCATGGAAGAAGTTATCAATGTGCTATCAAATGGCACCAGCAACAAAGTAACTTTCTCTCTGACACTCAGTTTAGGTTCTATTCTCAGTCATAGCCTTGGTTCAAGCATGGACGAGTGCTGAACTGAGGTGACATGAGCGACTGTCCTTGACATTAAGGCAATATGTGACAGTAGGATATCAGGGACCCTGAGCAACAATTTGGGCACACCTGGCATAAATGACAATGGTTGTGGTTGTTGGAAGTCAACCATCTCAGCCCTAGGACATCACTACAGGAGGTCCTCAGGTCAAACCATCTTCATGTTCTTCACCAACCACCTCCATCACAGGGCAGACGTGGGATGTTCACTGATGACTGAACAACCTTCACAAATTCATGACTCCTCAGATACTGAAGCAGCCTGTGTTCAAATACACAAGATCTGGACAATATCCATGCTTGGGCTAATAAGCGGCAAGTAACATTCAGGTCCCAAAAGTGCCTGGCAATAATCGTGTTCAAAAAGTGAGAATCTAATCATCAGCCCTTGACATTCAAAGGCATTACCACCTTTGAATCTCCTAATATCAACATCCTGGGGCTACCTTTTACCCAAAACTGAGCCAAACAAGCATATAAATACTGTGGTTACAAGAGCAGATCAGACGTTAGGAATTCAATGGCCACACCTCCATCCCCCCTGCCTGTCCACCATCTACAAGGCACATCACCAGTGTGACAGAATACTCCCATTTGCCTGGGTGAGTGCAGTTCCAACTACAACCAAGAAGCTTGACACGATCCAGGACAAAGCATCACTTAACTGGCACCACATCCACCACCTGGAACATTTACTCTCTTCACCAGTGAAGCACAGTGGCTGCAGTGTTTTCCATCTCTGAGGTGCACTACCATAACTCACCAAGTTCCTCCAACAACACCTTCCAAACGTATGACCCATACCACCTCAAAGGATAAGGGAAATAGACACATGGAAACATCACCATTTGCATACTCGATACAGTCGAGAAACATCCGGTAAGGGGAAGTCTCAGCCAATACAATAAAGTAATAGAAGTAATCCAAAAGCAGAATAAAGTTAATTTGAGGGAAGTTAAAACATGGCAGCACAGCTCAGTCAAGTGGAATGCGTGGCCTGCAATTTTTGGAAAGTCATGGACCCTACCAATATCCTGGATGACCACAAGTGCAGGGAGTGCTGCCAGCTGCAGAAACTTGAGCTCCAGATTTCAGGGCTCAAGTATTGGCTGGAGTCACTGTGGTGCATCCATGAGGCTGACTGTTATTTGGATAGTACATTTAGAAAGGTAGTGAAACTGCAACTTAAAGTCTTGGAGGCAGAACGGGAAGGCAGCTCAAGAGAAACAGGCAGGTTCTACAAGAGTTCTATGGAGTTGTACACAAAAATCAGTTTCCCGTTTTCAAAGCTGACAAGTGCACTAGTTCTTCAAGGGAGCGTATTCAGAGCCATATTTACAGCACCATGAACAGTTCAACTGTACAAGAGGGGTAAAGAAAGGAACAGCAATAGTGATAGTTAGGAGGTTTGTTAGTTAGGGGAACAGACAGATGTTTCTGCGGCCACAAATATGAATGTGATGACGGTGATGCTGATAGTGACGGTGTGTTGCCTCTCTGGTGCTACAGTCAAGGATATTGTTGAATGGATGGAGCAGCTTGAGTGGGAAAGATCCTCACTGGAACCAACATCTTACGAAGAAAAGGAGATATGGTCCTGTAGTCAGAATTTAGGAGCAAGATAGAAAATTAGCAAGTAGAATGTCAAAAATAGTAATCTCTGAATTAATGTCAGTGCCACATGCAAGACAGTACAGAAATAGAAGGACAAGACAAACGATTGTGCAGCTAAAACGGTGGACATTGGGACTAGTGCTGGCCGAAACAGGCTGAAAAACCTGCACCCAGAGCTGGAACTAAGATCCTTGGAGATTGTTTTGCTAGTGCTGATGGGGAGGGTTTAAACTAGCTCAGCAACCGTATAGGAACCAGAACAGATAATATCAGAAAATAATACCAAGTTGCACAAAACACTGGGAGAGATAGGTAGCACTAGAACAGAAAATAAAAGTTAATACATAGAATCAAAGTAAGATGGAAAGTAATAAATCCTAGATCAAGGTTACTGTGCATATACATGAATCTTTGGAGTGTAGTAAATAAGATTGGGGAGTTGCAAGTGCAGATTGCTAGTATAAATACTATGTATAACAGAGACTTGATTCGAGTAAGGGCAGAACTGGGTATTAAGTATCTTGGACATAAACTGTTCAGGAAAATTAGGAAAGAATGAGAAGTGGGAGAGGTGACAATTTAAGGTTTTAGCAAAGATTTGTAGCACGGGTTGTGGGTGAGGTTGTTGACTTGCTCACTGAGCTGGCTGGTTTTCGTTCAGACGTTTCTTTACTATGCTAGGTAACATCATCAGTGAGGCCTCCGATGATGTTTGGAATTTATACTGTCTGGTCTGTTATGGTGAGTAGTGTCATTCCCCGTTTTGTTCTGTATGGGTTTATAAATGGGATCCAATTCTACATGTTTGTTGATTGCATTATGGGTTGAGAACTATGCCTCTAGGAATTCCTATGCGTGTCTATGTTTGACTTGGGTTACTCTGGTTTAACTGGGACAATGTAACCAGTGTACAAAGCCACTGTATTGTGCTGGTCCTGCATTACTAACATGTACAGCTTCTAGATCATTTCCATCAGCATTACCTCTGCAACATTTTCAAGATTTGCTGACAGGATCAGTTCAGAAATATTGAAGTCCTAGAAAGAGCTGACAAAAAGAGCATTAAGGCCATCTTCCTGCAAAACTAACTATGGTGTATGGGTCATGGTGTCAAGATTAATGCCAGTCACCTGCCCTTGATCGTGTTGCATGGAGAGGTTTCCACTGGAAAGGAGTTCCATGCAATTATTTCAAAGACTTTTCGAAGGGGTTCGTCACTGTGTGCCACATCAAGCATTGCCAATAGGAAGTACAGGTGGTGAGCTATAATGTCTGGAGATGCCACAAACTGAGTCAGCATGAAAGAGAAAAAAAGAAGGATGGATCAACTTGTGAACACACTTTCACTTGCAGCCACTGAGAGAGAATCTGCTGGTCCTAGATAGATCTGACCCATGATGAATGAGTCTGCAATTAGTGAATACAACATTACTAAAATCGTCATCCATGAAGAAATGCCGGGCTGGATTTGGCAGTGTGTACACTCCCCAAATGAACATCAACTGCATCAGAATTCAAAACGAAGTACAGCATGCAAAGTGGGATGTCATCAGAGAACTCCTACACTAACTACCTGTCCATTTCTGATTGCCTGGTGGTCACACATTCGCACACTCCAAGCATTTGAAGCTCTGGGATGACTACATCTACAAATGTGCTACTCACTTAAGTCTCAGCCTCTCACAGGTACATCATAATGTACCGGCTGTTACTCAAGTTCTGAAAAGCACAGGTCAAGCTGCTGCAGCCAACAACACTCCCTCCATAAATGGCTATCCAGAATAGAGTGCCAGGCAATGACCATCTCTAACAAGAGAGAATCTAACAATCAGCACATGACATTCAATGGCATTACCATCACTGACTCTACTACCATCTTCAGCCTGAGGATTACCATTAATCAGAAAATGAACTGGACGAGCCATGTTAAGTACTTTGGCTACAAAAGCAAGTCAGAGACTAGGCATCCTGCATCAGATAACTCCCCTCTGAAATACCCAAAGCTTGTCCATAAATAATAAATAGAAGAATAATTAGGAGAAGCCATTTCCAGGCACTGAAATGTTGGTAACCAGTTCTTACACCAGTTACATGTTGTCCTTTTCCAAAAGACCATAAGATGTAGAAGCAGAATTTAGCCATTCGACCCATCAAGTCTGCTCTATCATTCAATCATGGCTGATATACTTCTCAACCCTATTCTCCTGCTCTCTCCCTGTAACCTTTGATACCCATATCAATCAAGAACCTATCCATCTCCGTCTTAAATACACTCCACAACCTCCACAACCCTCTGCAGCAATGAGTTCCACAGATTAACCACTCACCAGCTGAAGAAATTCCTCCTCAGCTCAGTTCTAAAGGGTTGTTCCTTCACTCTTGAGGTTGTGCCCTCGGGTTCTAGTCTCTCCCACTACTGGAAACATCTTTCAGTCACTGCTTTAAGCTATATGGCAGATTTCAGATTGTTGCCTCTGACCCTTTTTCCAAAATGGTTCTGTTTTTAACACAGCTAATCACTGTAATCAAGAATGTACCTGTTGAACGGTGGAAGCAGATTCAACAGCAACATTTTAAAGAACTGCGTAGTTCTAACAAAAGATAGAACAGTATGAGGGGACCAAATCGCTTCCTTCCATACTGCATCATTCTATTACTATTTATTAATTTTAGGATTTAGTAATACCTGGAGCAAGTGAAGTATCCATTACTGGTTTAATGAGACATTCAGTTTCATTGTGCATTCAGACATGCATAAGATTAATTAAATACTCAATTACA